CTTGCTGGGGAGTGTGGTGCTCTTTCAGGAGTGTAGCATGGATAATTTCATGAAAGGTTAATTTATGGTTTGAAACTTGTCAGTATTATGTAATAAATTCATAATATGGTTTAAATGAAGTCTCTTTTCTATTACAGGTAGACTCCTGTCTATTGCCTTTTTCTTTGGAGACCAAGGTAGAAATCAGGGATAAACCTGTAGTTTTCAGGGCAAATTCAAGTTAATGTAGCTGCAGTATTTATTTTTCTATGATTAACCAGTGTTTCTAGATCAAAGTGTTACAACTCTGTGTTTCACAAAACACAGATTATTAGAGAAAGACCAGAACAGCAAACTAGCCAGATGTTTTGACAGCCCAGCATACCTTCACAAAACAGCTTTCTATTCTGCCGACAGCAGCCCCAGCTTTGGTTCCTTTTGTCACCCAGCCAAAGCAACTCACCTCAGTGATTGTTGTTTGCTAATTAGTTTGAGTTATGTGATCATAGCTGAGATTTTGGCAGCTTGTTCTGGAACAGATTTATTAATGATGATCAATTATGACCAGGTGGAATTTCTGACAGATGATTTTTTTATTGTTATTTGACAATATATGGGAACTTTTCCATTAGATAAATGCAGTTAATGAGCTGACCCTGCCATCTGCTGTCATTTCTGCTGCTGTTTCTGCAGTTTAGTGCCTGTTCAGAGTCTCCCAGGTCACTACCTCTCCTTCAGCTCACTGTGGAATACAAATCTCTCTAATGAGCCCATGCAGTATTGAAGACTTGTCATTCAAGCTGTACCTGGTTTCAGGTAGCACATGAAAACTGAAAGCTTTACTTGCAAGATGGGCTGGTGATATCTTCAGTAAAAATAGCATTGAACCAGGAAAGGCTTACTGAGAGAGCTTGAAATATCCACCAAGTTTCCCAGTTTTCCAGATAAATAAGTGTAGCGTTGGTGAGAATGTTAAACAGCAATTTTGTCTTACAATTTGACATTTTAAATGTTTCTGTGTTCTTTACAGCGCTGCAGCTCATTGCAGGTAAGACAACTGTGTGCAATGCCAGGACAGCTAGTTGTGACACAACATACCACAAATACATCACTCCTGCAGCAGCAAGGACACAAAGGAGAGTGAGTGGCCTCTCATTCCATGGGCACCATGGAATGCTGCCTATCTGTGTCCATACCTCACCACGTTCAAGGCATATGCAGAAGCACACTTCCCACAGCAAGATGGAGCTCACCCATTTTTTGTCCTTGGGCATGGGCACTGAGGGGCCAGTAGTGAGCTGACTTTACTCTTTGAAGGTATGGGATCAAGAGCTAGCTAGAGATCATAGATGTTCTTCTCTGAACATAGAGCCATAAAATGTCCTGGGTTGGAAAGGACTGTTATCATCTGGTTCCAACATTTCTGCTGTGGGCAGGGATGCCTTCCAGCAGACCATGTTACTCATAGCCCCATCCAGCCTGGTCTTGAATACTCCCTTCTCCATGAGCACCTCTGAACTAAGAGATCACACAGCACAGTCTTTTTTTGTCTTAAATCTTCTGTCCTATCATAGGACCGAGGGAAGACAAACAAAACCCTGTGAACCATTTTCTTTGGGTACGAAACAAATAACATCTTTCAAATCTACATGAACACAAGAGAAAACCACTCCCCAGCATTATTTCACACAGGGGAGAAAAGCCCAGTAAAGCATGTGGTAAAAATCCAGTACTTCTCAAAACCCAGCAAATATTCCAGAAGTCAAAATAGATCTTTATGGCACAGAACCAAAATTTCTCTCTTCTTCTCTCTTCTTGCTCCCCTATAGCCCCTGTCTGCATGTTCAGAGTAGCAGGTTATGACTTGCTTTGATTGTGCTTGCTTATCATGCGGCTCAGGTTTTACAGCTATAAAAAGTCTGCTGAATGATAGCTGCAGGGAGATTGACAGGATGTGCTTCAGTTCTGTCTCAGAACTTGGAGGGGGGACTGCAGATGCAGGAAGACTCTCCTTGGCAACATAAAAAGCTTCTGTCCAGTGTGCACAGTCTTCTTTTGCTGAACTTGATGGCCTGAGAAGAGTGCAGCACTGTAATATTTGTTGCTTCATCTCCTAATGCACTAGCTGAGTTTATTGATGTATTTTGTTCCTTGCAAAGTGTCTTTTGGTCAGCGTTAGACTTTTTATTTTCTACAGGTGGGAATAAATTCATTCATGCAGTGGGTTTTTGTGGCTACATTTTGGTAGCAGCAGGGGGAGTGCTACAGGGTTGCCTTCTATTAGAAACTACTAGAAGCTTCCACTATCTGGTGGAGCCAATGCCAGCCCGCTCTAGGAATGTCTCAAAAAGCGCCGAGGTCAGGCTGCATCAGACTCTCCAGACAGCACACCTGCAGCAAGCCCTCCTCTTCCAACAGATGGAAAAAAAGAGGCTGGCATGGAAGTTCGGAGGGACAGCTGGCTCTTCAGAGCATATTCAGAGTATAAGGATAAATCATCACACAAGTTACACCACTTGATTGTAAACTGGCCCAAAGACCCAGGGCAATGGTCTCTCAAGTAGTTTTAGGCTTAAAGTGTAGATTCAGCATTTCTTCCCTCTTCCTCTCCCCCATTCTTAGCAACCCAAAAATAAAACCAACACTGCTCCCACCACCACCCCTGCCTCTCCCCATGTGTCTACCTGGCATTATTTTCTTCTTGAAAATCCTTTGCTTTGTTTCCTGGTCTTTTAATTTACAAGACATGCTGGGACTGAGCTTCACCCTTTAGTAAAGCCTGCAGGACCTTACCTACATCCCACCTCCTGATTTTAGTAAATTACATTAGTCCCTTAGTCCTTGACCTATCACTGTATGTGTGAACACAAACTCCTACAAGTGTACTACAGGTGAACTTCCCCCTCAGCTTTTGTTCCCAAGGCCCTTGTTGATAGTCCCCCCTGGGAATGGAGCAATTCTGTGCTGCATCCCCTTCAGGCTGCGCTTCTGAAATATTCCCCATGGGAAAGTGAAGCAGCTCCTCGCTGATGGTCTTTCTTTTGAAAAGCAAGAGGAGACACTTCAAGGGAAGTCAGCAAGGTCAAAAAAAACCCAACAGTGATAGAAGTTTCACAAATAAGCAAGAATGTAATGCAGAGAGTTTCTCTGCAAAATTTTCAGGAAATAAATTGAAATAAACAAGTGGATCTAGTTCCAATAGCAAATCGATGTAAAACATTAAATATTTAACCAAAATTTCAGCAGCTTACGAGCTATCAGAGCTATCAGCTGTTTCCTATGAAATTTGGACATCGATTTGCTCCCTAAAATACAGAGATGTTAGTTGCAAAATCAGTTATGCACTGTGGGTTAAGAACAAAAGCTGCTTAGCAAATTCAGGGAAATATTTTAATATTTTGCAGGGCTTTGCTATTTACAATTTCTTTGCCCTTGCACCTCATGGCAGTCAGTCTTCTCTGTCATCTGATGAGCCATAGCAAAAGAGAAAATCCACCCCAAAGCCTTTGTAAAATACCTACACTCTGTATTTTTTCAAGACTTCCAGCTTCCCTTCCATCCCCTTCAGCTCAACCAGCAGTTAAGATGGTATAACATTTGCTATAATAGCTTAAAGATATATATATTATGCTTATTTCACATAGCATTTCAATTTCTACCATTATTATTTTTCTTGGTTGAGTGAAAACACACTTGGATTAATTATTAGTCCATCAAGGATTTTGCTTGTTTTGTTTGCACCCCTCCTGTTTCCCTACACACACTGTTCACCTTCTTTTCCCTTCTAACACAGTCTTCTTGGAATAAATATCAGTCAATTACAGAGGAGCTGTGACAAGTTCTAACCTGAATTAGTTTGCCTAGCTGTGCCTGGGAGGCTCATGTCATAGGCTGCATCCCCACTGAAGTCTGCATAGCCCTCAGCCAGTCAATACAGACACACTGAGTTCCTTACTGAGCAATCCATTTAAAAAAAAATATTCAGCAGCCTTATTTTACCACCCACAAAGAGTCACTTTATCCTGGTGCTTAATGCACATGTGAAGTATGCAGCTCTAAACCTTTCCTGTTCCTGAGGCCTGTGTAGTTTAGCTGTTTAATCCCAACATTTTTTTGTTAATGTTAGCAAAGGTAACTAATCGTTCTACTTTCTTATATTAAAACTATGTCAAAAGCTGAATTAAAATGACAAGGAGAAGGTAAAGACAAATTAGTATGAAAAGGGCTTTCTCCTACAGAATCTGGTTCAAGGTCAGAATCTCAAGAGCTTCAGTGACAAACATCCTTCCACACTGTCACACCAGATGGGACTTTACCCTTCGGCCAGCATATGTCAAGGTTCTGCCCAGATCATCAGAAAATCCAGCTACCAAGAGGAGTAAGTAACCTGAGGTTACTGAGACAGTGCTGCTACATGCCTCACTGACCACAGTTACATCAAAACAAGATGCTTTTCATCATTTATACCTCAGGCACTGACTCCTGCCTATTCGTATGTTTCTGCTCAGCTGCTGTACTTTTTGCAGGTGCTGTTGGACAATCAGTGAAGAACGGTCAGGCAGGAGGGCACTTTCATACAGAAGAGAAGATTTGCACACAGCTAGACACTGTTCTGCATCAACAGGGCTATAGCTGCACTACCCTAAAGCCTTTACTACAAAGGGGTAACCAGGTTGTGCTTCTTTCAGGACATGGGCTATTGGCTATGATCTGACCTGGAACATCATAACTGAGTTCACTCACACTACAGGGGTATTACCCCATCATGAGAACCAGTCTGAATTGCATCATATCACAGGCAGCCAGGCAAGTCTGTAGATGCTTCTGTGGCATCTCAAAGATACTGTATTTGAGATGCTGGCATTTGAATACAAGATCATCTCACCTATTATGCATACATTGGCTAACATTCAAGGTATTGAGCAGTAACAGCAACTTATTCTCATAGGTCCTCCTAGATGAGCTTCTGAATTACTCATCATCATCCAGAAAGTGCTAAAATTATATTTATGACTAATACATAAAATTCAAACAAGACCTTTATTTACATTAGGTTTTCAAGCTCTGGGTGTTGCAACATACATAACAAAATTTCATACTACATTTTTTATAAGTAATCAGGTTGAAAGGCTGATCTACAAAATCAATTTGTCAAACCTGGCTAAGCAGAAAATGTGTCAACTCGGTTTTAGAGTTCTCTGTCAATTTTACACTGTTTGCTTTCGTTCAGAGTATTCCTGATGTCATGGTTATAAAAACAGAGCACTCATGCAGGTTAATTTACAGTGAACTTACTAGTTTTATGTTCTTCAGTTGTTCAGAAGAGCAGGTCAATACTCTCCACCTTGTCTCACAAAGCAATTACAGATCCAAATAGGGAGAAAACTCAATCCATCAGGAGATTGTTAACAGAAAAAAAAAAAACCAAAAACGGATTTAGCAAGACAAGGATTCAGAACTTTCATTCTGTGACAAACTGAATTATAATCTCTCATTCTGCAGAAAACAAGTAAAGATTAATCAAGTTCATTTATTCCATATTAATATTACGCAGCAACCAATATATGAGTGTCTAAGTAAACAGAGATTTTTGAAACGTTTTGCTGCAAAGCTGGCCAGTAATGCACACAAATGATAAAGTCATCAACTCTGTTTACTGCCAGAAATAAAAAAAAATGGCTTCAGGAGCAGATAACACTGATTCATACTGTGCTCAAGCACTAGTCAACAAAATCTATTAAACTACACGGGTGGGAAAAAAAAATCAAAGCAGTTTTGTTATCTTACTTGTGACACCTTATTTAAATTTCAGGCATTAATTCTTTATATCAGCATAAATATGTAGCCTTCTACAACTTTTATAATGTGGTTACAGACACAAAACTGTTATAGCAGAAAGCAAGAGCTAGTTCAAGGAATTTCAGACTTTGAAATCAGCAAGATAAAAAGCTAAAATTCATATGTTCCTTTTCAAGTTATGAATACTTTCACTAAAACATAAATATTTTAACATATATTATTTTTTCTGACATTCAAAATTGTAAAGTCAATATGGCAGAATTATTGTTAAAAGCACATATTTACAAATATTCTTTTTTCCATACATAAAGTATTTGGCATAATTATAACAATCTTACTGCATACACAACTGTTTGCTTCTTTTTCACATAATGGTACACTCCTTATTAAAATTTACCAATTATGTACAAAAATACTTGAACATTTATTATAGAAAACCTCTATTACTACCGTCAACAGCTTGTAACTGCTGAAGGTTTAATTGAGAGAATATAAAAAAGTGGTCACTTTCTTCCAGTAAACTATCAACAAATCAAACACCGCTAAAATCAACATGAGTTTTCCCAAAAAAAGAGGGAGAATATTTTTAACAGCATGATTTAAAATGCAGTTCACACATCTGTTCCCAAGCACATTTAAACAGTCAGTAAAAGAAAGAGGATACAAAAAGTACATACAGAAGGTGCTTTTTTTCCCTTCCCCTCCACATTCCTACATGTTGGCATTAGCTTTCCAAACCTCTTCAGATGCCGGTCACTAAATACAACCTAAGGCCAAACACCATTCTGCTACAATAAAGATGATGGTGATAAACTCAAGCTAAAAAGCAAATCCAAAACCAAAACCTGTCTCCAATGGCATATACACATTGAAAGAACTGTTCAGAATTTTTGCTAGATTTTTACAAAATTATTAAGAATGTTTGCAATTAGCTTTTGAATTGAATAACCGGCAATTTGTATTTTTAAAAATTTGCTCATTTAGTGAATTGCCTTGGTACTAGTCAGTACTGCCCGTCTTCGCGAGCGAAGATCCGGGGAAGGTCTTTCCACCTTCCAGCCTGCGCATTGGATTTTTTAGGTGAGACACAGTGTGCGCGGAACTGAGCCCGCCACTCCCGGGCAGGTGGGGCTCGTTAGCCCTTAAAGGCAACCCACCTACGTCCTAAGGACCTCGCTGCCACCGTCCAAGCTCACTTGGCCCCGGTAGATGAACCTTAGGATTAAAGGGTGGGCTCAGTTCCGCGCACACTGTGTCTCACCTAAAAAATCCAATGCGCAGGCTGGAAGGTGTAAAGACCTTCCCCGGATCTTCGCTCGCGAAGACTGGCCATTATTATTAGTCAGTACTGATTCTTGTGCACAAGTTAAACAAACAATTAATTTTTACCTATTTCATACATAGATTGTATTCTAGGGTGAACTTTCAAAAACAGCAGAGAGCCTCCACTAGCAAACTGCTTGCTTTAAAAAAAAATCCCAAAACAATAAAAGTACATCTACTGGAAGAATAAAAAGTAAATTGCACCTCAAAAAGAAAAAGGATGTGTCAGGTACAATAATACATTAATGGCACAAAACCTTATCAGGATTCACCAGAATGGTGCTGTACACTGAATGAAATACAGGTATTTATCCATCTTAAAAATAACATAAGCGTGTTTCAAAAATTCCAAACCACATTCTTACAACACTTCTCTGCAGTATAACTTGCATTATATCCCAGTTTTTCCACGTACATTTAAAATGGCCAACCTGTTCATTAGAGAAACTCCTTTCAGCCTATATGCAGAAACAACCTAGTCTACAGACTACTTTGTTAGAAAGCGTGCATTTATCTCTTGTAGTAAAGATCCAGTCAGTATATTCTGCATTTTGTAAGAAGCATTTGGCTCACTCAGATGAGAGTTGTAGGGTTTTAGATTTAATTTTTTAAATAAAAATAATGTACAAATAAAAGAATTTATCAGTATTCACCATCATAAAATTTAAAAAAAACCAAAACAACAATCCTCTCATTCATGCTTCCTATAATATCTGGCAACCTAAATTAGTAATTTCATTTCAAATGTGCAACATAATATTAATAAGCATTTCAAAATTACTCAAAAGAAAAGGTGGGCAAAATATTAAAGTGCCTAACTAAACCAGTTTTACCATTTTTAAAAAATATTATTTCTTAAACAGTAAAGAATTGGTTGCAATTAAATATAAAAGTGGCTTCTCATAGCTGAGAGACTTTGCGGGGCAGAGGCCTGGGCCGGGGAACCTGCTCAGTCCTCCTGGTGCTGTTTTCCAGGTTGTTTGGCCGAACCAGCTGTGGCTTGGGTGGCAGTGCCGGTGGGTCTGCGGCGGGCGGGATGGAGAGGCTGTGAGGTAGAGGAACGGGTCTTTTCAAAGTCCGCTCATACACGCTGTAGGGTGGCGGGGTTTTGCTTTCTTTTCTCACAGGCTCCTCAGAAACACTGTAGCTTGGGACAGTCACTGCTGGTTCACTGCCTTGGCTTTCAAAGCCTGATGTCTCTGATGTGCTACATCGGCTGAGTGAAGAGATGCCACTGCTGTAACTCCCTGACAGTGCCGGAGAGTTTGATATGAGCCCCGAGGAATGATACTCCACTGGAGACGGTGTGAATGATTGCACAGACCCCTGCTCAAAAAAAAGGGCGGAAGAAGAATTTACCTGGGGTATATGAAGGAGACCGTTTCCGTGCTGAGACTGAAAACATACACAGATACAGTGCATGGACTCTGTGCCCCTGTTTAATCAAGACCCAGTAAGAAACCAATAAAAAGCTCATTTCAATAGTGCCTGGGTGCACTGTAGATAGTGCTCATGCCAGTAATTCATATAAGTGGAACTAAAACCGCATTTAAATGTTATCTTACTATCATAGTACACTGGAAAAATCTGGAAGCCTTTACAATGCCCTCTTAGTTTTCCCAGCTGCAAGTGGAATGCATCACCTGGCATAGGGAATACCTGGGAGTGTCCTGCCCCCTAACGCCAAAGCACAGGTCTTGCAGCCCAGCCACTGCTGCCTACTGCAGGCTCTCATATCGCAAATTCAGTTTCCAAAGCTTTTCCTCACAGCTTTAGTGCATCATCATGCAGTGACAAGTGCATTTACATCGTGGCATCATTTCCAAGTGCACCATAATATCAGCGTTGGAGGGGAAACCCAAAGCACGTGTCAATGTAAGAGCCACTAATGGGTGCCAGCCCCCTTCAGCTGCTGTTCCTGCTCCCCTTCAGCAGCAGCAGGATGGCAGGAGGTGAAGGCATCACTGCTGCTGCAGACAGCATTTTTTCTGCAGATTCTCCATCCTTCCTCTCCCCCATCTCCCAGGTGTTCCTCGGACACACAAACACAACACACCACCTTTGAGACAAGGGCACAGGTGGCCAGGGGCTGCATCAGCAGCCTCGCAGGTCTCTCAGGAATGGTGAGGGACAGGAAGCTGAGGGCCCAAGCAGCAACCACAGTGCTGACAAAAAATAAAAGGTAGGGACAATAAAGGCCTACCTAAAAACATAAAGCAATCCTATTCCAGTGAAGGAACTTCAAATGAAAATTGTAAAAGGTTATCCCACACTTTCCAAGTTGAAAAGTTTTTGCAACAGATCTAATTTTGACTGGAGTCATCTGAGACAATCCAGACTTAATGGCTTCAAGCACAGGCTAAAAAAGGGATGGAGAAATCACATTCAAGACAAATTTCTCACTCCAATTGTTGTTAGACTGGTTGGCGCTCAGCTGCTTAGCTTGAGGTGAAAGTGTGAGCCATGCAAAAAGGGTGGGAGTGGAGGAAGAGTAGAGGGGCAGGGGTGTATAGAGCTGGCTACACTGACTTTATGCTGTTGAGATAATTTTAGTTATCCATCTAGGACTGGATCCACAGAACACTGAAATCAATGGGGAAAAATATTTAATTAAGATCAGTGGGTTTTGTATACTAGGATGACCTTCTCTGGAAGCACACTGCTAGAACACAAGCTAAAAATTAAGCCCCTGTATATGGCTATGGCAAAACAGAGAAAGTTTTCTTTAGAGCTCAATACATGGTGAAGACATTTCAGACGTTTTGAGGAGCCTGTTTAACTACTTGTTTCATGTTCCATTCCTCTGCATGTGAGGAGGCTGCAGCTGCACTCCTACTCCCACAAACATCCAGGGTCAATTTTTCAAGTAAATTATATATTTGGCTCCATTTCCAAGGACACTTGACACTCGGACTAAGTGACTATAGATAAGATTTAGGACCTTTGCTTTTGTCATTCTGAACAAGAGCAAGTATGCTTAAAGCCTGCAGGGGTAAGCACATGGTTCCTGATAGCAGTGCAGACAGCTTTCACCAATAGCAAGTAACAATCTAGACACCAAAAGAGTCTGGAAATTCATGCTCAAAGTGCAATCCAGCAGCTCTCAGAAGTATTTTGGGCCAGCATTCCTCTCCTAAGCAGTAATCCAGACTTTGTCTGTAAAATGCTTAAATTCTGTCCAGACCTCTAGAAGGAAAATGCTAGGACAAACTTCAAACATACCTAAGAATCATCAGTACCAAGTCCATTCAGGAAAAAAAAAAAAAAAGTCACTCATCTTTGTACAGATCCTAATGCTCTAAAGAGCTTCCTAGTAAGCAGTTAGCACAAAACCTGGGATTGATGCTCACTTCAGCCCAAGGGACCCTACAGTAATAGAACTGTGGGCACTCTGCTGGCCAGCACAACTGCTCCGTGTTGACCTTGGACCACTGTGCAGCCACAAGTGGAAATGTTACAGGCTTATGGGAAGACAAACAGGAGAATGACTATGGACTTGTGACTGAGGACCTCAGGAGGAAAGGAAATATTTTGGAGTGCCACTGTCCTCCTCAGGCAATGTATACCTCTGTAGTATTAGTTAGGCATTGGGTTGCTGAGGGACCACTTTGGCAGGGCTGCCTCCCTCTGTCCTTGCATCTGAGTGTCCTGAAGCACCAGTCATGCTCCTTTCTATTTGCTCTCCTTCCACATTGTTGACTCTAGTATTTCTAACTACAGAATTATCTCTGCTTCAATGGTGCAGTAAAGCCTATGCCCAAGACTAATGTTGTGCAGTCTGCCAGTATTGGTGTTTGCATGGAATAAGCAGGTTGCATGTTTGTGTCCTCCAGCGCTGTGCAATACACAGATTTCTGAGTCAAGTTTTCCAGCAAAAAAATGGGTACCAATATATGGGTACCAATACATTCAAAATGTTTCTTGAAATAGAAAGGAAACCTACTCCGTTTAGCCTGGATCCCCAATTGCTTTAACTGCTAGAGAAGAACCAGTACTTATTCAGACTATTACTTAATGTATGCTACTGGCAGGTGTCAAACTACTTCCAACTTCTTACACAACCTCCCCGGATCATTCTGCAAAGGAAACAGACACTAAAATGACTGAAGCAGGGGTTACTCTCTACATAGCCTCTAATCTAACAGCCCTGAATGCTGGAGGAATAAGAGGAATGAGTTGCACAATAGGTTCTCCTTAGCTGGCATCTCCCCTTGTTCCATGGTTGGAGTAGGTGGACCATCAGACACCTCTTACATGTATTTCTTACTCTCTCTTCTGTCCACTGACTCTGGTGAGCTTGATTATCCATGTAAGTGAGAAGCCTGATACTGAGAGGCTAAAGATTCTGAGGCTTAGGTTTCTTGACTGCATTTTTTAAAATCTTCAGAACTGCAGCAACTATTATGGCTACTTATCCTTGTGAATGGTTTTTGTACAGGCACATGATAACAAAAAGAATACATAATATAATACTAAATAATCTACATTATATATATACACTATCTACTCCAGAACACACTCCAGATCTGTCCCACAAAGGCAATTCACTGCAATAAGACATTACCTTCATTGGTGATCTGCCAGCAGGAGAAGGAGAAACAGAGGCTATGTGTCTTGCTGGTGATGCTGTAAAGTTAGAAAGATTTCAGTGCACTCTTGGCATTACAATTTTCACTAAGAAATCTTTTTAAGTGGATAGGAGATCATTTGATACATAGACATTATCTCTGGTTCCCTCTAGCTACTTTCCTGATGGTTGTAAATAGTTTTGGAGATTTTATTTATCTTACTTGTTCTCAGGATGATCTTGCAGTACAACCAAGTATAAGAAATTTCTGTATCTGCCTTTTCTGACAAATTTTACATCACGGTAGATTGGTTTATATCCTACCAAATGATAAAAGAACTTTAAAAAAGAGTCAGTATTACAACTTTTTACTTTTTGTTCTTCAGAAATATATTATGTATGTGTACATCAAATAAGAAAAAGGACAATACATAATATATCAAACATTTACCTGCAAATATACTGGAAACATGCCTGAGACATACGTCTAATATGCAAAAAGTGTATTCACACCATTGAGAACAATTATATTGATAGTGTCACTCAAGCAGCCTTTTCTTTAAATAAAAATTAATCTTTTGAAGGGCAAATTGGTTATAGTAACAGAACTCATATACTTGCATGATTGCTGTGCATTTTCTGGTCAGTAAGATTCTTTGTGGTTAATGATCATTTCTGATTGCTAACCTCCAATTATCATAAAATCAAACAACTAAATTTGATCATCGTCCCTAGTACTAGCACGAACTGTCTGAAACTACTCAGCCATTAAGTGAAGGGGCAGAGTACTGGAAACAGAATACTGCAGAGAACATTAACGAGATTAAAATACCCACAGAGGCAGTTCTACAGCCTTTCATGTAAGAAATCAAATAGTAAGCTAACCTGCCCAAGAAGTTAAACATTAATCAGAGTGGAAAGAATCCCTAAAGTACTGGAGCTTTGCCTGAAATGTCCATTAACTCACCAGTCTGTGCAGGTCTTGGTGGTACAGGAGGAGATATAAGTTTTCCACTTTCTGATGTGTTTCTGGCTTCCTTTCCACTATCCAGGCTCCAGCTGCTGGGGGTTGTGTTTACAGCTGGAAGAGAATGAAAAAGCTGTTACAGTCATCAACAGTTCCAGTTCTCTGACTTGCCTTTATCCATGAAGGTAAGAATACACAGAGTGAAAATGATAAACAGCTTAATAAGCATGCCTGAAAAGCTCTCATGATTACATCAGCACTTGGAAAGCTCTTAAATAACAGCTGTCAGTGTCCTAGTTGCCTGATGTGTGCATCTGGCCCTCAGGTCAGTTTGTGACTGAATAGCACTGTGGGCCATCAACAGCAGCAGCTGAGATAGCATTCTGGTGCACTGCAAATCCAGCCACAAAGGGAGGTAAGCCTGAAGCCTGTTAATATAATCAGTTTATCTTTGCACCACACTCCTATTTAGAGGTTTCCAGGCAAAGGGGAACAGACTATTTGTAAACTCTTTCCATTAACTCATTTTATACACAGAAGGGACTAGACAATGGAACTCGCCAAATTCCAATCAACCTTCTTCATAAAACTTTCCATGCTAACAGTCTTTTGTTACCTGCATAGACTACATAAAATGAAGGGAGTAAAAATTGGAAGAAATTAAAAGTGTATGACAGAAAAAAAAAAAAATCAACTTAAGAAATTATCGCAGATTGAGAAAATTTCTATGCGCTGTTTGTATCCATGGTCAAGGATCTTTGCTTAACCATGTAAATTGACTATCACCTTGACATGCATAAAATTGGCTGTTGTATTTGTTTGTGTTTTACCTTTACCAAATTCCATGACTTTAACTGAATGATTGCATAAGGTCTGGAACAGCGTCCTTGACAGAACTGGATTATCTCATGTTATCAAGAAGTCACCAATATTAGAAAGAAGCCACATAGACAGAAAGACAGAGCATTTAACGTGGACAGGACAGAAGCTAATTTGAAACACAAAACTATCATTACACTTACTGAAAAAAAAAAAAAAAAAAAAGAAGAGTGGAAGAAAAAAAAATGCTTCAAAACCTTCCCCTTAACTATCCAAAAACATCTTCAAAGCCTCAAACATCTTAACCCACCATGACAATTTCCTTCATTTGTTTGTTTGAATTGTGAGTAGAGAATCGTATGCATGGATCCTGTGCTTATTTCCAAAGATGAAACAAAAAGCAAAGTATTGTTGCTAACTGATGGCATCGATTATTGCTATCATAGCAACAATGAGAGCTCTCAGGATTGCAACCCCAGTATATACCAGACTTAATACAATAAGTACAGCACATATTATATTGTTTTCATATCTGTAACAATACTGTTACAGTATAATTGCACATTAGTTGACCCTGGGAACAGTGCACAGAATAATCTATTTTCTAGAGGATAATTTTGCTTTTTATTGCCAAAATATTCAATACAGTGTTTACTTTTTATTGTAAGATGTCATCTAGCAGTATGGCTTTGCTCTCATCCTAAAAACCGCTTGGCACCAGACCTAGGTACTTCAAATGCCTGAATCTCATGACAAACCAATTTTTTCTTTTAAGTCATTTAAGCAGTCAGTTCTTTGGACTCCTAAAACCTCCAGAAGATAAATATTTTATTTTAACAATTCTGTGATCTACGTGGCTGCATAGGCCAATGGAAAAGTTTTGTCATTTTCATGTTAAATTATTTCATATGATTTTCAGCCCTGTGAAAAATCCCACCTGAGCTTTCATAAAAACTTGGACACAAAAATACCTAAAAAAACAGCTCTTATTAAAGAAAATCTGATTACCGGTCAGTTCTTGTTATAGTATATTCTTCAAATATATACCTATTGAACTGTATCCTTTATTCAGCATACTACAAAGGTTCCATAATGAAATGATTGAACATATTACGGATGTGAAGCACATGATGAAATCATGGCACAATAACTCTGCCAACAATATTGGATTTCCTCATGCGCAAAATTATAAAAGGCAGTATTTTGTCTACAGAAATTCATACGTTTCTCATTTACCATAATTAAAAGAAAAAATCCCCCAAAATAAACGAACCACAAATTGCTCTTTTCAGTGAGAGTGTAACAAGAGCACACTGATTTATATTTGGTAAAGAAGACTTGCATGTACCAACTTCTACCCAACTCTTTAGCTTCTCTCTGCCTCAGTCTCCAGAAGGTGGCTCATCACCCCATTTATCTCTCTCAAGAAGCAGAAAAGACAGCTCTCACATGCAGCAGGCTGCAACCTGCTGCTCCATCTCATCCTCCTGCAAACTTCTGGGCCTCTTTTGAGTGCAACACTCCGTTCAAACACCATGTTCTCCCATTTTTAGCAAAGTATATTGAAACTTAACATTGTTAGTGTAATTTAGTTAGTCAGAATGTTTTGACACGTGGAGATGACAGTATGCACTTAAAAGAATTGGCATGCTACAGGAATATGATCAATTTTCATTGCTTCCAAGATTGGTATGTTGCAGGATTTCCACTTACCTTTGTCAGGGCCAGGCAGATTGGAATCACTTCGTGGCAAAGCACCATCTCCAATATGATTAAACAGCATTCTCTGTAAATTGAGAACAGCATGGTTTACACATAGTTGCTGTTGTATTTCAGGAGTCTTTAAGAAAACAAATATATTTTTGATATTATCCCCACTACATAGGTCTACTTTGAAGGTAGAGTGATAAACGAGATCTAACAACATAAACAGTTTAATAAAAGTGTATGTGTACAGATAGGGAGTCAACTAGTTTTCTGAAAACTGTACACATTGAAATCAGAGGGAGGATTATTATCTACTGAGTTCTGACAGTTTCCAGCACCTTAAAAAACAAAATAAAGCTCATTCCTCAAGTGGTGTCTTGACAGATTAATACAGATTACTAAACAAATAGAGGGATGTATCTGCAAAAATTTCATTAAAGAATCAGGATCTGAATAAGGTGTATTGTTTGACAATGTTCAAGTTATGGCTGTTACCTCAGAAAAGTTTTGTGTATTGTTTTCCAACCTTGATTTTTTTGGTAACAGTGTCCTTACTTCTCTAGTAGATAAGAGCTGACCCACAAAGCATGTTTGTCTTTTCTGAATATTCATTTATTTAAAAAAATCACAGTAAATTTATGAACTAATTTTAAAATTCCATTAGTTACTTTTTTACCAGCTTTCAAATAATCCATAGTCCCTGGTTTGTGTTGATAACAGATATAAACAACATACAGTTAATCCTACAAGTAATTCAGATGTACTTTCCATAGGAAATGACAGCAAGATAAACTTTACTTTTTTTTTTCTTACTTGTTTGTTTGGGGTTTTTTGTTTTGTTTTGTTTTTTAAGCAAGATCAGAAAATCACTGCAATCCAAATAAAATCCTAGTATTGTATCTCTTTATACTGTTCACAGAGGACCATGCCAAATTGATGAGGCACTATGCTGTGGTTCCACAAGATGGCAAACCCAGCTGCAAAGTAATCTTCATGGATCTAACATGTTGCAGCTCCATGTTACAAAGCGAGGAACACATACCTGCCCAATTCAATTGGACTTCAAGCATCTCATAGAGAGAATTCTTTGGTAGACATTGAGCTACACTATGTTTTCTGCATGTCATATTAGAGTCATACTGTGTCGGGAAATATCTGTTTTCCTGAAGTTACCACTAAACTGAGATGGTGCAACTACATAGGTACTCTAATGTGACAAAAATGTGTTCCTGCCTGATCTGGATTGAATTTTCACTGCCTACCAAGTCTGCAGTGCACTAGGATGTGGTACACAAATGTTTGAGTCTGTTTTCTGTTGTGAAGGTAAAGAGCAAAGGCTGAAATAGCAACTGAAATTGGAGGAGATAAAGAGACAAAAGCTGAATGAAATACAGAGAAACAAGGACATACCAAAAGAATGGAATTTAAAACCATATGGAAGAACAAGAGCAATCACAGGATGTTTAATGACACACAAATAAAAACCCCAAAAATGTAAAATTTGAAAAGCTTCATTAGGAAGAGTAATAGTGCAAAAACTAAGGAGGCTTGTTGACCAGTCAATGACAGCAGGCATTTCTCTTCAGACTATGGGAAGAGCTGGAGAGACACTGTACAATCACTCAGCCAGAGATCACAAAGCAAGCACAAATGGATGTTGACTGAAAGCAGCTGTACATAACCTTGAGCATCAATTTTAATGAGGAAAGTGGATGCAGTACTGCTGTGGTCTTGTTCTATGAAGTCCATCAAACTTCCTTAAATAAGGTAGCTATGGCCTGAGAGGAGTTCCAGTGCAGGAATTTGCCTGTGTATCTCATCTTTCCCAACTGAAACATTAATGTGAAAATTGCTTTCATTAAGCTGTAACAAAGTCTTTCATAAATGGGTCGTCCTTTCCTCTTTAGCTTAACGTGAAGCTCCAGCCAAGACTACTGAAATTAACTGGTATTAGAATAAAAGTAGAAAGGACAAGGAACAGTTTGAGCAGATAAATTCTAATGAGAGCTGCAGGTACCTCTAAGATATCTCCTTACAATTGTCCTGAGGATTTCTTTTCCCATTCTTAATCAGAAGGCAAAGAATCATGATTTTGTTTGTGATCACAGTCCATTTTTACTTCTATGGGAACAGAGCACCAGAGAAAGAAATTTCACCTTTCCCCAGAAAGATATATCTTCATTTCTGGTTATAAGGGCAGAAAGAAACTGTCAGACCTTCTCACCTTTTAAACATACTTCACTGTATGAGCAAGTTAATTTTCTACTTACCCTCTCATGGGACACTGAGGGTAGAGACAGATTGGGAGATTTTCCTGCTGGGCGAGTCTCAGAGAGAGCGGAGACTGGGCCTACGAGCTCCTCAGCCTCCCTTATGGAATCTCGGATAGAATGGGGGATAGAAGTCGCATTCCACTTGGCAAAGCAAGAGTTTGTAGTCTGGGAGCAAAAATGGGATAATTTTTCTTTGCGGCAAACCATAAAACCGCTTTATTTAAACATCTCCTGATCTTTCCTGTATGTTGTTTTGACTCCACTACCACTGAGAAAGGGCCCAGTAGATATATCTACTATAAGTAGAACTGTCCTTAAGTCTGGCTAAGCTTCAGTATTACTTCTTAAGCCCTCAGATAACAGCATGAGGACTTAAACAGAAAAGAAATAAAAAATTAAATCAAGAGCCATTTCAATAATTGAAGAAATAAGGGACAAGAAAAGAACTAATGAGAAACCAATAAATAATTTCTAAAACAAAGGATCCTGGACTAGCAAGTTGATTTTTATCAGAGGCAAAACTTTTGGTAGAAATCAGTGTTGAAAGGAGGGCTTTTAACACTGTACTTATGTTCTTATCTTTCTCAGCTTCAGCAAGAGGTGCATTGTGTGATGGCAGAGCTTAAAACAGCAATTGTGTTAAAGGAAAGCACTTAAAAGGAAAATAGGTCCATTAATAAGAAAAGATGAAATAAGAATTCAATATTGGCCAGCTCACCAAGTTCATTTTCCATTTCAGAAAACCCAAAAGAAATGCATTTCATAAAGACCTATATAACAGTATTTTAAGGTAAGAACACAATTAATTTTTTTCTTTGGAGTAACGAAATGTCTATGATTTTTTTCTGAAACTACATTGAAAAATAGGAATTGCCACATGGAATGGGTTATTATCTCACAGTGGCTAGGATTAGCTTTCTCAGAAGAAATAAAGGGGAAGTCAACAAGGATAACTGCCACAACAACAGTTTTTCTTTCTTTTTCCTTCTTCCCTAGATAGAACAAATGCTGTTGTTCCACACAAGCAGGCTGTGTCAGCTGCTAAGTTTCTGTCTCTCTCTCTCACTGCATTGAGTAAATGTATAGAAACAGATCTAAACCTAGGGAAATCAAGCGGAAATGCGATGAAGTATCATGTATTCTATTCACATCTTTTTTATGTAAAATATTTTAGAGTATTTGCTTATAAAAACATAAAAAATCCCTTGAAAATTAAAAACAATGAGTAGACTGAATCCGCTCAAGTTCAGCATGTGTCTTCTGAGTTATTGTGCTCTGAGGACTCTGAACAAACTTCTTACCTGCGAAGTTTCCGAAGGAGTAGGGTAGATGGCACTGCAGGGCCTCTCTCTGGGAGACAGGCAAGAGGTTTCTCGGGAATGCTTATGTTTGTCAGACAACAGAGGAGAGGCTAGAAATAAATGTGTCGAGTGATTAAATTCATTCAGTGAAACATTTCAATTCTATGCTTATGACAAAGAAATCCTCTGTCCCCAATAATTCATATTCCTCAAATAATTGGCTAAATTTGATGTCTGACCAGTGCTGTCATGTAGACATTCAGCTGTGTAATGTATCAAGTATAATTTAATATGGTTTACCACAAGTGATGAGCACTGACCTCTGGCACTGGATGGAGCAGAACTGGTCACGTTAGGTGAAGCAGAATGAGTAGAACTCAGGCTTGAGGTAGACGGACTAGGCTGCATATAGAAGAGATACTGTTGTTACCACATCACACTTATTAGTTTGGAAAACAAAAATTTATAGTATACTTTTCACTAGAACAAAGAACTTGTAATATCTTAGAGCAGATTATCAGTATTTCTAAATAGCAAACCAGTATAAAGAGAATTAAACTAATTACACAAGATGTAGTAAAACATCAAATAAATATAAATGTAATTAATACAATGAAACAATTACATCCCACTGTAAAAACAAGCAGACAGAAAGGTCTATGTAAGGTCAGATGACTTTGCATCACAGTCCATTCATTGCTCCTTACTGCATTTGTAAAAAATTAATGCTTCGATTAAAACATGAGAAAACAGTTACATAAAAAGTTATTTCTAAGTTAATGAGGTTAAAAGCCCATTTAAAGATTTGTTTTTAAAAAGAAGTATCAGCAATAATGTTGAGATCTCTGAATTAAATAACAGAAACATTACTTTACTAAATAGCCCTGTAAGAAAGATTCTGTATAGCTTGAAGAATGACAGTAAGTTGTACCTGCATGTTAAAAACTTCATCTGAGCTTTCTGACTGCCCAGTGATATTGCTGACTTCAGCAGAAGCTTGGGATGACAGTGATGAGGATGAATACCGATTGACAGCTGGGTAACTCAAGGGGCTAATATAAGAATAATGAAATACAAAATTGTTAACTCTAATTGTCAATCATAACTTCTCATGGGAAAACAGCACATGTTTACTAATCTTTAAAGTTCATTTCGGGATTGTGGGGGGAGGGTGACAGAGAGAGAAGAGAAAGAGAGAGATAATATATATACCAGCTATTCATGGCTGAAGATATTTCAGGCAGATCATACAAGAAAGCATGCACATAATAGAGGTATTTTATGGGTTATCTTCCATGAATAACAAAAGCCAGTTACTAGTATTTTAACTTGCCTGCGTCGTGGTATTACCCTGGCAGCATCAGGGCTCATAGAAATAGGCATGGAATTCCGGCATACACGAGGACTTCCATTTGGAAAATGAACAGGACTAGCTTGTACGCAGGCAGAAAATTCCTGGCAAGTTATTAAAAGAAGATTAATTCAAATAAACATAATACCATTAAGCATTTTGTAAGATACAGAAAGTAATTTCAATAGTTATATCTGCATTTTGGATCACCTTCATAATTAGGATGAAAAATATTTTAACTTCTCACTGCTGATAGTAAAACGTGACTACTTTTCTCTGCACAGTATGGAAAGTTTATGTTTCTCTTCGCTTCGTGGTTCTGCAAGGCTACAAGCTGTAACGTGGACAACCAACCAGAAGATGTCACTGTTTGCTGCTTGGGAAAATGAAACGATCCTTAGTGCAGCTGAGTGCTCTCCTGATCTATCCATGCAACTGCTCATGTACCTGTATTCCCAAGCTTGACTTCATCACAAAGAACTGATCCACCAGCTTTTTGTGTAGTGGCCTCATGTCCTGCGGCACCACCTTCTCGTGCACAGCCAAGCCAAATTCTAGAATCTGAGCCTGCAGTGTGGGAAAAATATATTTTTGATACATTTTCTGTAAGCTTTCATCACCAACCAGGATACTAATAAAAAAAAATCTAACAAAATGCACATTGCCTTAAAAGCATCAATCTAACTGCCTGAAAGATCTGTAATCAAACAAGGCCTAGGACCAAAAGCAGTAACACACAAGAGGATTTATGCCTCTTCCCATTTACTATTCAACTTTCCCAAAGGTTTCACCTATGCAAATTCAACTCCAATATAAAACCCACTATGGATAATATAGTGAAAAACCTGGCTAAATAGTAGCTTTACAAAGCAGCAGGTCTAAACCTTAAATAAAAGCTATTTTCTACAAGAACAGTTGTAAAAAGCATGAAACCACAGCAATAGCCACATCTACCAGAGATCCTGTAATACATTTGCAAGGAAGTCCATGGCCTCCTCTCCTATTCCAATTCCCCAGAGACCTCTGTAAGTCATGGCTTTATGTATATTCTTGACACAAGGCATGACAGGCTTCAGAATAACATTACTGAAACTCTAATCTTGCTCAAATTTGGCCTTAGGCATCCAAAATATTGAACTGGTTTCATGAGGAATCAGATGAAGTCAAACTTAAAAACAAAATAGCTAGAGTATGTTGTAATATCTTGGATGAGAGCTACTAGCTGATGTTTTCAGGCAGCCTGCGAGTGGGCATGCAGCTGCACAGCATCACTGACCCAAGGTCAGGACTGTAGCACATCCATCCACATGCACAGCCATCCCAGCCCTTCTGAATCTCCACATTAAATCATCTGTGGATGCCAGATAGGCTTTAACTGCTATTGCTTGGAATTCACAGTTTTGTCACAGGAAGTTATTAACTCCAGCTTTACATTGTAAAGGTTAGTGAGATTATCTATAGCTTGAATTGCAATTAAAAATTGTCATTCAGCTGATCTGACCAAAAACATACCACAATGCTGATGAAAAGTGGAATTTCCATCTTGCCAAATTCCAATACTCTGACCTTTTTATCCTAAACTGGCAATAAAATCTGAAATTTCAACATGCTGCATAGAACGAAGACAGGTAACGGTCAGTTAAAAAAGCTGAAATAGTTCATAAGGTCTTTGATTAAAAAAATTTTTTTCAGCATTTTCAAATGGAGATGCTTCATATTTGAGGCTGGAAGGTCATTGACTTACAAAGTAATGAAGAAGGAATTAAAAAATCATATAATGCATAGAATACTCCTCTGTTTATTTAATCACTTGGCATTTATTTTATTGCCTACCTACTTTGCCAATTATCATTAGATATCTTTCATTGCAATAAGATTATTTCATGCCTTTTTGCTCTTATGGCAAACCTTGCAGTGAAATTATTTGTTCTGTAATATTGGTAAAATATGTCAAAGAAATATTTGCTGAAGCCATCAAATATTTCAATGAAATGACGTTTATTGTGTAGTAGCGATAAAATATGTTGTGCAAATATTTGTGTATGAGCATGACAGAACAGGCCTCTAATTCAACTTTTAATTTCGAATAGTTTGAAGTAATTAAGGTGATGATGGAAAGGACTAGAGAAAAAATACTAACATGATCCAGAAACCTGCTTGCATAGAAAGTTACTGTCTGCTTAAAACAGCTGAGCAGGCCACCTAGTCAGTCTTTTCCCCACTGTACCTGCTCGAGCATCAGCTCTCTCAAGCGTGTGATCTTCTCTCCATCCTCTGGATGGTTCAAGATGTATTCTTTGATGAAGAATGCCTAAGCAGAATAAAATCACAAAGTAATACAAAGTGAGTAAAAACACAACTCTTTCAGGTTTGGTTTTTTTTAAACAAGTTTCTAGGTAATATTTTCAAATATTTTCAAAGTTCCTTTCTACTGCAATAACAGATAATACATGTTAAATAATTAATTATCACATACTAATTGGTGGAGATTATAGGCAAAAAAAATGTAGCCTCTCTTGAGTGGCATTTATAAGTTGTTTAGTATCCAGGACAGACCTGAAGCAAATTTTGAAACCTGCAAATCAGAGTTGAAGCCAAATACAGGTTACCTGAACCAAATATCTCTTCCCCAGTAATTGTGACACAGAAGTTTCAAATAATTACAAAGAGTTTGATTTTCCTCTCTTTTCATAGTATGACCTCCCTTGTTCTTAAATGTAAAGACAACAACAGCGTGGAACTGTATGCTATTACATGTATCAGAGCTGTGACATTATCTTCTTATTCACTTAATATAAATAATGTTCTAAAGAACTCACAGTGATCATCTGACCAACATCCAAATATGTTTGTGAGCTTACATAACTTTCCAGTCCATTTTCAATGCTCAAATTGCACCAGCTATAATACCCCAAAGTCATTTTACCCACCAGCAATGGTCTGGTCATAGTACTCTCCCTCTTTGTTCATGATTGCACCTTTCTTAACATAATGACTATTCTACCCTGCAGGGGGATTATATTGAGTTTACAATTCTTGACACTATTCTGTAAATAAAATGCCCAGCAGCTTATTTGAAAGACTTCTAAAGCTTTTTAAAAATGCATTTGTCACAAAAAAGTGTCTCTAAATATATCTATACATACATACACATGTCTTTCCATCCCCAGAGTTGAGAGGATAATAGCGGCTGCTCTGGGCTATGTTTTCCTTTTGCACCTGTCTTAGCATTTCCCTCATAGACTTCTCACTGGGTTCTCCATCCAACTTTAGCTCTTAAAATCTTTGCTATGCAGAAGCATTTGTAAATATGGGGAGCAGCAAAACTGGAGATAAATACATGCCTTCTTCTGATTAAGTTCCAAGATTTCATGCTGTGACAAACCATAACAAGAAAGTGCTGAGATCTACCTAGGAAATGCTGATACCATTCACATGGCCTTTTTGCTGCAGATAAGTAAACTATAAGAACTCAGGTTTAAGTTGTTAAAAGGAGCCCTCTGATACTTGCTGAAATCCTAAGCCCCAAACTTCTGCCAGCTGATGAGATTTTTTCCCCTTAGCTACAACCTTAATGTTCTAATATTGAGCAGGTGATGTGCCAGTGGTTTTGGGCTGAGATTTATAGAGATCTATAGTGTGAGTTACAGATGTAATAATCTAACTTCAAACAAAATTCCCAGTAACTATCAGAATTTGACTAAATCCAGTAACATTTTTGGAACCAGTGGCTTCCAATAATTAATCATGAAAGGGCCTCTACTCTTCTAGCACATGTAAAAGAGTGAAAAGAAACGTAAATTTTAGTACAAATTGCAGTTGAGAGGTGTTAGTGGGCACCAATACAACTCTTCATGTTTTTCCAGCAGAATTTAGAATTATTTTTTTTTTAAATTCAGTCTTTTTAGCATACATAAAGGTGCTGCATAATAACTATAACTTCTGTAAACTTTCCAGGAGTCTGTTCCTGTATTGAATCTAGTGAATGTATAGCTTTAATATCTGCAATACCAAAGTGCTGAAAAGCTGCTTTTTTCCCCCCCATCAGGAGAGGGGGGAGGAAACCATAAAATAACTGAGCAGAAAAAAAAAAAAAAAAAAAAAAGAAGAAAGGAAAAGGGAAGGGAAGGGGAAAGAAAAGAGGAAAAAGGGGGAGGAAGGAAGGCAGAATCAAGAAGGCAGCAGTTGGCCAAAGGACACTTCTTAAGGCTTGAAAGTTGCCTGAAGGGAAGGAAGATATTGGTAAAGACATGGTCACGCTTACCTCAAGAGCAAATGCTCCAAGACTGAATGAGTCTTGAGCTTTGTGCAGGGCAGAAGAGAAGAGCATTACAGAGGGGAGATAACAGGAAAAGTAGAAGATAAGAACTGGCAAAACAACAGGAAGACATATAGAGACTGAAAAAGGGACATGTAAGGGAAGAATGAGGGTGAAATGGGAAAAAAAGCGCCTCACAATTATTGGTAGCAGTTTTGATGTTTAAAACACAAATTGCTGAAAAGTTCTATTTTAAATATATAGTGACAGGCAGAGGGCAGAAGGGAATTGAAACTTGAACACTGTCCTGGAGGTCAAGAACTGCAGCTAACAACAACAATAAGAAAGGAGCAACTAACATGCTTGTGAAGAATGGAGAGCTATGCAGAGACACTCTGACACTGTTAATTCAAACCAGACATAGTTTTGACATGACTGTATTTCTCCAGGGACTCCCTTCATGGTGCTTTACTATGTAAAACAGTTTTGTTGTTGTTTAAGGCAGTTGGGAAACATCAAACATGTTGCTGCTTTTCTTTAGTCTCACAATTTTCATAACACTGCAGTTTTGATGACAGATTCTAACACTATACCAGATTCAATTTCCTGTAGTTTAATTTAGATGCAGTTTTATCAAATTTAAGACTGTTGAGTGAACAGCAAATCTTGCACCCTTTGAGACAAGTGGACAGAATGTTATTCAATGAGACATTTTCAAAGGAACAACCAGCAGACTCAAGTATTTCGTAAGACTATGGAGAAAGAGGAAGATCAAGTTGGGCTGAAAAAAAAAATCCTTTCTTTTTACTGCGGTTTCAAAATTCCACAGAACTTTGTGCAAATACAGCATCCCAAACGCTTACAGTTCTTCTAAGGTGATTCAGAAATTATAACAATGAGCAGCAACTTTTGGGAACAAATCCAGTGTTAGACATTTCTTAATTATAAGTATTTTTTTTCTAGATTTTTTTCCCCCCCAGGAAATAGCTTTCCTTAAAACTTGTAAAAGACAAACAAGAAGGATCTAGAAAATTATTACGATTCTTCAAGATAATAAATTTATTACTGAGAATTTTATATAAATATATATATATATATAAATATATATATATATATAAATGAGAATGCAGCACAACAAAGTAGATTTGCTGGTTGGCCAGAAGTAGCTCCTGACCTAGAATAGGCAATGTACTATAATAATATACTTACAATTAACTATTTAATTGAATATCTCCACATGAATCACTGAAGAATGCAAGGTAATTATGAATTGACTCATTGCTGGAATAAGTTTACGGTGTTATCTGCAGCAAAATAGTTGTTTCAATAAACTATACATCCTTAATATCACCTAACCCAAAATTACAATGTAGGTATAATTATAACTATTATTCATATATTACTTTCTGCCCTTACTTCGTACAGAGAAGCTGCATCTGTACAAAGAAAGAAGTTGGATTTTTAATAAATGGAAATAAATTGCTTACCTCTTGGTATCTAGCAACTCCTCCATTAACTGCGGCATCAATGACCCCATTTAGACACATTGTGAGAGGGTTAATGTTCTGCATCTGTCGTGTTTGACACTGACTAATCAGTGTTCTCAGCTGCTGGTTCTTATTTTCTAACACTTCAATAGCATTCTCAAGGGGACTCATTTCCACCTGAAAGGAGAGTGAATAACATTGCAAACAACTTAATCTTCGGCTGAAAGATGAAATAATACTATGGGTAATTTTTGATTTCTTAAAAGAAAACAATGTTATTCTATGTTCTAGAGTACTGGAACAGAAAATTCTCCTCACCTGGGTTACGCTCCATGAGTATACACTCTGTGCACAGAGAGATTTGATTTTATCATGTAATCAATGACCAAAACAAACAACTGTCCCTCTCATGCAGATTTGTTATCCGACCTTGAGAGATGACTCAGCCCTTTCTACAAAACACTCACATACTTTCAGCCAGTGGTGCAACTCCTGGAGTTCAGGGGTAAACTGTCCTTGGTAACCTTACCTAAACTGGGTTTGAGATTCAGCAGATTAAGGGCACAGAGCAGAGTTTAAGTCTTGGTGACTTAGTTTCCCCACCCAAAACGAAATCAACAACTAGACATTATGAGTGAGGAATTTGAATGTAAGCTTTGATCTGAGATGATGACCAAGTTACAGTCAAGGGCAGTCTTTGAGCAGGATGTGCCCCTCATCTCTCAGAGAGGAAGCTTTTCTCACAGGTAGCATGAACTGCAGCAGAAACAAAGCTTTTCTCACAGGTAGTACCAACTGCAGCAGAAACAAAAAGCTAAGCAATGAGAAGAGTACACGCCTGCAGCTACTCTGATTTACCAAAACATACAAGCACAAATCTGAGTCATAATCTCATACATGCCCAGGAAAAATTATTACAGTTAGCTTTTGGAAATGGTGACTATAATGGTAACATGACAATAAACCAAGGGTCTTCAGATTAGGGGTCATATTAACCTAGTAAGAACTCGGCAGGAGTCAACTAACAAAATTTCTCATGTCACACACAATTTTTTGATTTGTACTAAACTCCATTTTTGGTTTTCTAGAGGAGAATATCAGGATGGTGAACAAATGACATTTTGTTGCTATTATGAAAGAAAAACGCAACAGAGGTTTAAAGAAAATCACTTGTAATATAGTATCCTCATATTTAAAGGGATTATTGTAAAATTGGCTTTGGCAAGAAGGAAAATAATTATAGGTGGTGTACTCCTGGCCTCAACAACTGACCAGTTATTTAGAGGTCTTTCTAGGAGAAGCCCTCCTCTGAATACAACTGGAATATATATAAAGATTTTCTAAGAAATATAACAAGGAAGGAGAAGAAATTACAGTGTGTCAGTAACAGATTGCTACATTAGATCCTATTGCTACAGGTTCTGCTGAGCAGCTCATGGCATTTATTATAGCACAGGAACTTGGAGAATGTTTCCTTATCAAGTATACTAAAAGATACGTAAAGCTATAGATATTCTAAGTATTAAATGTTACATCATGCTGAGTTTTAAGAAAGTAATTTGCTGACAGTATGTTGCCTTTGTGTGCCCATTATTTTTCTCAACTTCTTTTTTCCTGTTTAAATGAATCATAAGGTTGGTTCTTAATACTTTTCAAGACAAGAGAAATCAGAAAACTCAAAATACTTCGTAAGTAATTTTGTTGTAGCCAGCGTGCGACCTTGCACAAAGAAATTACACGGTAATAAATCTTAAAGTAGTTCATCAAATAACATCAGCCCACATTTGACTAAGAAAGTAAACCAATCCACAAAATGTATTGATATCAGTCTCATACTCACCACTTCACGTTTTTCCACTTCAAACCAACGAGATATTCCAGGTAAACTCTGCACCAAGATCAGTGTGGTTCTCTCTACCCATAGACTCTACAATATACAAAAAGAATTTATTTCCCTACTTTGCCTCTATATTTCCCTTAATTATTCTCAGGTTTCTTTATGAATACCTTCACTTAAGTAATAATATACATTAAAAAAAAGTACTAACATTCAAGTTCCTACTGAAATGTCTATCCCATAAGCTGATGGCATTCACTTTTCTTCTTACTTTCTATCTCCTACTACTAAGCAGTAATTTCTGTTGATTCTTTTGCTGACTCTTAAGTGTGGTATTAATCTATACTATATGTTGTTTCCAAATGTCCAAAAGTCATTCACAACTGAATTAACATTTTAATATTTCCTTTCCAAGATAACATCTGAGAAGAGCAAGAGTTCAGAAGCAGAACAACTTAAAGATCTCAGAGTGTGACCAGCTCTCCTCTGTGAAGTCCTATCTGAGATTCCACAATGCATGCCTGATGGGATACGCAAGTGTACTAGTGGTAAACACTTCATGCAAGTGGTTTGTAAAATGACAAATGAACATATAGGATATTGCTTACACAAAAACCTGTATATTTAAAACAAAGCCTAAACTTAACTTAGAAAACAGTAGTGACTCAATTTAGCTAATTTATTAGCCTTACAGTTCTTTCCTCTAACTTCATAAAAAATATTACAGGATAACTCTTTTTGTCTGTCTGAATACAAGAATATATTCTGCATCAGGATGTGTTTATATGGGTCAGAATTAAAATTACACCAAAAGATGAATTTTCAGTGTGACATTTTTATTAGGAGGAACAGAAGGAATTTACATATCAGGGAAGGAACTATGGTTTTCACCTGACACAATCTCTAAATTCAGAGGTAGCTTTTAATCTTGATATCACATAAACAGAACATTATGCTGCAATTTAGTAAAAACTGTCTCTCTCTTGCTCTAGGGAGAGATAACTCTAGGCAATCCTACCCATACTCCAGATTATATACTTAACAATGTTTTCTCATCTGCCTTAGAAACTCTTCTGGAGACTACTCTGCTCTCTCCAGTTCTGCCTTCTATATATCACAGATGCAAAAAACCAAATGGGTAAGTTTTTCACCCCTATTCACCTATACAATGAGACCTTTGCATCTTCTATATATTTTTCGCATTATTTTATTCAAAATAAGGAATGAAATAGTCAAACCTGAGATATATCTCCTCTAGAGGATTTGTTATACCACACTCAGTTGAGTAACACAACTAGAGATGATGTTTCAATAACACAGCTTGTTGATGTTACAAATAAATCCAAAGGTCCAGGAGCTCAGGAAAGGGCATGATACTTTACCTTGAATTCATTTTCCTTGTCCTTGGTCCCTTTGTGAAATGGCCTGTCATATCGGAATCGCCAGATGTGATTTACTTTGTAAAAGCTCTTGATATTATCAGGAATGCCATCTCTCTGCAAGACTTCCTGGTTTTCTGGAATTGGTGTCACTGCATAAATCTGCAGATCTGTATGTAAAGAGTTAAGGCTATCCCACTTCATTCAAATTAGCAAAGCAGATTGACTTCTGAAGCATTACAGAAAACTCTTTAAAAACTGTGTATCATGAAATGCTTCTAGACTATTAATGGCTTGGGAAAGGAGCCGGAGAGATTTTTTGATCGTTTGGGATTTCTTTGTACTGTTTTGTTGAAAATTTCAACTTTATTTTTGAAATAGAGCTACTTACATGGCCTAGGTCGTGGAGTAAAGGGATTTAATAAATATATTCTTACACACAATATGTCATGCCATGCTAACATAATGTACTGTAAGAAGTTAAATTACTGTAACTTGAACTGATATGCCATTATCACAACATTGATAATTCTACAAATATTTTTAACTAAAGAAAGAATGTCAATAACCTGTCAAAGAATTTTAAAACAAAATCAACAGATAAAAAAAAATCCAAACATAATAGTGATGGGGACAAAATTTAGGCTAATTCTCACCTACCATTTATTTCAAGGGAGACACATTTGTGACTGAAATTGTCCATAAGTGCCCCTACATTTTTTAAAAGCATGAAAGATATAACTGCAGAGTATGGCTTTGTGATTATGTGGATACACTGTGCTTCTGCCTGAAAGATGGTCTCATCTGGCTGATTAGCATGTTGCATAGCAATGGCATGTGGGAACTCATTCAACATTCGCTGCTGGAAGGCCTCCAGCCTTTCATAGTCATGTCCTCGGCAAACAAATTCCTTATTCTGAGCAGAATAAGAAAACAGAAGTGAAGAGCAAGTTACATGAAAATAATTTAGATCCAAACACAAGCTCCTAAATACAGACTTCCCAGGCATCATTTTAAGACAGGAGAAATAAGAAACAAAAGGCAAGAATGAAAATAAGGAATCTAGAAAGAACAGGTTACTTAGAAGAAGGAAATTTTATCATATAAGGTATATTGGTTTTTTTTTTCAAAAGTCCAGAAAAATGGAATAACTATACTTCAAAGTTTAATAAAAATCTGAAGGGAGAAATTGTTCTTAGTGAAACAAAATATGTAACAGAAACATAACCCAACAAACAGTTAAGACAATGAAACAGGTTGGAAGTCCATTCCATGAGGAACTAAGAAAATTTGCTCTGATGTTATACAGTTGTGAAGAAAAACATTCCATAATAAGAAAATTGGTAGAAGGCATTCAATTTGCCTTATGCTCTAAATGTTTATGAGGTATCAGCCTGGTAATTAAAAATGATCCAGTTTTTGCAATATGAAGAATACTCCTGGCATTGAATTCTGGGAACTTTCATGGGAATTGTTACAAGAAAACAGTATTATTATTCAACTAAAATTAAAATATGAAATCTTTATTATGAAGTTTATTCTTTATTCCTTCTACAGCAAACACAGCTAGACTTACAAACTGCTTTGCCATAAAAAAAAAAAAAATCAAATGTATTAAGTTTATCCTTGTTGGTGTTGCAAGCATAAATCTGTGCTGTGCACATTTTACTTGAAAAATGCATAAGAAGATGTATAAGTAGTGGAAGACCTAAGGTCTGAAAGTACTGCACTGTTGTGCAAGTTAACTTCTTCCAGTACTTTTACTTCATTGGTAGCTGCTTAGCAATCTAAACACTTAATTCTTTCTAATTAAATCTTCAAATTAAAATATAACAGAATTTATATTAAGATGACCAGTAGGTAATATCAAGAACTATCTTCCCATTAGACTCTTTCTGTGAATTGATTTTAAAGGGGAGAGTTTCATTCTATAATTACCATTTAGAAATCATAATTTTCCCCATCACTAAGGGAAAGACAAATCGGGCTTTTTAGGCCTCCATACACAGAGGAGGTTCCTTCATCACTTATTTCAATTACCACAGGAAGAGAAGCTTAGATTATGATTGCATCTGCTCCATGAATAAGAGGGATTCTGTCCTCTTCCTAAGGTGACAGTCAGTGCAGCTGAATCACTGCAGACTGTGGAAGAGGGAAGAGTGTAAACACGACTAACATTTTCAAGGGCATTCCAGTAACTTCAGAATCCCAGATTAATGATCAAGAGTAATAACTTTATGTATCTTGTCAGTTTTAGTACATTGATAATCAATGAAACTCAGCATGTGGAACTTCCAAGTAATTTAAAAAAAATAAGAACTTGGGAATGTAATTATTTAAATGCTAAATTCCTAGAGGTACTTCTGACAACCTTTTTCTGAGCACCAACCAGCAGAAACAGAACAGGATAAAGGGAACAAACTACTATGAAAAGATGACACTGGTCTGTGGAACCATATAGGTGCATGGTTTCCAACATAAACATGAATATTATGTTTATGGGGGACTCCAGAAGGCTACCATTTGTCTTTCCATTAGTCAGGACCTTTTCTTAACCCTGAAAAATGAGGGTAAAGAATTTCTCACAGGATAAGAACTTGTATATGGTATGAACGAATTTTCACATAAAGAAAGTGATTACGAATGACATAATCTGCCTTCCAGAATTACTCCATTCTGTTTATTTTCAATTTACTTACTCTCAAGAAGAATGGGAACTTTTTCCCATAGAATCCAACTCTGAAAAATTCTGGCTCCAAACGCTGTTGATCCATAATTTTATCATATAAGGATGCTTCCATCATCTGTGTGAGATTGATAACAAATGCAATTAGTCTTTTTTGAAAACATTTTTTTACCATAAGCTATCAAAAAAGGGAGTATCTTTCAGCTCTGGAGTACCAGAACTGCAGTCTATCTTTGAGCAACAAGGACATCCAGAATTCTCTGAATGCATCAGATTAAGTAATTATACCTCTTTAATGACCTGAAAGTTTTCAAGAATTAAAAAAAAAAAAATCCTTTTAAATGTGAAGTACCTATATTAAAGGGGTAAAATAGAAAGGCAGTTTGAAACATATGACCCAGTAATCCGCTAATCATCCAAACACATGGCAGTAATGTGGTCAGTTTAATCAGTGAAGTCCAATTCCCATATTCAAGACAGTTGTGTCCAAATAATTCACATGATTTAAGCAACAAATCTGAATTCCTTTAAAATCTCACAATAGCAATTAACATAATTTTTGATCAATATATCCTGTTTTATTTCACTCAAAACACTGACACAAAGGGATCTTAATGTCAGTTCCCTTTTTCTGATGATATTTTCAGCTAAGTTTTTAATATTGTGTAAAAAACATCCCACAGTATTAGCCCTATTTTAGGTAATGCAGCAGTTATTTAATATGCATATGATATCAACAGCTGCCTAATTATATTGCTATGGGAAATCCCCATGCCTCCATTTTTGGATTAATGTAGGTGGTACAGATATAGTAGAAGGATATTTCAAACACAAAACACATGAAATACAATTAATTGAACATGCATAAGCTAATCATTTTATTCACATGATCATAGTCAGTTTGCTTTTGCTTACAGGATTCTGCCAGTGGCATATCTAAATACATATGGAATAAGCAGATCACAGAGAGTGCTGCCATATAGCTGTGTTGAGAATTTTGCATAATGTTGTTAAGTAGCCCTGGATTAAAGGGGCTTGAGTCAGTCCTAGCAGCAAGCATCCTATATATACAGAAAATTTAAAAGAGAGGATGCAATTCAAAATTGAATCCATCAGAAGCAGATAAGGAAATGGAAGAGTGAATAACCTTTAAAATACAGTATCTGAAAGAATGAGAAACAATGCTTAGAGGTCTAATAAAAATGAAAGAGACAACAGGAAGACTGTGCCCGGAAAGATTGACTTTGACTATATATTATTAAATAGACCATATCTTTAAACAGTAAAATAAAAAAATTGCAAAGGTGCACATTGTTTGTGGCAAGCTGTTTTGCTGCAAAGATATGCTGCTGCTATTAGTGAAGGACTGCATAGACCAGATTCCCTGGATAAACTGTAGGAAACCAATGAAAGTGAATTTGTAAAATAATTTTTCTGCAAGAACATTAATTTTATAATAAAACAAAGCAACTTGGTCAGGTGGAATATGTCCCTGCCCACAGCAGAGGGATTGGAACTAGATGATCTTTAAGGCCCCTTCCAACCAAAACCATTTTATGAAGCTATGATTTTCCCACTTTTCTTCAAAAACCTCACACTCCTTTTTTATAATCTTTATTGTAGAAAAAACACCCTCAGAGTAAAAAGTAAGATTGGCAAACCAAACCTAAGAAACATTCTGTGGCAAATTTAATTTTCTAAATAATATTTTATAATCCAAACTAAAAAGCTTTTGGATTCCTGTTTGATGAAAAGTATTTAGATACATTACCCTCATCTTGCTGAGGTTTCTGTAGTCATAGTAGCTCTCATACTGTTCTGCAATTTTCCTGCATAAGATAATGCCATTTTCCCAACACTGTAAGCAAGTAAAAGATGTTCAGTAATTCAAAGCAACTGTGTGACAATTTGTGATTTATTAGTGGCCTGTTCCATCTATACTGTCATACTTCCTGTAACTGAAAATATTCACACAACCTGTCCACTAGACATAATGACAGCTGCTGAGTAATAATGAGGAATTCTTTGAAGGATTAAAATATATATTTAGAACTTAATAAATTATTCTTATTGGACTATGACTGCACAAAATATAAGTCATTGCAAGAGTAATGGACATCTCTCAATATGACATGAGATGGATTCAACATAGTATGATTTTTACATCCTAAAATATTTTAACCATGTTGTAACTTAAACTCTGTAACATAATTACAGAATTGTTTGAAAAACCTGATAATCAGTGTCTGTTTGATTACATTTACTAGGCTTACATAGATTTTACACCAGCTACACAAAATTGTAACATGTTGCTTGGTCATTAGCAAGACAAATCAGAACACTAAGTGTATATAAAATGTTAGACCACAGAATAATTACTCTTGCTTAATTCAGAATAAGCATTCTCAGTGATGACAATGAACTGTGATCCCCCAAACACATTTGTTATTATTTTCTAGAAGATACAACATGATATTGATGGTGTAAACATAGTCTTTGTAATCCTCACTTGGTCACTAAGTGAATTTCATTAGTTTTATAGGGGTCATTTTCACCACCTTTAAAAGAGGATAAATTATACCATCTTTTATAAAGTGCTTTGACAATTACAAAGCGAACTGCTACACAAGTGCAAATTATTCTTACGTGTAAGTGTGGGATTTCTAGGATACAAACACTGGATTAGAAGAAACCTACTGCGCTGCTAACTAACTGCTTTATCAGGCAATGACAAACACTTTCCCTCAATATGAGACAAGGCTGCAACCCTGGAACAAATATCCTAAAATCAGTAAACTACCATTTCCAGATACACTCAGTAAAACAGGAGTATTTTACCTTTCCCCTATCAAAATTTTGAATGATGGTCAGATGGAGACACTCCTTACGTTGCCACTCTGTTTGCATGGGGTAGTTGAGAAATTCTCTCAGTGGCCGGTCAGACCACTCCAGCAGCTCATCATACAGCAGGAGTGTGTAGGCAGCCTCTACAAGACAAATCATGGCATGGCACTTATGAACACCAAACAAATAAAACAGACAGATAAAGTACACAGAGATGTGAATGCTGTTCTTGAGATGCACCTTTTTAAGGGGTAATTGATTTATTTTGAGTGTTAGGCAGATGTAGGGCTGGTTTTGGACAGTTATTATCTACAGCTATAATAAATTCAGCTTAAAATTCTCTCACACTATTTGAAGTGGAGTCACTGGGACAGTTTTTCTGGACTCTGACAATACAAAGGGGACAGAGAAATTAACTAACCATTTCCTACTTAGCCCCAGTCTTCCCTACTGCTAAGGAGAAACACTCAATGACTCTGCTATCTGAACAAGGGAATAAAGACTGGAGGATGGGGAACATCAGCAGAGAAATTAGGAAAGAATACAGATAGAACTGTGGACACAGTCCAAAAGAGATCAGGGTTGGGAGGGAAATAGGGAGGCAGATGTGTGTTTCATAGAATTCATTCTTTCCATAGAGAAATAAATCCCTGATAGCTGAGCCTTAACAGTTGGCCATAACAAGCAATTTAGAAGTGTACATGCAATATTTTTCTAATTTTTAAAATTTTATTTATTTTTTTGGTTTGGCAGGAATCAAACCTGTTGTTGCTTTCTTGTCAGAGAGCTGTGCAGTAATATTTAGATCATGCTTGGTAGATATTATCTGGGAATATCAAAATTATTTTTACTTTAATTTCAAGAATTCCTCAGAAACAGTACACTAAAATACTAAACAAATATCTCTATTGGAAACTCAGATTTTGGCCAATTACAAACCATTGGAATTACTACTGGCTATGACAATTCAGTTTGGCTAACTGAGCATATATTATTGATTTCCAAGTTACTGTTCACAGTTTATGTTTCTACTCACAGGACCACTTTGCATAAGTGAGTCACTACAAAGATGGGCCACTTTCTGGAGATGTACTGAACTGGAGAAAGAAGTTCCCTACTGGACTTATTTTATTGCAGGTTTTATAGGTTTTACATAAGGCAAAAAATAACTATAAAATATTAAAGTACTTTTTGTGCTAAGGTAAGTTTACCCCAGACAACCATGTCCTACTTCTGCCTCTGCCATATGATTTCCCATAACACAGATGACTTAAGCTGAACTCCACAGTGTTTTTTCTAATAGTAGTGTTCCTCTTACACATCCAACTAAGAACCTGTGGATGAAAAAGCATCACTGTGACAGGTATTTGTGGGAGAGCATGCTTTGAATCCCAGTGTTGCAAAACAATGCTGTGATGTGATACATATGTGCAAGCGAGACCCGCTCAAGTTGGACAGACAATCTTAATTCTGGCATCACACAGCTTTCAGGCTGCTTGACTGATAACAACCTCTGTCATAGTTTCAAGCCACAGTTTTGCAATCAAAACATTCAGCACATTTATAAACCAATTTTAAAAATCCATGAAGTTGGTAACAACAAATCATTCCAAATCATAAGGAAACAAAAGATAGTAGAACATAAATACATGTCAGGATAGCTCATATGAGCCTTCCTATTTAAACTTGGAATCCGAGAACTTCATTTTAATAGAATTTTGTCTGTCATAACAATATTTTTTAAAAATGATAATAAATGTATATAGAATGTTTTTAAAATAAGAATGACCATATTGGATGAAAAGTCTGAAGGGTTCCTTTACCCAACATCCTGGCAGTGGTCAGCATAACAAATAACATGTTGGTAACTTAGGGAGAGGTCTGTAACTACTGACTTGCACCAAAACAGTAAGAAGAGATAATGATGTGGGAAATTCAATTTATACAGGAAAGATTCAAAACACTAGTCATTTCTAAAGTCGATAGATACAGTCTCATTACAGTTCTCAGGTAACTGAGGGGGCAGAAGAGGAACTGGTGCATTTATGTGCTTCATCCTCAAAAGAGGTTTTATATTTATAGCTGTAACTGAGTGCTATGTAAAGGAAGATTTGAAGTTATGGTATGTATTAAAAAGGACTTTTTTTTTAACAGAGGATTTTTAGAAACAGTCCAGTAAATCATTCTATAGAAAGGAGAGAAAAATCATTTAAAGGGCAAGATGGCTTCATCTCTAGAAAGAAACTATGCAGTTAGGAAACTAATGCTGCAACAAGTAGGAATGCTGCTTAAGTATCAAATTTATTTTCCTCATCCCACGCTCTTTAGATCAGCTGATTTACAAAAGGTCTGTTCAATGTACAGTGTTGTCACTGACAAGAGAAGGCAATGGACTACACAAGTTGGTTTTCTACTGGAAAGACCATCTTTATCCCAACGCTGTGGGTGTGATACAATTCTTCTTTAAGGCTCATACATAAGAAAATAAAATCCAAAAAACAACAAAGTGGTGAAATCTACCATGGCAAAGAATGTGAAAATAACACATTAATAATATGCACAACAAACTCCCGAAAATAAATTTTGATCAAAATACTGTTTAAAATCAGAATGGATGGCAAAACAATTAAAAAAAAATTAGGTTCATATTACTGCTTATCACTGCCACAGGTAAACTAGACACATATTAGTACCCAATGTGTAAAGAGAACTCAACACTGCTCAGGGTTACTAAGATCTCTTATGTAAAACCAGGAAATGAATAGTTTGGCACAAAAGCCAGCTGTGGCAAAGAGACTGCTTGATAATCAAAACCCTTGTGACTCACTACTGCCAGGTCACATGAGGAAATTAAAATCTCTCTCTAATATATCCTGCTATCTAGTTTCCACTTAAAACCACGGACTGCAAAGGGGTTGTGGAAATTCCAAGTGAATAATCTTTCTTATGGATAGCAGAAAAGCACAAGGAAATTTGCTATCGTATTGTTTACTAGTGACCCCAGCCAACTAATCTGCTTTTAAGAAGGGAAAAAATCTAGAAAGATTCTGAACATATGCAATTGCAACTGCAAACACTAGGGAAAAGATGGAGGTATTACAAGGTCAGTAAAATATTTTGGCAAACAAAGATTGTGTGATTTATAAAGATATTGATTTTGTCTTCTCCAGCAATTATTGATGGTATGTAGTTACCCAAATGAAATGCACTTTAACTTGTATAAACAGCAGTTACGCACAATGTCTTCCCGTTTCTTCATTTAAAAGATAACAGCCAGCCCTGGCACAAATTTAGCATTGAGAAATCTTGGACAATAGTACTGCAAATGTGGTTTGTGAAGTTTCAGAAAGACATCATGACAGTGCTATTCTTGTTACAGGTTTTAAGGTCTCTATTTCATCACTAGTAAGTGATACAGGTCTTCCTTTCTTTTCTTGTATTTTTTTCTTTAACCTAAAAGTTGGGTTCTGAAACAGAACTGTGTAGAAACACTACATCAAACAGATAGCCAGCAGCATATACATAAAAGTGTATAGGCTCAGATATGACCAAGTGAACTCATAATCACTTCCTCTAAAATTTACTCCTTTTGGGTGAAAAATGACCATGTCACACATTTATTATTAATGCCTATCAATAGGAGTCATTTACATTCAACGTGGCACAGCAAATAGTAGAGTTGTGGGGGTGAAAAAAGCCATATTTTGAGAGGCATCAATTAGGCAAAGAAACTTATCTGTTGCCTGGGTCAGTATGTTCTGCACTGAGGATACAGCTTACAGGTTTGCAAAAGACTGTAAACCACACACCAGTCCTAAAATCTTTTTCTAGTTTGTACTCAGTTACCTGTGAAGTTTTGTGCTTTCAGATGGAGGTCATAGAGTTTATGAATATAGCGAATATACATCTCTTCTTTGTTCAGTTCAGTCTTGTAAAAATTCTGAAATAAAATAGAATTTTTTAATGAAATGTAGTAGTTAATAAATTTATGATAATGGTTACAAAATAAAAGACTTCAAACATAATGTTCTAGAAATACATGCATAGATTTGAAAGTTTCACCTGTACAAAGTCATTACACAGTACTAATGCAGTAATACAGTGAGAAATAGTAAATAAAATAATAAATTGTCAGTAATCAACATGCTCCTGAATGTTTTTAAAATTCTCACATAACATAAAATAATTGAAATCTGACAGTTCTTTCTTCATGAATAGTAATCCACCCTTAGGCCATTTAACATCTTGCTGAAAGCTCTGTGTTGATTTTATAATATTGACAGTCTCTGACTTTTGTAGTTATTTTTAAACAAAATGTCTACTGCCTGATATGTCTACTCTTCTTCCTGTATAGCAAAATGAGAGAAGGACTTTGGTAGCTTTACGAAGAACTATTCAGTATTGTAAACAGCATAACCCTGAAATAAAACTGTGATTTCTTCAGCACTAACTGAAGCTAGTAACTGGTAACTGATACATAGATACTGCATTGTAATCTTTGAAATATATCAAGTTGCACTCTAAATTGATATCCAGGACAAAATGCCTAGAAATGGCTAAAGATTTCTGGACATATGACTGCTATTTGTTTTTACATGGATAAAATATGGGCTTTTAAGATAAGAACCATAATTCTAAGTTCAAAACGTTCATTATTTATTTGCAAGCCCTAAAGCAAAGTATGAAAAAGTTACAGGGAGAGGAGTACAATCCTATAGCATGGTTCGCAAGTACTGCCACAGTCACAGTGGACATGCAGCTAGAGTCCTCCTGCTAGCCATCCTCAGTGTTCAGGATAATATGCTCTGGTTAATACAAATTTATAGGATAGAACAGTCTAAGCAATGGTCCCCATTACCAATTGGTAATTTTTGTCCTATTATTTAAATCACTATATTGAACTCTAAGCAGTTTTTCTCCTAATGTTCAGTATTCTTATTCTGTGCTACTGCTTTCTAAATTGAGTTGCCAGAGAAAAAGGTGGGAGGAACGCTATGAAAATATAAAAATAAAAACTTTATAGAGAAAGTATATTCTAAAATGATTTGAGAAAATGACTACATATCAATAGCTCTGTAATGACATGCCCCCATCTGCCTTTATAATCCAAAGACTTCCCTTTTCCTCCCACAATGTATAGATCAGGAAGAGATGCTTCTCTTTAGAAAAGAAAAATGAAAAAAAAATATCTGTTTGTATGTTCATATTTACCTGTCTGAAAAAAAAAAACAATCTACAGAACAGAATTGTGAGCAATAAAGCATAAAGATTAAGAAGACATATGGCACTGAACTGCAGTACTGGACTTCTTGACTCTTACCCCTAAAAACAAAAGGCTCCAGTACTTGTCACAAATCTTAACTATATAAATGAACTCGTTCTTCTCTGAAGCTCAGTTCTAACAATGTCCAGTTGGTCTGTAAGGCAGACCACAGCAAGAAGACAACCCAGTCACAGCTCAGAAAAAACATCGTGCTAATAAAGATGTGATTTTTCAACAAACTATTTAAAGATATAAAATATAATAGATGTAGTCTTCAAAAAGGGACATGATGTAAAATGTAGACTTCCCTAATCAGTAAAGTCTTTAGATTGAAAACAACATTCAAACAGGCCAGGTGGACATGTTCTGCTTAAATGGTATGATGTCATATGTCAGTGTAGACCATCACAGGAAAACATCCTCTTTCTAAAAAGAAGATATAATTTTAAATTTATAGAACCTGAAATATCAATTGAATATCAAATCCACTGAGGACCAAAGATGTCTCAGAAAAAGTCATCAGTGAGTTACCAAAAGCTATTGAATATGCTTTCAATGCTTTTGTACAGCTCTGTGATGACAGACATCTTTCAAATTGGACTTAGGTCATTCTTATGCATAAGCAACCAGCTCCATTAGACACCTCTTAAACCAGATTTTGCAAAGAAGTATTACTAATGTGAAATCCATTGCAGATGATACAGAGGATGGCGAGAGTAGTAAATAAGTTCCTACCTTCTCCTTTCAGGTAAATTATTGCTGCTGATACATACCCCTCCCTGCATATTTCATAATGTGGCATAATTCCAGTTAATCTGATAACTTGGCTAACTTGGACAATTTTATTTTCTGGAAGAACAGAAGCAACATACAAATTCTCTTTTTATTTCCAACCACTCCTCTTATCTTTGGAAGTCAGAAAACCTTCAAAGCAGTCATAGTAGATGACAACTAGAGAAGACTGAGTTCATCCATTAACTGGGTGAGCAAATGTCTTAAAGTTTTTGTGCTACTTCTTTAATTGAAATTTCGTTTGAAAATATGGCATTTGTTGCTTCTCTGATGTGCAACTAGTACTAAAAATTTGTTTAAAAATTATTAGGATATGAAATCCACCTTAGCCTGTATGAGTCATTGACAATTCCATTAAAAAGTAATATGGCGGTTTTGCATTTATAAATATTTTAGTTTTCTTTTTGTACAAATCTTGGATGATTTGCTAATAATAGATTAAAAACTCCTCAAGGATGAAAATAATCCAGGTGCTTTATAGAATTCAGAACATGCCAGATATTTTCACAGAAAGCCAGCTTCCCTCTGGCTTCATAGTAAATATTGTCCCTATTTAGAGCACTATTATCTGCTGAAGAAGTTCTTTGTTCTCTTATGTATAACTGCTACCTAGAATCAAAATTCAACCTGTAAACAAAAATGACATCTTTTTTCATACTATAAATTTGCACTCTTGGTTTGTTGTAATGATAATAGCATGACAAGAGGAGGTCTTGAGCAGCATTTCTGGCTCTTCTACTGGGAAGAGAATAGTTAGCCTGCAGTATCCCATACTATATGTTATAAGAATCAACTTGCATCAGTTATTGGGGAAAAAAAGAAACATGTAAGTTTTGTTGGGTTTGGGGAAGGACTAATGGCATGTTTGCTTCTATGAACTCAGAGAACAATTAAACTTAGAAAGTACTTTGGTGAAGTTTATTCAGTAGGAAGAGACTTAAAACTGAATAAAGCAGTATCAGAGACCTCTCAGAACCCAGATATAAAATGTCAACGAAGACTAACTCCCCCCCATTGTATCAATTTCACCCTGAAAAAAAATAGTGATCCTAAGTGCAGTATTATTCTGTAAAATTCTACTCAGATTGCAACAAGAAGCAAAGTACCTATTCAAATGTGTATCTGTATACTAGAAAATGGTCAGCTGAAATGAAAAACGGAAAGAAAAAGTATTATACAAACCAGAAGGCTAACAGTGCAGCCAATCTTTTTGCCATCCACTTCTCCCATTTTCATGCAGTCCCTAAAACAGAAAGTAATGAAAGTCAAAAGGAATTATGTTTATCCTCTTACAGTGAAGCACACCTCAGAAAGCAGACATATTTGTCTTGGCAAGCTGACTGAAATTATGCTGCCCAAAGGCATCTGGGTGAACAGCTAACCCAAGTAGGTAAGGGTTTTCATGCCTCCTTTTCTAGTACATTGAATACCTCAATTTTCAAGAAATTAATTTTTTTTTCTGGCTCTGTCATTGATTTGCTAGGAGACTTCTGGTGATTATTTGGTTTCTTCACATCTTGTGCTCAAGTCATGCCAGCAGAAGCCAGCATGGCTGCCAGAAGAGGCAGTCCTGCCCCCTTCCTGCTCTCAGACACTTGCTCCCAGTCCTGCACTGCTGCTTGCAAAAAACTCAGGAAGAGATACAGGTTAGGCAGCATAGTTTTCTGGGTTAGTTTTCCTCAGCAGAACTTCTATAATAAATACAATTTAATGTTTGGGGAAACAACAAATCTGACCCTGAAATAAAAAGTTAAAATGAAACCATGCAAAGTTTATTATCAGATAGGGAAAAACAGCCAGTATAACCATGCTGATGTAAAAGAATAACAGGGAGACATTACCATGTAGTCACTAAAAGAAATTTAACATAATTTAAAAAAATTCTTGTATACGTGAGCTAAACAATTGTCCCAAATATTCTCATAACTACCAGCACACCATTATTTTGAAAGATTGAGAGTCCTGGAGGTTGTAATGCCACTGATCCCTGAAGAAGAATAGCACTGCCATGCTTCTAGAAATTTAGAGTTCAGTCTCTTTGTTGACGAAATAGCTTTCCTTCAAACTGTCAGTGATGATAGCAACTGGAGTACTAGGTCTCACCATGTGTTCCTATAGAATCAGGGAGAAAACCTTACATATAAGCTCTAGAAAATGCTACAGTCGATAGCAATAAGGAAGACCAAGCTGAAATCTGAAGTCTCTATACAGGCTTACAACCGACTGAGAAAATTGCTTTTAGTATCACACTCCTGAAAGGAGTGCCTCTCATTTCTCTCTCCTTTGTTCATGTGGTACAGTCAGATGTGAGGTGTTCACCAAGAGATCATTCCTTTGTATACATACTTACTGTGCCAGCTGACACTACAACTAAGCGTGATTGACATAGTGATAAGAATTTTACATATTGTGTAAAACAACTGTCAGGTGATTAGTATTGAGCTTTGTGTTGTCAGACAGACTTGAGTCACTAACCCACTGCCAAAAGTTACTATATTCCCTGATAGGAAACTCATGCAATGCCACTGGATTTTTACACCATGGGGAGATTCTGTGGTTGTTTTCTTGCTGCTTGTTGCATTTTCCTGACTGCTTCAGACTAAGCAACTGCTGTCAGAGATCCTGAGCACTTACAGTTCATGTATCCATGTATGCATGTGCAGTCACTGTTTGAGCAAGATAGCCATATTTGTCTCCTAATATTTCAGAGGACAACCTTACCTGTAAATTGTGATAATCACTCACCTGTAGTCCAGTAGCCTCTCCATGAGGCGAGTCACAGTGGCGATTAATGAAACGCCACTTTCCCTCCATGTTTCCCGCTCAATTTTCTTCAGCAGACTGAAAAAAAAAGAAGACAGAAAAATTTCACTGTTTATTTCTGACTGTTACTATGTCAACCTATCTGCTTTTACCAGTACCTTAATACCTTAGCAACATCTTTGACAGTTACATTTTCTTTCACAAACACCCTCCCAAGAAGCACAATTTGCAAACAATGTCTTACCTAGGATAAGGACCAAAAAGTGGAATTCTAGTCCAGGAAGCATTGACAAAACAAATGATTTTCATATTAGCTGCATAAGGTTAAAATATATCAAGTACCTAATTTTCATAATATATTAATATCCCAAAGACTTAACACAACTCTTTCATAAAATTTATATATTCATTTCATGTTGATACATCAAAAAAGGGGAAATTTAAAGATGTTCCTAGAAAAGTATATTTATTAGCTCAATATACCTTCTCAGTGCGACCTCAACTTTTTTTAAAAGGTCCTCTCTTCTCTAATATTTCAGTATGCATGAAATTTAGGAATAGGGGAGGGATTTCAATAAGGTGATTCCCCCTCTTCACTCAGTATTTCTTTCTGAGAACATACTATCATGTACATGTACAATTCCATTAGCTTAAATAATTAGCTTAATAATCCTAAGATTATTAAAAGCTGTTGTGTTGAGTTCTTACACTGATGCAAACACAGATTACACATTGAAATGAAAAGATTTCAAAATGCTGTTGTAAGTGGAGCTGTCACTAAAACTACACTTAATATAATTTGTTTATTATTCTTAATATAATTCTGTTACAGGCTTCTGATTTTCACTGCTTGAGTTTATCAAATATTAATCATTTCGGCATGAATTTCCCACATTTTCTCTCTAAGAATGAGCATGGAAATATTTATCTACAGAGCTGTGTTACTTTTAAGCTTTGGTGCAGGAGCTCAAACGGATGACACATCCATGGAAATATTTCAACAGTCTCTCTGAAAATGCCCTCAGGTATGGTTTATTTAAGAGCCTCCAAAAATTGCCTCATCCATATACTTAGAGCTTTTAGAAAGTTGTTAATGGCATCTCCGAGCCTTCTGTATGCAGTGGGCAAGCTGTCAGCTCCACTGACCTTCATCTACACTGAGCATGCTCAGTCCCATAAAACTCCTACGTCCAAATTTCACCAAACATATAATGGTGCCCAGTAACTCCTACATGCCAACTGCACTAGCTATACACTCCAGCTCTGTTCAGCTTCTTACATACCTGGGGATGTCACAGATGCAGTTCTTCCAAACAAATTTGACCTAAATGAAGCTGTGCTCTACTGGAAGTGAGGAGGAAATACTGATTTTCATTCTAATATGGTTCTTAAATGCACTTCTTCTCTTTAGATGGGAATCAGATGTCTTTACCTCACATTCAGAGACTGGCTATGTATCATTGCTAGCAGACAGATGGCAAGGCCATCCTTAACCAGAAAAGGCTGAAGCACTAAGCCGGCATCTCTGTTTTTCATACAGATTACACAGCTACCTTAATTCACTTTTGAACACCTTATGTTCCTTACAAACAAGTTTTTGCATCTAACAAGAAATAAGAGTAGAGCCTGTTACATTATTAAGCCTTGATTACTGCGCTGATTTTTCTTTTCTATTTCCTTTCAACCCTGTGTTAAAAAGGAACATTTCAACCTAAATTCATCAAAATAATAACCTATAGTTCTTCCAGAGAAACAGCAGAAGTATGACTTTTAAAACAGGTTGTTTTCATCTGCATTTGACTTATGCATTTTCTTTAAATATTTATTGGCATATTCATTATAAACATTCAATTTCTAACAATGGGTTGTGTAGGTACCTTCAAAGTACTTATTCAAACTGACTTCAATGTCGTCAGCTGAACAAATTTATGGCTTGTCTTCTGATGCATGCCTCCCTCTCTCCCCCACACATCTTCCACCAGAACGCACAGAACAAACACTCAGAATGAAAAAGCTAGTCAAATATACCCCTTGGGTTCCTCATGGCTATATCTAGGTAGAATTGAATCTCTGTTCTTACAGGTCCCAAAGCATAGGCAAGATGTTATTATGTTCTACAAAGCACTAAGAGGGATGAACAACACAGGAGAAATGCAGTAATTGTTTCCAGGGGAAAAAAAACCACCCAATTAATATGGGAGTTGAGCAATTTAAATTAATTTTCCAATTCAGACAAAATAAACAGAAAGTACAACAAAACTTGAAAGCATGACACCCACAGTAGTTAACAGACTGTATCTAAAGTAGGTATGTGCATGCCCTTGGCTCCCAGCTGTACCTATCAAAGGTAACCATGCCTAATTTTCAGGAAGATAGGTAATATTGTAGCATTTGCTCTCATTAAAGAATAAAAACCACTGCTTGCTGCAAAACTGTATTACTATTTCACAGTCCACTCTAATATTGCTTAGATTAAATTACCCATGGAAGAAATAAAAGAAGCCCAACAAGAAAAATCTCAGGATGACCCCGTCTCTTGCATTCAGCTCCCTAAACTGTCCATCTGATTTTCATAACTTTCCTTCACATACCCTAGAACACTGCCATCCTTCATTTTAGATTAGTATCTTCTACAAGCTCTCTTGAGGAGTTAATCCAACTTAATAAAAAACTAATGATAAATACTACTGTTTTTGTAAGCTGGGAGCGAACTTGAGCAGTTATTCTGAAATTTTTCAAAGAGTTTAGTTTTAACTTCTGCTATACCATGACAGAAACAAGTATACTGATGCTGTGAGACATTTTGCAATTTAAATTACTATGACTATGTCTTCAGCATTTAGATTTATAAAAGGCTCTCAACATTTTTCACTGTATCTAGTTTAACATCAACCAGTTTAAATCTAACTCAAAACCATAAAAAATATAAATTATATTTCATACTAATATACTTTCTTACAGATTTTAAGTTATTTCAGTGATAAGTTATTTCACTGATGTGTTTTGCACAAGAGAATGCATTTAGACTTTATTTTATAATTAAAGCTTTTTCCTTAATGACTTAATTTTGCAGCTAGAATACTGTTTTACTAAAATAATGAAATCAACATACCTTTTATTACCTTCACTCATATTATGAAAAAGTCATGAATAATTATGAGAAAGTTCTACTTCAGCATACTGTACTGTTGTTTGCCATTATTCACTCAATTTCATAATATTCTGCCTAATCTCTCTACCCACTTTTGCTTCTGTACATGTTAAATTTTTAGGAACTCTCTTTTTTTCAACTCAGTAAAATTATAGATTATAAGGTGTTTGCTATTCACAGACACCGAGACCTGAATGTTCTTTAAGCAAAGACAAGAAAGCCAAAAATAATACTTAAAGAAGAAGCAATGGTTAAGAAACCATATAAACAAAAAAAATCATGTATTTAATAGTGCTGAAGAAAACACAGCAGCTTAGAATCCTGAAGATGAAATACATCTCCTACTAAAATAAACACACCAGAAATAAGTGAAATCTTGCACTTTGGTGGAATTGAGTTCTAAAGAACAATAGAGACAGAGTTCAGTTAGTTATTTTGTACCTGTACTCTGTGACAATCATTTATTTCAGTCACTGGGATAACTCATGGGCAACTTCAGGGACTTCAACATTATCATTAGCTTTTTCTATTACATTGAAGTGACATGCCATTTGTTAAAATATACTAAAAACTAACCAGTAATGTATAAAAAAATCTTATCAGAATAAACAAAATTGTTTACAGCAAAGAAGAAATCAACAAGTGACATTACTGAGAGGAGTAAAAGTTTCTAGCAATAAATGCTTTTTGTTCAATTCTCATGCCCAGTTTTCAAAATGCTCTATCTAAGCTCTACCTGCACACTATGCAATTATGAAGCATTTCTTGCTTTTCTGATTTAAAATTAGTAGGTAATGTTCTGTGATATAACAGATTTAGCCTTTCCCAATTATAGCTGTATGCAAGAAGTACTGCCAGACTTTACAGATGCTATACAACACCATGTAATGTTTTATTCTTCAGATTTTAACAATAAAGAAAAAAAAGGAAAAAAATGAGATTCACAACTGTTTTTAGCATTACTTCTCTACAGTGACATCAGCATCTGATACAACCAACTGAACTCAAGGAATTAGTGTAAGATAAACACATTACTCACATACTGTTGAAGAGCTCTCGGTAGGTTTCGTCACCTTTACCTTCTGACATTAGGCTGTCCAGTTTGTCAATCAGCTTTGCTTCCACCTGCAACATATAAGTGTGGTGTAAACAGCTTCTTTTTCCTTTAATGAGATTAGAGAAAGTGGAGAGAAGATCTGGTTTTATGTAAGGGACTTTGCTAAATGCATATTTTAGGATTATTGGTCAATCATGTGATAAGTCACTTCATCTCTTTGAAGCTGTTATCATTCCCAAGGTTTGTGAGGCTTTCTTTTTTTTTTTCAGTGATTTTTTTTTTTTTGTGGGAGGGAGCTAATTTAAATTGAGCAACATGACTTTAAAACTACAGGCTGAGTAGCATTTGCTGCTGCTAAGGCAGCTATCTATTTATGGAGTCAGAGGAAAAGCACACAGCCCAAATAAATTGCCTGAATTCTCATCGCAGGGCTGTAAACACAAGCTATTTTTTTATATTTAAGCAAAAATATCATCTTTTCTGACCTGCACCCCATTCTTCATAAATTAATATTTATAAATGTCTGTACTGTTCAGAATACTTGGGAGCTCAGACTTACTTTCCCAACCCTCCTTATCTGCCAGTGTATTTGGTTAGAGATCAAACTTGCTAGATTTACATATTAGCTACCAAAGAATCTTACAGTAAATATCTGGTGGCTAATGACTCCCTCAATGAATATTTTTAAGTGTATCGATTATAAAAAAATATAGAGGTGATGATACACTGTGTGTTAATATTTCAAACCTCCTTTTTATCAATAATATATTAACCACCACAAATCTAGAGGAGAAACCAAGCTGTTGTCATGATATATTCTTAAGAGAATAAATCTAATACAATTTACACTTAAACCTAAGGTGAAAACATAGAGGAGCAGAACAAGAGGATTTTTTTACCTTCTCACTTCTTAGTAACATTCCTATGGTAATTTTTAAGGATAAACTTATATATTGAAAATTAAAAGCTACCTATCTACATTGCATGCACTCCTTCTTTCTTAATAGTTTGTTTTTTGTTTTAGATGCAGCTCCCACCCAAAGCGTTATGATTGCCTGGGAGTAATTAAAATACTTCTGCTTCCTTCATTTTGAAGCAGCAGGAAGGAGGGCACTGAAAAATGGTTTGAGGAAATCTGAAAGAACTGAGTGGGAGCTGCAGGAGCAGATGGCACACTTGGTCGTTCCTTCCAAGCCCATTAAGAAAGTGTTTGAGCAACAAGAATACTTGGATCCTTACAGAAGGACATTCCTCAGGAAGACTATCTGATCTTCTCTCATACTAACTGAAAGGGAAGCTAGGTGAATCCTATCTGACCATTAGTCTGTAATACTGTAAAGCAGAAGTGAAAAACCACCACAACTGCCCTGTTGAAAATAACTCAAGTTTTGTTCTTCACTTCAGTAGGCCATGGATTTTATCCCTCATCTTACATTACTAACATGATAGTATTAACTGGAGAATCTTACTAGTCCTGCAGAGAGTAGAAAGGCAAACCCTTGTAATCCCTCTCCAACAGGTATAGTTGTGATTACCTTCTCCACCCTGAACCACCAATGGAACTCCAGGTTCAAGTCCCCAGGACTCTCTGAAGTGCTTGAATTTCAGTTCTGTTTTAAAAACAGCTTCACACAAAGTACCTGTTTAAAGTTGCCACTTCGCCTTTGCTCCCAGTCCATCATGTCATGGAAAATGGGAATCATTACATTCCTCAGGTCTGGCTGAGGGATCAAGGTCACTTCCAGGAAGGGGCCAATCAATGCTGGAATAAAGTGAAGCTTGTGTTCCCCTAAAATGAAAATGAACATGAACTTGGATGTGGATTGAGTGTTCTGTGAATTATCAAGCAACGCAAATACTATCTGAAGAATGAAAAAATAGCACTCTAAATGTCTATAGTTTTTTTAAAATCTCATGCCCATTACAGCGAGGGCTATTTCTTAAGCCCAAAAAGTGAAAGCTTTTGGGCTTAGTGAAAGTAGACAATACAAGAATATAAGACCAAAATAATTTATCAGATTTTATTATGCAATACTGAGTTCAGAAGTGACAGTGGGTTAGCTGTATCCCAAGTTAGTCCTCCAGAAGGAGAACAAAGACAGACAAAGCACTCTCTGGGCATTTCATTTATATTTCACAGTAATGGTTTGGTTCCTAAGCTCTACATCCTTGTGTTTACTAAATGGTCAACTGTCTGATATTCTGTGCTCATCAAAAAGAGGCAAGTACTTTTTGATTTTTATCTACCTCTAATTTTGGGAGTATAGAAATGGAAATATGTGTTTCAAATGCAGGAAATGGAAGATATGACTCAGCTGTTCTCAAAACAAGTACTTTTAAAATCAGTGCTAAACATCTTCCGTTATCTCACCATGTTCTGCTTAACAGAAAACTAAGTTCTTATCAGAAAAGCTAGAAATGGCATACAGTAAAGACTGGCAATTCAGTTTCATTTTTCCACAAGTAAGATTTCTGATATCTTCAAAATAGAGTGATTATGAATCAGGATGCATTGATTTTCCAAGCTGGGAATTAATTTACATCCATTCTACCTCTTGATATTCCAGGGAGAGCTTGCTGCTCTGTTCAGTGTCTGTGTTTGTGCAAAGGAAAACAAGAATTCCCTTTTTTGGAAATATCCTAGGATGGATATCCATAAGAAAGCAAGGTGGCTGTACTAGGATCAAGGCTTTCAATGACTCTTACTGCTACAAGAACTGTAAAATGCTGACTAGCATAACACCAATCATAATAAATATCCTGACTATAGTATTTACTTGGACACATTACAGATAAGCTCCATACTGTACCCCACAAAACTCACCCCTATTGAAGGGTATCATTTGCCTGAATGTCATGTTTCTGTTCAGCAGAAAACAATGTGAGTGAACAGATGATGCATGCAGGTGCACATGCAGAAAGGAGATGGGACCCAGGAGTGGATCCTAAATATACCAGTTTAGAAATACCCATCATGTATCCATATAATTCAGAGGGATGCCTTAGAGTGAGTAAGCAATACTAAATACTGTAAATAGGTAAAATACGCTACATATCAAATGCTAACAAGATATCAATAAGCAAATATTTCTTATTTTGAACATGTCTCTCTAGCACAGGCTCATCAGAAAGACCACTTTTTAACAACTACATATCTTGCTGGGGAAAAGATTTATAGAATTGGGATGACAGTATCTCAGAAACCACAGATGATAGTTGCCATAGCTTTAATAAGCCCTTTAATGAAATGAGCTATTGAATAATTGAAATATAAAAATGATAAATATAGTGTCCAAATCTTCCACTCACTTTTGATTTTTTCCCAAACAACATTCAATTGCATTTCTCTGATGCTCATACTTACAAACAGTTTGCACAGTTACTGCTTAAAAATATAAAAATGCTCCTAAGTTTATATCCAAGCAAGTATTTTTTCTATGTTGTCCAATGTATCATTTATACATTAGTCACTGACTTGTTTACTCCTTTATATTTTAGTGCAACTAGGGCTTCAGAGAAGACTTGATGCAAATCCAGCATCTCAGGAGAGCTTCAGAAATAAGATAGATGTCTTTTCCTTAAATTGTTTGGCAACAGGACTAAAATTAAAAACATAAATATATTTCAAGGCATAATAATTCTGCCCAAAAAGAGTAGTACTTTCTTTCTTAATTTTCTCTGATGGTATTCTTTCAGTTCTCTGTGAAGAAATAGGGATAGTTCAGATACAGTACCAAGGCTTAGGAAGCTGAGTTTCACTATAAAGAAGATGACAAGCTTTTTCATAAACTTGAATCAAGACTTCATGTGAACATAATTATCAACAACTCCTCTATCACTGGGAATTGTGTTTAATAGGTGAGGAAATAATCATTGTTCTTCATTTTATGAGCTCCCAATGATGTGTTTAATTACTTACCTAAATTTTGCCACATACTGAAGATTTCACATCCCATTGTTACCCGCATGTCACCATATCTGCAATGTATTATAAAATGAAGGAAAACAGTGAAAGATAATTCAAGAAAATCAACCTCATATGCCATTCTGTGACATTGCTAAAAGAAATGTGTCAATTGTAGTCCATAAAAAAATACTTTAAAAGTGATGATTTCTTCCATTTTTTTCTCTTTTCATTGTACCTGGCTAAAAGCTGATTCCTAAACCCATGTTTATTTGAAATATTTTCAAAATGCTATGCTATACATCAGTAACACAGCTGTGAAGCAAAAGCTATTTTTTGCAGTGACATGTTTTAGTTGTCTCTATAAGAACAAATAGTTTTGCTCTAGCTTAACGAAATATGATTAATTCATACAGACAACAGTGCAGCGCCTGGCAGAAACACCTGAACAAGTGTGAGTTGACTTATGCGTGAACTGGCAATGAGTGCTGGCACTGCTACAACATGGCTGTTTTGCTCACAGTATCTGAATCAATTCAGGCACTGGCATGAAGGCTATCAGCTCTGAAGACCTACAGAAAGGGTGAGAACCAACTCTCATTCCAGTCAATGGACGTACTATTACATTACCTTTTTGGTGGGCCCTTTTGCAACCTCTCATGTCTTACATTTTGAAAAGTTTTTGGTCTATGACAATTTTCTAAAAGCTGACAGCAATACTTACTTCTCTAAAACCTTTTTCTTCTTGGAAGGTGTGAACATCTCCAGTTGCAGACATAACTGGTTTATAAAAATGACAGCAAGAAAAAAGTAGGAATCCCATATCTACAATAAATATATGGCATTTGGTTATTTCCTTTTCTCAGTACCACAATTTGTGATAATTCAAGATGCAAATTTTCAAATCATAACACTTGTTTTAGTGTCAACTAATAAATTACTCTAACTGGTTTTGACTAGATTTCTTCACATCCAAAACTGCTTTTCACCAACCCCAAAATGTTCAGCAGAAATGCATCTATTTTATATATCCCAAATCTCTTAAAGGTAAAGGTTTCAGAGTTACAGATTGGGGTTTTTCATCCCTTCAAGTCAGAAAACCATACCTTTTAAATTTGGTATATTTAAATATGAAACTACTATGATGTTAAGCCCAAAAACCAAAAAATTCTGACACCTCAAAACTATCACATAACAGAACTGACATTCTCTGTCCATCATATTTTATAATACTATTTGCAAGTCTCACTTGCCGCAGCCTTTACTGGACAAAACCAATGCGAGGTTTTCCTAACATATTGTAAATATAAAGGTGTTTTGTGCATATGCTTTATGAATTAGCAGTTGAATGTTCTAGTTAGGATTTAGAGACAAAATTAAAGTAAAATACTAATCATTATAACCCAATTGTAGATGCTCCATGATAGGAGGAAGAAAGAAGTGTAGGGGGTACCCTATTCCAGGCACTGCAGTTCTGCAGGCAGTAATAACATTGGTAAGCAAGTTTAAGCAACAGAGATGCCTTGTATACAGTCAGTTCTTTTATGGGCATGAGTCTCTGAACTTGTGGAACTTCATAAAGAACAGGGTTCCTCGTGGCCAGTTGTGTCAAATAGATAAATCTGCATTCCTGCCAATCTATCCAACATGAGTCTGGATTTTCAGAGTAGCATCCATAACCCCGCTGCAAGTCAACAGGAGCTCACTGTCTTCTCTAGGAAGGAAACTCTGTTCTTTTTACAATGCAGCAATTGGACTAATGTTTCTTGGTTGGGCAGAATATTCATTCAGGTTTCCATGGGAATGGGTCTTTACAGATACATTCCTAGATCTTCTCATCTGAATCCTAAAAGCATAATCCCTAATTCAGTTTATCATGGGTGCCATATCTCACTATATGAGGCACTCACTAACATCTTTAACTACATTCACCATGAAGTGTCATAATTTTCTAATTTTAATTATGCAACATGATAATTGTTCTTGAGAGAAATTACAGAATGCAAATCTACATTTTTGATAAATTTGCATTGATTAAAAATGAAATATTTTTCTTTCTGTAATAACACAAAAATTGTAGACAAATAACTAAATTTGGTTTAATGATCAAAACAATTGCTATGCAAAAATCCTGAATAAGTAGTCTAACATGGAGGCTGAAATAACAAAATGAAAAATAAGAAGAAACTAAAATACCTCACAGCACTCATGATTTTTAAGACAATTGTGTATTTAAGAAAAAACTTAATCTCTGAGCACTTGAAATTGCTGATTTAGTACATGTTTAAGCTGTTTAGATATTGGAGGTAAGTTAAATAACCACCAAGTCACAGGATGATGTAGCAGCTACCATATCTCTCATTTACTTTACCTTGTAATCAAAGTTTTCATTTAAGAAGTTTTTACGAAGGGCATCCGAAAGGTACAAGACTGTAGTAATGATCACACTGGGAAGAAAAGAATGGAAAATACAGGAGTTTTCAATAAGTAGAAATTAATATTTAATACTCAAAGCCAGACAATTTTCCAATAAAGAAACGACTTAGCATGTCTGACAGCATTAAATACCACATTTTCAACATAAACAAATATCTGATTACTAATAGCACCTATTGACAGAGAATATACACAGCAAGAAAAAGATAATCAAAGTGTGTTTTTGTGTGAAAACAGAATTCTATATAGAAGAATATAATTGATAAAGACAAATAATAAATTTTGTTCTGCAAATAATGCTGATATCAGACTTAATATACACTTTGTCCTAATAGCATCAATACATATAGTTGTATTTGCTTTCAGCTTTGTTTGTACTGAAAATGTGTGCATATAGATTATAAATATAAAGTATCTGGCAATCACCAGTACTCAGAATTCAATTTGTCCACAGCTCTAGGGACAGAGTCTTTTTAGTGGCAACAGATAAATGCAAAACTGTATGGGCTCTGAGAGAAAGATCTACTTCTAAAGATCTCTATGCTCTATGTTGTAAACAGTCATACATTGCCCTATATTGACACCTTCCTGAATTATAACAATCTATCTTAAATAAATATGTACAACCAAGATCCTTTAACAGTGCTTGACACCAGTGGCCAATGACAGCTTTGTTCATTGTAGCAACCGACTTTGGTAAGAAATGCACAGAAATAGAACATTCTTAAAGATTATTTCAATATACTTCATTTCAGTTATTCAACCCTTAAGCTAACCTCTGCAACACTCTTGTCTATCAACATATTTAGTCAAACCAAAAATCCATATAAAGCATTAAATTCTTTTTGAAAGTAGTCAGCAGTGAATGGTTATGTGGGAGAAAAAAAGATAAACACAGAATGATCTTTTTGTTATTATACTCATGCATTTTACAACAATCAACTGTTTAATAATCTTCTGAGAAAAAGGTTATAACTACACACTTCTTTTAATTACCATCTGTCTACTATTAATACATCTAGTTTGTCTTTGAACACAATTCTTGACCTGTATGCTGTTACAATGCTAAAATTTGTTTCCTTTTCCATACTTTGGACTTTTTTTCTTTTTTTCTTTTTTTTTTTTTTTTTTACTGTTTTTTGCAATGCATTCAGGAACAACAAAAAATTAATTACAGCAAAATATATATTTTAAGGCTATCATAGTTTTCATCTTCACAACACTGAAGAATTACATGTTAGCCAACCCACCTAGGAGATAAATTATATTTTTCTTCTGGCACTTTTTCACTGTTCACATTTATAAATAAAAAATGGTTATGTATAATTCAGGCATATTAGTAGTTCAAATGTTTGCTTCTGACTGTCTGCTTTAAAATTACTGTCCCTGCCAAACTTTACCTTCTGGTTTGGTGTGCCTGAACACCTGTAACAGCCAGTTCTGAGATTGTTTTTAGAACACTGCTGGAGTCTCAAGTTTCATTTGTTCCTATTCCATTGCTCAAGATTCATTTTCATACATATTATTTTCTCAATAATGGTAGCTTTTCTATCCAAGTAGTGTTCCATTTTTAGCACTCATCTGTATAGGTTACCCCACTTTTTCCCCTGTGGGGAGTTACAGCCTGTGTACAACCCTCACTGTTGCAACACGGAACACAAAGTAAAACATTAGCAAAATGCAGTACAGGCAAAACTAATAATCAAGGTATGGATAAGAGCCCTGTCATTCTTGCTGTTGTGTATGATTTAACTTACAGCCCATATGTTTCACAAAATGGAAATAGTTTGCATATTTCAGAAAGATGTTCTGATACAAAAGGCCAGTTCATCAGAACTATTGCTATATAAAGTTGTAACCTAAGTCCAAAATAATAAAACCCTGAAAAATTTTACTCAAGAGAAAATTCCACAAGATCCATAACCATCCTGCCAAGTTTACATTACAGAGTTCTATTTATGTCTGAGACAATTCCTTTCTTGCTACATTCCTTCCATGGCAGGTGAAACTGAAGAGACATTGTTACAAAAGGGTAAATAAAGTAGAACTCTTAAATGCAAGATTTAGAATATTTTTTGAAGAATTTTCCTGAGATAACAGAATAGTTGCAATGCAAGTATTTATTGCTATAGGGAATGTAGCTTGGATTTTATTTAATTGGTAAGCCAAAGCTACAATATGGATTAGTTGATAAAATGTGGATCTGTAATGTGAGAGTGTATATGTTGTAGAAAAAAACTTCAAAACATTGGACTGAACATAGAAAGATGAAGACATTGTTTTTGACTCACAATCTGTTATTCTGAATCTACAATAATCTAAAATCAGGTAGAACAAAAAATAAGCTAAGTTTGGGGTGCTCTTTCCTCTTTTCCTATCAATAATGTTAGTTCTATTAAAAAAAAAAAGCAAAAATGCATAAAGCAGAGACAGCAGCCAGAGGGAGAGCTGCCTAATCTGGTACAGTACTCGCATTCCAAGTTGCTTCCCAGCCAATTTCCAAACAACAACATTTATTTGAAATCCATTTGCATATCAAACTATAAACCACTGAGTTTGTGACAAGACTTGCTTTTTTTTCTCTTACCACCTGCCACATATTTGTTCAGAATCACTGACAGTTTTGCAGGAGAAAAACCTCTGCCTTTAGCTGCTAAATTATTCTGCCCTCATACGCAGGATGCTAACCTAAGGTCTGGTCAGACCACTGTTGATGGAATAGCTTTTTCACCAAATTTTCAGAGCAAACCTTTCTGCAAGTTGTTTCAAAAATCCAGAAGTTCAACAATTGTTTACTGCCTGGGCTGTGCTCTGGTAACAGGGCTTTTGGCTGGGCAGCCCATAGTAGAAAACTAAAGTTTTCCTTTTCCATGCTGATATGGGATAAATATATAATATGAGCTTCTCATTCCATCCTTTGCTAGACAGAAAGAGTCATCCAGAGCAGAATCTTCCTGAACACAGAGTTGTTTGAACAGAAAAAAGTTTCTTTCACATTTCATAAAGAAATGAAATAAATCTTGAGCCATGTGTAAGTGTATGTATCTATTGTTATGTGTTTATAAACTTATTCATACGTGCATACCTATGTATATGCATGCTTTTTATGACAGACTGAATGTCAGGTTCAGCTGTTAGCAACATTTTGTATTACATAAAAGCAAAAATTTTGTGAGCAACACTGTGTATTACATAAAAGCAAGAATTTTTGTTCATTGTAGGAGTCTCAGACTCCCACTCCATGGGAGCTAATAGGATTTTTCAAAGCAGCCATAATGATGAAACTAATGCTAATTTGATGCCTTCCTTTACTGTGTATTCAATTTCAGTTACTTTTTAAATATTAATAATAATGTATTTCATTCATTACTTAATTTGATAATTAAAAGGATTCTCTGCTTAAAGTTGCTATGTCCAATTCTCAGTATATACATTTGGAATTTTAGTATAAGCAATATACTATGTAAACCTTATTTTACAGATCAATTATTTTACTATTCATAAATCCATTTTGCATGCTTATAAAATTCAAGCTGAGGATTGGATGACCTAGCATCTCTACCATTCATCAAAATGCTGAAGGATATACATAGTTAATTACACGGAGATCTTGAAAATTAAAGCTTCTTGCATACCAAGAGCAGCAGCAAATTAGTTCTTTGTTCAATAATACATAGGCAGAGTATGTATAAATATCAAACCTTTGCTCAGCAAGAAATAGAAACTCCTTTGCTCTCCAACTGCCTTCTCAATTGATAATGACACATGACATACCTGGAGTTTAGCTGAGTATGCTAGATGCTCTCAAAAAGATGCCAGACAACTGAAGTATTCGACAAGTCATTGTTTTCCTACCCTTAGGGTAACTGAAGCAAATGACCATTACACGGTGATTTCCAATTGACAGGGACACTGCAAAGGCCTTCTCCAGAAACTTCAATTTCAGTCAGGCATATTTTATTATAAAATTTTTATTTCTCTCTGGTACTAGGCAACTGATTCAGACATCTTCCTATATCATATGGTGCTCCTTTGCAGTTACAAGTAGAAGCTTTGGTTAGAGGGTCAGCAAGCTAGCTTACTACCTACTTGATGCAGAGAGAAAGTCTACCCCTATAATGAAAGAAATTAAAATTATATTTCCCATAGTATACATAAAACCATATTTTGTCACTTAGTAGTAATATCCAGGTTAGAGATATCAGATAACCATAAGTAATGATTTTGCTTTGCTGCATGTATGCTGATTATCTCACAACAGATAGTACATGGTTATGAAGCTTTAAACAGAGTTACTTCTGTCTCATTATTTGACTGCTAGAAACTAATACACATTAAGGATTTTTTGCATGTTCTTCTCCTTCCATTACAGAACACAAATCAAAAAATCTATTTCTCTCCTTTGGTGCTAAGTCTACCTTTTTAAATGTTACTTTATTTCTCAAATTTTGGAAGTCAATTGGTACTTCAAAATGCTAGCCATTAATACTTTTTCATGTTGAGCGTCAGAACACTGAGGATTATAGATCATACATGTCTTCATGAAGCATCTTAATTTCTCAATAGTTAAAGATTTGCCTTCTTGAGCTCACAGTATCTCCTGCTTCGATTTTTTTTTATCCCAGACAGCATCCAAGTACCAGATGCTACAGAATTTCTGAAAACACTGCAATGAGAAAAAAACCCCAACAACCTAGAAACCAAGGGGCAGCAATATTTCTATATGGAAATATTGTATACTGTAAAAATTATGGCATTGTAGACACCTAAAAATCTTGCAGGTAAGTGCAGTTCTGCATATACAAATAAGACAAAAAATAATAATTTCTCCTCCCCCGCTCCTGGGAAAAGCTTATTACCTGATCATATCCCTGCTAAGACTCATTTCTTCCCTAGGCTCAGACAGGCTAAATCTCTCTTCCTGTAAATACCAGACAGTTTGAATTTTTATACCACTCTAGGGACAGGAAGGAGAAAAGTCAGTGCTGCTGGTGATGTGACTGCAGCAATGGGTGAAGCTCTCAAGACAATCACTGCCTGCAGGTTAGCTACAGTCTCTCTGCTGTAAGGCCACGCAGGTGAGAAGGCAGCCATCAGGCATGGGAAACATGACAATTGTTTTACTCCTGAGAAGCAGGAGTTAGAAAAGACCCAGACTATTAATGGATTAGCTAGCTCTTTCTTCTAGACATGAATGGAGCAAGGAGTTCAGGAAGTTTTGCTTACAGTCTTGAAGAGTCTAAGATCATTGGAAGTGAAGCAAGTGAAGGTCAGGAACAACAGCTCGCAGTCATTTCTCTCTGTGGGGCAGGCAGCACCCTAATTTTGCATCCTGCCTCTAGGCTCTTTCCTTTGCACTTAAAGATTCTGTGCTGGGACAATTCTAGCAAAGCTACTATTCTGACTCTGGGCTTCTGAACACCTTGAGGAAGCTGAAGGAAGGCAGCCACTGTCATTGCAGTGGGGGACACGAGTTAAACGATGAAGCTCCCACTCAGAAACAGCTCTGGAAAAACTAGTGCTCCTCAGCTGAGGAAAGAACAGAAGTGGGTTTTCCTTTCTGCTGCCTCAAAAAGGAACAGAAAAGGAATATAGGAATACTAAGGCTTCAGTTTTTACTACACATTAAAGTACACCTGGTCAACCCCTTGTTTTGTAGCAAACCAGCACTTTCTCCACAAAGGAATGAATGCCTAGCAAAGCAATCATTGGAAGCTGAATTGGTAAAGATATGCTTACATCCCACTTGCTGGCAGTAGTGCTTATGCAACTGTGTGTTACCAGGATCAGTTAGCTGATCTGGTTAGCTTCTTGTGGCCAATTCCCAACAGCAGTTATTGACAGCTTCTGCTTATCTTCCTTGTCTGACAGAATTGGACATAGACCTTGTCTAGATGGTCAGAAACAATATAACATGGATTCATAAAAGATGTGTGATAGTAACTAAAATATTGGTGAAGACAAATACTCATTTTGCAGAACTTGGTATTATCATCTGTACCATATCTGAAGATTACTACCCAAGAAACATGTGCCAAGGTCGTTCCTAAATCTTAGTTCTGTACATGTCAGCTGTTGCAAAGCTATCTGCCAAGCCAGCTGTTTCTGGAATATATAACAATTTCTTACATTATATATTTAGTCTAAAAGTTCCTATGCTTTTTCCCTCTTTCCCGTGTTTCACAATTTATTTCTTAAGCACGATAACCAGATGCAGGCTGGTATCAGTCATATCTTATTTAATACCATACACAGAAACAATTATCATATCAATTCTTTAATTTGTAATTTTTTTCCCCTGGAATTTGAATTTTGCAAGATTAGCAACACAAAGTGAAGTAATAGAAGTTAACAAAAAAAATTTTTTTTTCAAGTCATGGCAAAGTTTGGACAAATACTGTTTTGCTTGCATATCGACACACACACATAACAAATATAGATCATGAACACAAGTGTCAAATTTAATTGTACCAATAATATTGCTACTAGTAGTCAGTAGAGCACCATGAATTTAAATTCTCCTTGGAGCCAGCAGGCACAACGCAGAATAAAACCCAATTTCAATCGGGCATTGCAATATGTATCATAAAAGTTTAAGTCAATACTACATTTTGGATTCCTAGGTCTGCCCAACACAACCTCCCTCCTCTGCTGACATTGATGTTTCTATAATTGTGTTGACTGTTCAGCTGGCTTACCTGATCTAAACCTAAGACTGCAAAAAAGGATAGTGGTGATATAGGTGAAGTAAAAGTCAATAGTTTCAGATTCATTGTAATTGCTTCTTAGAAATGCTGGGAACCTGTTTCTCTAAAAATAGGCCCGATGGAGAAAGAATGGCTGAAAGGCAGGTTATATCTGAAAGTCTTAATAGGCAATGCTTAGAGCTCTATATGAATGTTGTCTGTGCTGTACCTTATTTCTTGATTTGTGTTTTTTAATTTGTGACTTTTCTGACAAACACTAAATGAACAAACACGCAAAAACATCATTAATGATATTACAGCTGATAATTTCTTCTTGAGAGCAAACAGATCTTTACCAGCTCAGCATTTCAATAAACAGATTTGAAATGAAGTTCTGTTGAGACTTGTCATTTGCTACTTGGAAAACAAAGCTGTTGATGCTTAGCAGCTTCATTCTGTAAAAGTGTTTCTGAATTTCCAGTTATATGTGCTTATTAAAATTCAGAACAGAAAGAGGTACAGATTAAATTATAAAAATTTGTAGTGTAAAAGAAGTCCAGAGATTTCAAATCTTAAATTAAAAAAAGAAAAATCACAGACAGCATTATAAAAGATATATTGAATTTTTATTACAAACATCATATAACTTTATTTTTACCATGATCTGTGCATACTACCCATATTTTTTATTAACATTAAAAATGCCTTACTTGTTTGCAACCAAACGCATCACTGTCCAGTCTTTTGGAAACATCTCTGGTCGTATTAGGATGCGAAATACTGTGAAAATCTGCAGCAGGAAATCCTTTAGAAGGAAAAGAAGCAGTCATATATCTTTGCTGCTTTAAAAAAGAGTGGTGAGCTTTAAAAATATTTTAATCAGAGAAAAAAAACAATCATTATATAAATAGCAGAATTGCATTAATTCATTTATTTTCAACATAGATACACATCTGAATGTTTTTCTTTTCTTTTTTTCCCCCAAGAAAGCTTCAAATAGTGATTTAATCCATTCTTCTTAAAAGGAGGAAAATAATACAATGTACCATTTGATTGACAGCAATGTATAAGATAAATGTCAAAGATCCATTTGGTTTCCACCCATACACTTCCACAAACGCGATCTCGAGAACAATTTGCAAATCAAAAAAGCACTTTATAAACACCAGAGAGTTCAGAATATCTCCTTAATCATGCCAGTTTTTCATCACTTTCAGGATTTATTCTAAAAGTGGCATTATTTGGTGGGAAAGAGAGAGAGTATAAGGACAATTTTATCACTGAGTTGGCAAAGATCAGTGACTCCAATAGTGATGCCCAAACCTCATAACTGGTATCCTAGCTGGTTGGCTGTGTGCAGGTCACCTAACTATTCTGCCTCATTTGCTAAATCTATAAAAACAGTCAACATGTGAGCTACTTCGAATGTAGAAAGCACTACTTGAAAGCTTTTAGCATTATCATCTCCTATGTCATTTAACTCACTAATAAATAAAAAGCCTGGAGCCCCTGGTGGTCTAGTGGTTAAGGGCGCGGCACTGTCACCGCGGAAGCCCCGGTTGGATTCCCGGTCAGGGCCACTCCCGGGCAGGTGGGGCTCGTTAGCCCTTAAAAAGGCAACCCATCTACGTCCTGAGGACCTCGCTGCCACCGTCCAAGCTCGCTTGGCCCCAGCAGATGAACCTTAGGATTAAAGGGTGGGCTCAGTTCCGCGCACACTGTGTCTCACCTAAAAAATCCAATGCGCAGGCTGGAAGGTGTAAAGACCTTCCCCGGATCTTCACTCGTGAAGACTGGCCAAAAAAAATAAAAAGCCTATTCCTCTCAGCATGTTTTTCTTCAGTTTTTCCTTTCAGAAATAAAACTAACAACAAGTAATTCTAATGGGCCATCTTGATTCTGTATAGTACTGCCAGTATTCTTTTAGTAAGAAAATGGAGCTTTTGACAACACAGAGAGCATATGGCAAGTGATATAAACACGCCTAACAAAATCAGTGCAGCACCTGACCTTGAAATGTTTGCTATTGATTCTGCCCACAATACTTGTAGAGAGTTAGCCTGAAACACAGATGAGATGAAGATACAGTCAAAGAATACCAAATAATTTTGAACACCAAAATATATTCTCAAGTGCATTTATCCAAGTGTATTTGACAGGCATTGCACAACAGATGTCTTTCAGTAGAGAATCACTGCAAAGGGGGACAAATGCAGGCGTTGGGAAAGGCAGATGAGATCCCCACACCCACCCACCAGAGAAGATTACATAACAGAGACAACCTGTTTTCTGAGCACGTTGCCAAAAAATTATCTGTATTAAAGAGTATAAACAATACTTATTGCAGATAACATACAGTTTGAATGCAAGTGACCAGCTTTACAGATTAACAAGTATCTCTACAAGTAACACATTTATTCCAGACCATTTTTCTATAAGTTTGTATCTTGTACTTAAATATCAACCCTGCTGCTTGCCTTTTTGTTTGTTTGTTTGTTATTAGAGGTAAATTCCCTTTCTTGCAGCTCTGTGCCATAATCCCAACAATATGGCAATGCCTTGAATATTTGCTGCATGTCATCTCACAATAACATACCAAATTATTCCATATTCCATTTTTATCTTGTCTGTTGTCCAGACACAATATATGTTGTTGCTGCTGTTAGAGATCTAACTAACTGACTGCTGAACTGAAGAAGCCAAATGGCTGTTGTTGGGAAACTGTGCAGTGATTTGAAGACTTAAACCCAAGGGTTCTGTGAGGTGTAAACCTAGTGCCTTTGAGAGTAACGGGCCACAGCTGAAATTTGGTAGCTTCTTCAAAAGTCATTAAGAGAATGACAGACTGAGTGGAAGATCATATGCACTTCATTTCTCTAGGTAACTAGGCTAAAACCAGAATATATCTTTTATTTCAAGCAAATTTTAAAACATGGAAAATGCAGACACTAGCATTAAATTTTGAATCATTAACATCAGGCTAATTATTTCTAATATTAACAGAAAAAATAGAAAATTGTGTCATCAATTTAATGATTAGTGATAGTAGATGCAAAATGTAGATTTAGTAACAGATTTTAACATTTAAAAAACATTTTTTCCATCATCATAAATGAACTAACATTTGGTTGGTTGAGTACAGATATAATTAATGTCTCATATGCCTTCTATCTTAAGAGACAACAAGGAAGTAATTTTGTCTTTTTACATACTCTAAATACCATCTCTCAATATTCCTATGTAGTTCTATTACTATCAATAAGATAGTAATAGATAGTAGTATAAGCTTTAGTAGTATCTCACACTACTTAAACACCTTCACACCTGAAGGACAGAATGCCATCCAGAGGGACCTGGACAAACCTAAGAAGTGGCCCCATGGGAATCTCATAAAGTTTAACAAGACCAAGTGCAAGGTGATGCACGTGGGTTGGGGCAACCCCTGGTATCAATAGAGGTTGGGGGATAAGCAGTCCTGCCAAAAACGACTTGGGGGTCATGGTGGATGAGAGGCTGGACATGGCCCAGCAAGGTGCACTGGCAGTCCGGAAAACCAGTCGTGTCCTGGGTTGCATCAAAAGCAGTGTGGCCAGCAGGTCAAGGAAAAGGGATTCTGCTCATTTACTCCACTCTGGTGAGACCACACCTAGAGTACTGCATCCAGCTCTGGAGTCTCCAGCACACTGACTTGTTGGAACAAGTCCAGAGGAGGCCACAAAGATGATTAGAGAAATAGAGTACCTCTCCTACAAGGAAAGGTGGAGAGAATTTGGCTTGTTGAGCCTGGAAAAGAGAAGGCTTCAGAGCGACCTAATTGCAGCCTTTCAGTACCTGAAGGGAGCCTATAAGAGAGATGGAGAGAGTCTATTTACAAGGACATGTAGCAACAGGACAAGGGTGAATGGCTTCATAGTGAGAGTAGGTTTAGGTTAGATATTAGGAAAACATTCTTTACTGTGAGGGTGGTGAGGCACTGGAATAGGTTGCCTAGAGAAGTTGTGGATGCCCCATCCCCGGAAGCATTCAAGGCCAGGCTGGATGGAGCTTTGAGCAACCTGGCCTAGTGGATGGTGTCTCTGCTCATAGCAAGGGTGTAGGAACTAGGTGATCTTTAAGGTTCCTTCCAACCTAAGCCATTCTATGATTCTATGATTAAATAATATCATAATACCACAGTTTGGTTTTCCTTGAGCAGTAATGTTAGCTCAATGAAATTTTCAACCAGCATTTAAGTGAGAAGCATGGCCTTCTGGAAGACTGAAAACCATCTATTAATTTAACAAAAATGGCTTTGGATTTTCCTGCGTATTTCCCTGTATGTATGTAAAATACTCGGTAAAGCAGGTCAGACTCTTCACTATATTTCTCAGGGTACGTCTATATAGTATTTTAATTTGAGTCAACAGTCCACTTTGAAGCCATTGACCATCCATTGATTTGCTTCACACTGCAGAGGTACTAGGTTACTTGGTAACAAGATTTTGTAGAGCATCCAGAATGCCAAAGTGCCAGCAAGAAAGAGCATTGTTTGACAGTGAGCTGTCACTGCCTGGGCAACTCATCCACCCTGTGGCCAACTCCTTTCCCAGATCTTCTTTCCTTCACCGCTGTGGTGGTTCTCCCCCAGCTGGCCTGGGGGATTCGGGAAGAGTTAAAGCTAGTAGGAACCTTTGTTCAGGGGAGAATTACGCCCGGACCTGGAAATTGTAACAATATGGTTTTCCAGTAAAATGTGCTGAGCACAGCAAAATGTGTTTCGTGACATGCGCAGTAAGCAGAGTTATATAACACCGTTAGTGGCCAATGGAAGAATATTTATGTATGTGGGAACCAGTGGAGAGTTGACATGTGTAGCCTAAAAAGTGTATAAAAGTAGCAGACATCATGTAATAAAGTGTTCCAGCCTCTGGATCCATAAGGGTTTCGTGTCGTGTCCCGCCTCTACCCGCGACACACCGCTTTCTTAATCTACACCAGAAGCCATCTAAATACTTGTTTTAGAACTACCCCTCTGCCCCAGCACTCACCCTTTCCGTACATGAGTGGATGTCCCTGCACAGAAGTGGAAAGATGGTGGTTAGAAATGAGCTTCTCCACCACAAGCATTCCCCATGCCTACAGAACTCTGTCACAGACTGTGTCCCAGGGACCATTGGAGAACAGTGGAATAAACTGCACTTGGTGTTAGGGCTCGACACCCACCTTTACCCTGCTAAGGCTCTTTTAGGTGGAAGAGAGGGATCAGAGAACTCGTAAGACTTATACCCATACCTACAGAATATTATATTTTCCTTCATCAGATCTCTGCATCTATTCCGCCACATTATATAGGGTACATTGCTAATAAATAAAAACTAGGCTTTCTGGCAGGTGCTTATCTGTTTTGTTTTCTTTTAATCTATTAATTAAAAACCTCCACACATATCGATCAAAGCCACCTTGCTGTGGTCAAAGCTGCACTGTGCTAACATATATTGGGTTTTGCATTCACTTTCCCACTTTCTCCTCCTATTTATAACTTTCACTGTTACCTTTTGTCATAAATTATATTTGAGCTTTTTCACAGCAGCAAATATCTGCCTACAAGGGTGCCTCTGTTCTATAAGTTGCTGTAAAATATATTTACTAGAAGACAGTATTTTGTGATAAGCATAAAGAACATATCTTAAAAATAACATTGAAAGATAAAAGGAAGCATTTAAAATTACTGCCTTGTTAAATCCAGTGTTTCAAAAAGTGAGTGAAGTATAGTCCCTGGTTGTACCACTCAGCAATGAAACCCCTGTCAGTTCTTTTTTACTTCATTTGCGTGTTTTCAAACATAAAATGTTTTTTCTCTCTTCTGCTTTATGCAGAAGAAACCTCTCTTAAAGAACTAACAAAAACAGTCACCACGTCAATTACTTAAGGTAAATATATTTACAAAAAAGGGAATATTTCCATAAACAGCCACTTGTTTAACACATCACTCAGATGCATGTCATTTAAAAATGTGTACATGTCATTCCTTCAAAGTCTCCATTTTGCTATTCTGTGTTTAACAAGCTGGAAACAGCCTTTAGTAATTTTGGCATAGGCTGTTTGAAAGAAAAAATTAAGAAATGCAAATATAATTTCATAGGACGAATTAAAGCTTTATTCCTTTTTTGCAAGTACTTTCATGAGTGAATTTTTGTTTGGAGAAGCGCTTTGGTGGGGACATTTTTATTAATTATATCACAAATGCTGTGCAAACATACTTTCATGCAAGTACTTGACATAATTGCCTTTAGAATTAGTTTGGAAGAAAGATTAAATGTCTGGTGATATCAGTGCCTAATCATTCAGTATAGATGGTTAATTATAATCAGAGGCAGTCACGGCAAAAAAGCAGAGCAGATAGCAATTCAAAGGCCTGGGTTACATACAGACCTTGTATCAGATCTGTAACTTGTAATGTGGCTTCAGGAAGATCCAACTCACTTTCATGTCTTTGAATGGGGGTAAAATGAGGAGTTAAAACTATAGAAACCTCAAGGAGTTACCACTGAAGTTTAAATCCTGACTAGCCACAATATCTATCTGAAGCTATTACTTCAGACTCTAAAAAAAGTTCTTATCACTGATATTTATGCCTTCTGAATTTTCGTTTAGCTATACTGATGTCATTTCCTAAGGCACACATCTTAAGCAGAACAAAATACAAGGAAGTTCTACACTTGGCAATTAAAGCAGAAAAATAAAGAGGCAAGATGGAGACATATAAAATCACCTTATGATTAACAGCAGTGTCAGCCTCACACACTAGCTCTCATCTTTCTGTCTTGCTCTCAGTGATAATTGATATTTTCAAGTGAGAGGAAAAAACAATATATTATTTAAGATTCAGGGGAGAAGGCATGCTGCATTAATGATGATCAGGCTGCTGCCACTGAATCACTGGTGGAGCTGATGTTGATTCAATGAGATATGAATGGAAATAACAAACTGTGTGGACTTGAGTTCTTAAGACCTCTATTTTGATAGCTGATGGCACTGGCAACAGCTGCTTTCCATATGTCTCTGCATAATAGTAGGGTATGTGCGTGGGGGAATTTAAATGTGTCAAATCAAATACCATTCAAGCATTAATTCTAGAGATTTTTCACATTCTAGAAGGAAAAAAAGTCTGAATAAACTCAACATTGTATTTTACAGATACATCAAACAAAAATGAAGCTTGAAACCTCTGGGAATACCCACTCAGGACTCAAACAAAAGAGAAATTTTTTTTCACTAAAAAATGCCTAGGTTCCACAATATATACTAAAAATTGTATAAAGATAGCAACTATGTTAGGTGAAAACAGATGCTGTAATACTAGTATAAAAATCATCTACCCTATACAACTTCTAGGTAGTGCTCTTGATTCATGGTAACCTCTTAGCAGCATTTTCTATCTTTCAAGCTCAATATGACCATCTCACTCAAAGTAAAGGCACTCACAAGTGGTATGCTCTCTTCACAACAATGATAAATACCTATGAGAAATTTAAGGAAATCTAAAATTGCACCATGACGAGACTCCTCTTTTCAGGGCAGTACTTAAGTTTACCAAATGGCAATTTAACATCTAAAATACACTATGACATCTAAAATACACTAGGACATAATTACTGGCTGAATAATGTGCATAAATGAGTACTCAAGATTTTTTGTGTGGATCAAGTATGGTACTATATAAGCTTTTCAGGGTCCAACATAGTGGAAGTCTTAGTGTCTATCTTTTGGTAGGAAATCTTAACTTTTTTTTTTTTTAATCCACCCCCTCCTCCAAAAAGGAATCAAAAAAGCTGTATCTCTACAAACCCAGTAAATCAATGAACAAAACTGGTAGAAGCTGCCTTGAAAGAGCTCTGCAGCAACTCTTTCATAATTGAACTAGGCAGACAGATGTTGTAAGCCTGACACATCCTCCTGTCAATGGACTTGCTGCACAGCTAAGAAAATTGGAGAGTTAGTTGAATGTGCATTTCTCAAGCTGCATGTTTGCTATTGCTATATATAATTTAATGAATGAAAAACATAAGCAAATATAATAAAACAAAAAAAAACCCACACAGCTGCCTGAAAGAATCAACCTTAGATTGACACCATCTTTAAAACAGACTTGGAGGCTAAGTTCATGGCTTGAAAGCAATTACAGTCCTTCAATCCATATTCTCTCTGCTGTCATTGTAGAAGTAACAGAATCCTTGCCCCACTGTAAGAGTGGACTCAAGTACGCATGAAAATGTGTGCAATAATTAGCTACTCTGAAAAACAGATTCTATTTAAATACTGAATTGGTTCATCAAAGCACAAGGATATCTTAAAGGCAGATACATCAGAAGGAGGTCAAAGAGACCTAAACAAGTGGAAACACTATTCTGTTACTCACCCTCAGATCTTCCTTTGTATTGAAGCTATCAAGAAGCTGTTGATAATGTCTATCAGTCATTTGTCGCAAGAGTGACAACAAACAAGAGACAAATTCCCCCTGTTCAGATAAATCAAGAGTAGAAATACTATAATATTTTCTGCACTTGAGCTTAAACTGTTACATTATAAGCACTTCAAAATAATTAACAAATGCAAGGGAAATTAATCTACAATTAGGCTTCAACTCCACATATTGTGAAAATACATTAATTCATCTATGCACTTCCTTCCCATGTAAAGAAATATTTTTCCCTAAATGCAGTTTACTTGCTGAGCACAATCTATTTTAAGTAGTTCCAGCAGGGCTAAACCAGTAAAAATTTTAATTTGTGATTTGTTTCCCTTGTATCTGTTTTCAAACAAGTTACTTAGATTGCTAAAATTACAATCTCTTTAGTCAACTCAGTTTTGAAACAAATATAAACAAATATTTTGCAACAATTCTGGGAAGAATGTTATTGTTTTCCTTTAGGGAAGAAATTAATACAGTTAGCTAGGAAGTTTTCAAAACATTTTGTCATCTCAAAAAACCAAGATTTGTCAAAAAGAAAACTCATTTGTAGGGCTGAACAAACTGAAAATATTTTGGTTGGAAGTTTCCTTGGGCCTACAGAAGAATTTCTAACTAAAAGAGCAGAAAATTGCACTGGGTATCTCCAGTGAGCATTCAAATGACCAGGACATTACAGGAAGGAACAGGTTCTCCTGATCTTCCTTTCCTTTCTGTTTATTCACTTTCAAATTGGGAAGAAACACTGAATAGTGTCAATCTCGTCTGACTGCAGAGTGGATGAGGGCATGAAAGAGTGGAAAGTCTGGTTTGCATCCCAGTGCTTATAAAGAACAATTCTGAAATCTTACAAGCTTGCTAAAAAACAGGAAATACATTTCTGGCTTGGATCTACCAGGAATGGAGAATGAGACTGGCAGAGCATGTTTTCACAGGAGTGGCTGTTCTGTATTTAACACTGGAAGGCCTAATTAATTTGTGATTATAGCTGGTACACTCAGTGGTGTACAAGGTGATGTCTTTCACTGGCAACATGGTAATAAAATAATAACTGTCTTGCCAATAATAAGATTCTACACTGAAGTAAGTAATGATTAGAAATTAATTACCTACCAGTGAGACCACTGTGCTTTACAGTGAACATAGCATTCATAGAAACATATAATCATAATCTCAAAACAAGGCTTCAAAATCTCTTCATCCTCATGCTCTGTGCATAAACATAAAGGTTACAGCTACTGTCTTGTAAATCTCTGTATACCTGATTGCTGACTTGAGTGACAAAATTTGAGTGTGAACCTTTGGAATCTTCCTTTCCTGTTTAGACATTTTAAGCAACCCTTTCTAGTCACCTTTCTTCTATGTTCCCATATTTATTTCAACTTACAGTAGTACATTAAAAATCACAGTCTATTATAGAGAGCTGTACTATTATAGTTGATAGACAGATTAACGTTAAAAGAGTACTAACATTGTTATCTGACTTCTAAATTTAAGCTTTTAATTTGAATGTAGGTAGCTATTCAGGCTGGTTTTTAAAATAGCAATGAACATTCAGCTTCATTTGTTGAACTTAACATAAAAAACGTATGTTGTAGGATTTCTGGCAATGTTAGCCACAGACTAACTTTTGAACCATGCAAAAGCAAACTTCACACATAAAACAACCTTGATAAAAACCATTTAGGTGTCAAATGTCAAGCCAAGTAGTATACTAAAATCACTTAAGTAGAATCCTTAAGTAATTTTTTGTGTCTTATTTAAAGAGTACAATTATTAAAAGTCATGGAGCTCACAATTAAATTGCAATTCATCTAGTTTTGAGGGACTGAACTTCCAGGATGTGAAATATAAAGGTTCACTTTAATTGCACTGCTTTCTGCCAACTCTTTATATACAAATGCATTTTTTCTTAAGGAAATCCAAAGGTCTCAATCACTGACAAACTAAAGCAGAAGTTTCACTTTCACCATTTCACTAAATTCCATGTTTGTCAGTGCAACATCTGTAACACTGACACCCTGAAGCCATGTCTTCTTTGTGCTCAGTTTAAAGCATCACATTCATCTTGCAGGTTACCATTTAACAAGACTGCTCACTGCCAATTAAATGATACCCAGGTACCAAAACTACTTGAGATGAAAGAAACAGTGCACGAAGCCTGATGATGCTTGATTTTATACTGTTTATTTGTGAAGAACAACAGTGATACCTGGGCCCAGAAGATCACACTGAGATGAGTTTGGGACTACTTCCACAAGGAAGACTATGCCTAATTTGAAACTATGACAGAAGTTTATCAAGTCTGCTGCCATGATACATCTCAAAAAGAATATTTTGTGATACATGCAGTTTGAAATAATGGTAACATACTGGAACAGATTCTACTTCTGTACTCTCACTGAGTGCTTTATCATACTTGCTCTACAAATAGTTCCAAGAATCTGCCTCCATGTGTTGCCAGAAGCCCATACTGCATGATGTTTCTACATGAATGTATACTATTGCCTTATGCTGTGTTGTGAGTCACTTCCACATTAAGTATTCTTTTAGAGCCTGTGGTGACAATGACATGACTTTTCTAATACGTTAAAGAAAATTTTGCAACTTGAAAGCACTTTCCGAGTCTAATTTTTTGATGGTATAACAGAATTAAGCTGTTGTGGTGTTTAATGAAAACTTAATCTACAAGCAAGTGGATATCTCATAAAAAAACAATAAGCTCAAAGCTTTGCTACACTACTGTGTCTAATACTACACCCCTTTCTTCAGCTTAGATTTTCTTTTGGTGGCCTGATATGCCACACAGCATACATTTGTAATTTTGGAATTTAAAGAAAAAAACAACAAAGTCTTAGATGCATAGTGTTGCTGGATCACAGTGATTAAAGCTTGGTGTTATTACTGAGCTTGGTCAGCTCCATAAAACACTCCATATACAGTTCGTTCTCTGTAGGACAAAGTAAAAAAGAAAACAAACAAAAAAACCATCAACAATACATTTCTTCCACAGTTATTAAATGCTTTTGAAATATTTGATCTCAGAGGAAATTCTAGTTTAAACAGCAACCATCTCTTCCTTAACAAAAACTGTTACAATGTAAATATTGGAAAATTAATTAGTCAAGTGTATAATAAGATGGCAAATCACTCAACTTAGTATGTTCTCTGCACAAAATGCTACTCCTTCACTTCATATTGGGGTCACATCCCTGGCTATATCAGAACCAATTTGCCCTTGAAAAGTAAAGTGAAAACTTTGCTGCAAACAAAGCAAAATAACATTTTACTTTCTTTGATCAATGCTCATCACAGGCTTCTCTGTAAATGCCTGCATTTCAACCTTCTAATATGCATGAGTTGTTATAGCAGGTTCCCAAAAACATAATTTGCTGATCTTCTAAATCTATCCTCTATGCTCTACTTCTCGTGATAGAAGCAAAGCTCAAATGCTTAGCCAAGGGAACAACAAAATGCCTTCCAATTAATAAATCTGGATTTGTAGAAGTTCGCATCATAGATTCAGCAGACATTTTAGAGCTTTTCCATCATGAAAAAATGTATGCATTTTAGGAAGTAAAATGTTATGGATTGATAATCTTCCATTTTCAGGAATTCAAACTTAAAAGAGAGTTTCAGAAAGCTATTACATTTGCCAACAAAAGAAACATACTGAAATAATTACTAACTTGAAAGAGTCTCAAAAGAAATTTTATCTTTTGAGCTTGTTGTTATTTTTTGTTGTTGTTGTTGTTGTTTTTGGGTTTTTTGTGTTTTTTTTGGTCACAATTTATCAATAAATTTAATTTTTAAAAAAATCGTTATTTCCACTAAAAATGAGTAAAACACTCATTTTTCACTCAGGAAAGGTTTTCGTTGTTCTCATTGTCTGTTTTATACACAAAATCTTAACACTGTGAATACAAAGACAATAACATCACAAATCTAGTAGTCCTACCAGTGACAACTGTGAGCTATTTAATTTTAAGAAACTTACAGTCACATCTTGAAACTGGAGACGCAGAGCAGAGCCTGAGGGTTGTGGTCGGCTGGTGATCTCTAGTATGGTCCTTAATAGAATATCTAGCAGACTGTTTACAATCACATCAATTTCTTCCAGGACTGACTTTTCCTTAAATAATAAATAAAACATTTAAGATTTAAAGTAGAAAGATGACCACAGACATACTTCCTTTTGATGTAGTTTTATTAAGAATCCTACATTCAAGAAACAAGGACTACTTTCTATTTCAGCTATTGTTTAATTTTATAGAGTTTTTCCTAACAGTTTTCAATTAATTACATTGTACTTAAATATGGAGGACAGTTATGGGGATAACTTTGAATATGTAAGCATTCATCAAATTAGCATGTCTCTTTTTGTAACTGATGTTTAGAAGAAAGCAGTAAATAATATACAAGAACTTTTCGGGCAAGATTTTTATAGGTAACACCCATATATTTTCTGGGGAAATTGCCAAGAAAGGCTTAAATTCTAAAAAGCAGAATTCTGTTTTCACACTTTGAAACTACCACCAGAAACAAGCAGATGGTACTCAACCTTCAAGACCTGCTTCATCAGCAAGGACCAGCAACATTGCTTCCCATCAACTGAGTAGCACAAACAAATTAGTCATTTATGTAAGCCTACAACACAACATCAATACAAAGAAACCAAAGTGTTCACTGCAAAAGAGACCTCAGTTACAAGCATAAAAATACTTGATAAAGTCAAGTATTACTTCTCCTTTTTAATTCAGATGGACATGTTTTCCCTGTTTCAACATTGTTTTCTGTCTCCACTGCAACAGACAGAAATTGGAGCGATTTTATCCACAATTTAAGATGACACTTCTTCACAGAAACAAACACTTCATAATCAAATGCACAAAATCAAACTAAAACTTAGCTAACAAACAAACAGTTCAACTTCGCTGACACTGATGTGTAGGAGTGATTTAGATTTTTGGGGGGTGTTGTTTGGTTTTGGTTTTTTGTTTGTTTGTATGAAGCATATGATACATTAGGAACTGTATGAACTGCAAGGATCCACGCACAAACTACTATTAGAATGGCAAACAGTCTTAATTTTCAAACCTGCCTTACTGCAAATTCACTTGTTCCCTCAAACGTCTAAATTATCTTGACTACCATCTGAACTGATCCACAAAAATCATGTCAAATTCACCAAAGACTACTAAAATTATTAGCTGCATATTTTGAACATTAGAGAGTTTTATGTAGATATCCACTTGTTAATGTCTACATCTCTGGCTTAGTGACTCCAAATGGAAGATCTGCAGCGATTAGGACCAGACATGTAAGCCTTTCTCTCAATCCAAAACCACAGCTCTGCTTTAGCATCTATCACTTTATCTTGTGATGAGGTTTTATACTAACCAAGGAGAAGCTGCAATAAAAACATTATTACAGTGTCAAAGGTGCAAGACACACCTATATCAAATCACTGATGGAGCAACTTTAATTGGATGGAGAAACATAAAACAGTTCTTATTAATGCATATAAGGTAATGTACGCTGGCCTTGATATGCATGTACTGCACTAACTACAGGCAATGTTTGGTTTTAATTGTCTTATATCCTGCTGCCTGCCAGAACCTATCATCATCTTCACATTCACAATACACCTGGCTAAGCTAGCTCTCATATGCAGCTTTCATAGATTAATTTGCAAACACAAACATCAGAAATTGGCCACAAAGTTTATCAACTAACAACCAAGTGCATTTCCCCTTGCAATACTCATATCGACCTATTTACCTATATTAAACCTGTGTACCCTAAGACTAAATAGCTCACAATAGAAAATGCCCCTAAAAGAAAGTGGACATTTCTTTCCTTCTAGCGCAGTACTCAAAAAGAGTCAAAACTTGGCAAAACACTACATACCACAATTAAAATACTCTTGCATGGGAAAAAAAGAGCAATGAGAAATCAAAATGACAGATTTATGCAGATTTATTACAGAGACAACTCTTTAAAATGCTCTGGGGTAAGGTCCAGTCTGTGTCATTAAAAGTCATTGAGCCATAAAAAGAAGTTCAAATGGATGTGATATGGTGTTTACTCACTGAGCTGTTCTTCTTGATGAGGCAAAATATGTTGCTAAGGATACGGGCACACATTATAAGGTCCTTCTGCTCTTGTAAATGCATGTGGAGATGATGCAAAACTACCGGAAGAAGAATGCATCGAGAATCTGGAAAAAATTAAATATTTTATGAGTAGGACCCTCTCATATAATCACTAAATTTAACACAGACATAAAATGTGCCTTCAGTCCAAAACAGTATTTCAGATGAGCAGGAGCTTTTGCTTGCTTTAACCAATATTTTTTATAAGCAGAAGATTTTACTTCAAAATCATAATAACCTAAAGGAAATGTCTGAAGAATAAACAATATGCTGAAAGTCATGGATGGAGAGAAACACCACTGTGTGGAATATACTATATATAACAGAAATATTTTAGCTTTTATTGAACTGTCATGCAAAAAAAAGCAGCACAGTAACACTTGTATTCAAAACAATGTGAAATTATGCTCTAGTATTCCTGCCAAGTGACAGGACCCATTTACAAGCCCAGGTCACAACAGACTTCATCTGGAAATTCTGTTATTCTACAGATGAGTTCTGTTTTACAGACAAGATCTTCACTTTTCCAGATTCCTCACTCCTACTGAGTAGGAGCAATTTAGACTACATAATGGTGACTACATAAAATGATTTGCTTTTCCACTATCTCATTTTTTAAACACAGCTCTTTGGTGCTATTTTCAGTCTTGAATTCTCTGAAAATTAAGCAAGAAAGTAATTAACATGCTATGTTTTCCTGCTTCTTTTTCTTACAATTAAAGACAATATTAAATGGGAAGAACCCTAATACCTACACTTGTGATAACACTTTAAACACCTATTTACAACTTGATAAATGGAAAGGGTGTTACCTGTTTTAATTTTGTTGTTATTTTTAGATCTTTTACATAACTGAGAATTTATATTCTCATAGAAATGTACTTGAATAATTTCCTCTATTGAAATTTTAATGATGATTATATACTTCATTATATAAATATATTTATCTACAGAGTTTCTTTGTTCATTAATGCAATTATATCCTTAGAACTGAGTTATCTTGCTGGAAAATTACCCCTTCAAAATAATTTTGCCAACCAGGTATTGTTTGTAGATTACTCTTTCTATAAACACTTTCCCTCCCTCATCTATTTCCCCTAATTTTTAACATGAAGAAGAAAAAGATAATTTATTCTGAGGTTTTGTTTAATGCTTCTTTTCCTCATTGAAATAAAGCACTAATCTTGTTATGCTCTATTATTGTCTTGTTTTCATTGTCTAGTCATCCGTATAATACAAGACAGGGAAATGGCCAGCGTGCTGACCTGTGGTTAGGAAATGCCACCTTTTGATCCCCACTCCTAAATCTGCTTATTGATTCCTGCTGGATGAAAAAACAGACCTAATGCCTTCAGCTGAAGCAATAAAGCAGGACTCTCCATTCCTATCAAAAAGACTTAAACCTCCAGATTACAGGGGATGGCTCCTTTCCCCTGCTTTCTGTTAAGCCTTACGTATTGAATTCTCGACTATCTGTAATCCATCATCGAGAGACAAGATGAAGGGTTCACTGCATAAATCAGCCTGTATTTCTATGGTTGGGGTACTTTCCTAGCAGGCAGGCAATAGGAAGCTGAATCCAGACTTACAGAGCACTAAACCTGGTCTTCCATTCCCAGGAAAATGCTAAATCACTACTGAACTCCACAGCTATCACAGAGCAGTTATAGCAGCTCTTTCACACCTTACTGGTATGAGTATTATTGTTTGGACCATAAGTCTTCTGAGGACAGCAGGTCCTCTCTTGCAGCTACAGCTCAAATCCCTCAGCCCAGAAGGTGAGAAGAAACTAAGAGCAGCCCTGTGCCAAGGTGTTCTTTCTTGGTTAACTCTAGGTAGCTTCCTGATGAGCCCACACAGCATTTGGTGCCTTACCTGAGGTGCCCAGTACTCTGTGCACTGCTCACATGTAAGTGCAGCATCATGAACTCCGTTTTGAACACCAGAGAATCTACGTGTAGCAACACTTGCCTTGTAAATAGCCAGCTCTTACACATGATATGGCCTGAAGCATCTCAGATAAAACTGAGCATCCTCATTCAACTGTTTCAAGTATCTCATTTTTGCAAAAGCTTCATAAAATGATCAGAAACCTTGCCTTACCATGACAAATGGATTAGCAAAAGTATCTTACAGTGACTTGCAACTATATAGAGGAGACGACAGTGCCAGTTTTTGAAATGGCCACCACATATAACAGTTTTAGATTTATTCCTTAAAAGCCCAGAATCTAAATACTACTCTGTCTTTATCTTTTTAGGTGGAGAGATGTAGTTGTATTTCAGAAGAGGAGATCTGGTTCATTCACCTCTGAGGCAAACCAAGGACTAGGTGAGAAAGTTTGGAGAACACAGTGTACAACATTTGTCTCAGGTTACTCTTTTTCTTACTAATTGTCAGCTGCAATGTCAGCCACTGGATATAGAAAAATTAATGAGCTCAAGGAATGTTACAATAATAAGAACTCCTAGTCATCAGTCACTGTCCTAATTTTTCTTCTGTGCAGGAAGTTAAATTAGCTGACTGTTTAAAATGCTAATACTTGCCCTTTACAAATATTATACAGAAAGAAAAGGAAAAAAAAATCACAACACAGAGCTTTTCAAGTACATGCTTGGCATAATTAGAAAGAGGATAATCTTAGACTCTGGGCAATCCTTGAGACTTTCCTGTGCAATATTAATATTTAGTATTTAACACAGTACAACTTTACCCCTTGCTTTCCAGATAGTGGTAAAACATCTGAAGAGACATACATCACTTTCTTTAGTCTACTGTATTTTAAAGATTACTTTCAGAAAGATGATATTCACTTCAACTACTGTATCTGAACTGATGGTCAAAACTTTAGCCTGCTTGGAAAAAAAATTAGTATAATTGAACATTTCAAACAAACACCATTCTTCTTGTACAGTAAGAAACAAGGAAGTTGTCTTGGTTTTGATAGTTTTACTTGAACCTATTCAATTTATGCCACCTTGTTTGGATAAAAGGATGGTAGGAGAAGAAACTACTTAATCCAAAAAACCAGTTGTCACTGCAATTCCAAAACCAAACATATATGCCTGTTCTGTGACTCTATGGACACGTCACTGCTCTCAGAACAGTGAGTTTCAAAACTTGTAAAAAGAACTGTTTTAAGTTGTAAGAAAAAAATTGCCTATAATGCAGAAGGAAAACACAGGCATGGCTCAGAAAGTCCTCCCCAGCCTAAAATTAAGCTACAGATAAGAACCATAATCTGTATTTCTGCTCTCCACTATAAAGGTTCTAATAAAGGCTGAATTTTTGTATGCAACATACATCCCCCCCACAGGTGTGTATAGAAGCAACTCCAAAGAATAGTATATTGCTGTGGAAGACAAATTAAGTAAAACTAATTAATCTGAAAAAGATTGTGGAGTTCTTCAAAACAGTACTATGGATCCATGTGTAAAACCTTTATCTCTTGAAAAAAAATTACCTTTTTTTTTTTTTTTTTCCCAAATCTGTATTCGTAAAGTTTAATGAATTTTAACTAAATTGAATTCAGGACTTGTAACGACAATTTAAATAATTATAGGCATTTTGCATTTTGATAGCAATCAATTAGCTTGCAGTGATTACTGAGACATAAGTCTTTTTAATGATTAGATTTGAGTCTTTTGAAAAAACAATGGAATAAGAGGCAAATCATAATACCTAGCTTCTAGAACTAAGCCTCCTTATGAGTTAATGGTATCTTCTCCAAGCTTGCTAATGATTTTTTTTCATCCCTGTTAGAAATCTAACATACTTTACACAAGGCAGTTCAAAGATATTAAATTATTCTTACTGATTGTGTCAGATATTTGTCTCCAAATGACTACTGAAACTTACAATTTCCTACATGTACATTCTCCTGTAATATACAGGATACAATTCTCAGATGACTTCATACACAAAGACAGAATAAGGGAAGTAGTCAATCTCAGAAAGAAAACAAATAAGTGATTATCACTTTTTCAATCTATTAATTTTGGGATTCAGTGTAATTAAGGAAAATAAAAAATTAATAACTTATATATAGAATATATAAAATAAACTTTATATATGAAATCAAGAATCAAATCAGGATTTTTCCTAGTTTCATAATATACATATGATATAACTATTTGGTGTAAATGGTCATAGAATTAAACCCCTCTTCCACTGGCTTTGAACAGTTTGCATCACTAAAAGGAAGAGTCCTACCCAGCTACTCTTGCAGAGCTCCAAATCCTCATATTTTGGGAAAAACACAAAGTTTCTTTCCATGTAAGAATAATTTCCATTTGATAAAGAGCTGCACCACAGGTTATAACTGGGCTAAGATGTGGGTTTTATCAATATGCAGGTTTCTTTTTTTTTTAGGATTTTACCTACTAATGTAATCTCCCTTCTGGTAATTGATATGTAGTTTCAGTGGTGATTCTAAGAAAACTCACCCTCTTTTGATGACAAAACCTAGATGTTCCTTACTTACACATCTCATGTTTTCATAGTTATTGAATTTGCAAGCTCAAAGTAGAAAACAAAAAAAGGCTGTTGTTCTCCTCCTGTTTAACTATGCCAGTAAGGACATGGTTCAAGATATGTTTCTCTGTTATTGGCCTTAACTCTTCATAGTAAAACAGATTTAACTCTTCCTCAAAGGAAGTTATAATATTTAATGCAAAAAACAAACAAACAAACAAACAAGGGTGCTAGACTACTGATGTATTGGAAATAACAAAGGTCGAAATTCTTCTAGTTACAGACATCAGTTTGGCCATTCTACAAGTATCAATACGGATGAGTCCAAAGACCAAAATACCCAGGAGACAAGAAGAAAGGCCAAGAGGAATAAAATGCCAATCATCTTTATCAGCAGGAAAATTGTAATCTGTTTCTTTTTAGACAGCCAGTAAAGTAAGGCTTTAGCACCCATTAACTTCTCACAAGAGCTAGTCAGATAATGCTGTTGACAGCTTGTAACAACTCTGTAGCTGTTACCTATAGGAAGAGCTGAAGTTTAAAATCTTTGAAAAAGAAAAAGGGTCAAAGCAAGCTATACCAAAACCTCAATACAAATGTCCTATTCACATATGATCAGTAAATACAATGTATAACCTACATCCTCCAGAGAGGCAGGCAGAGACCGGATGCATCAAATATATCTGAAATGGTACTAAACATCTGCTTGTGGGTACCTTAAATCAACCCCTGCATGCCTGATGTTTCTGTTTTCAACAATATATCAAACACATCTCTTAATTTTATTGGAAGAGTAGCTTTAGTGTCAGCTGACTTTTGCAGAAGTGGGAGCTAATGTGTTAGTTGTTCAGGCCCTTCCAGCACGGAGTGTGTAAGACTCACATGCTAAATTACTCTCACTTGTTTTCAAGCAAGCTCCAGATAACACATAATGTTATCTAAGAAGTACCTTCCTCATTTTCAGATGTTTGAATAAATAGTTATTCCCATGTTCCATCTACTTTCAGTGTGTTAGCTAGCACTGCAGCTTGCAGCATTCATCATCTTCATCCAGGAGACAGAAATCAATTATTTTAACAGCACCTAGCCTCAACTCCACATTAGGATGTACAGTTTACTCTACACATTAGCATAGTCTAGTGCAATATTTATTTTCCCAAGAGGATTTTAAAAGGACCTCCTTCTAGGGATTGACTGAGGGAAAATCTACTTATATTTTCCTATTTTAAAGAGATAAAACATTGGCAGCAAAGAGATCAATAATGACTGAAATTATACTGTACAAGTCTTTGTCTGAGTTTTCTATTATGGACATAGGAGCTTATATTACTGCCTGATGTCTTTCACATCAGTTTCCTTGTGGTCTAAGAAATTTATATTTTATCTGTGTATAACCCACACTCCATGTAAATTTTAAGATGTAATTTTCATTGCTTTTATAGCCAAACCAACTTCTTCTTTATAATGACTGTTTAATAAAGAAGATGGATTTGAATAAAAACCTAATTCTTTTACAAAAGGAAAAGACCAAAAAAAAGTTGTAAAAGTAGATTTACAGTTCACAAAATCACAGAATCGGCTAGATTGGAAAAGACCTCTGAGATCATCGAGTCCAACCTGTGACCTAACACCACCTTGTATACTAGATCATGGCACCAAGTGCCACATCCAGAGACTGTGACTCCACCACCTCCCTGGGCAACCCATGCCAATGTCTGATTACTCTCTCTGTAAAAAATTTCTTCCTAATGTCCAACCTAAACCTGCCCTGGAAAGCTTAAGACCATGCCCTCTTGTCCTGTCACTGGTTGCCTGGGAGAAGAGACCAAGCCCCATCTCTCTCCAACCTCCTTTCAGGTAACTGTAGAGAGCGATAAGGTCCTCCCTGAGCCTCCTCTTCTCTGGGCTAAAGAACACCAGCTCCCTCAGCCTCTCCTCATAGGACTTGTGCTTCAAAACACCCCCAGCCTTTCAAGAAAGTCCCCAGGAGTCCCTTACATGGCATTAAGTAACTCTAATTACCTTCATATATTTGGATTGTCTAGTTAGGCTGACCTAACTGAGAATGGGAGGAAAACGGCCATGACAGTACCTGGTCCCTAAGTACTTTGGAAGATGAAAAGTGTAAGTTAGAGTATTCTTAATATTGCTCCATGAATATGTCATCATTTACCCAGTGTATCAAAGGTCTGATAGTCAGCTGTAGGCAGAGCTGACTGACTACTCTGGAAGTAAATACTGTGGGGTTTCACAGGTGTAAACTGTTACTCCAGCCAAAATGAAGAAGAGTATCCATCATGCAGTACTTCTTACCCATTTCTTTGAGCTCATACTTATCAAGTAGAACCACTGAAAGCATTTTAAAAAAATATGCTCAAAGAACTCTTCCTTTATTTTTCAGCATCTCAAAGTATTTATGCATATCCTGCATATTCTTAAAATATCTTCCATTTTAATTATTGTCTTTCAAAGCTACTTAATATCAAATTTAATACTTGGTTACTTCTATGAGTTTCACTTACAATGGAAACAAAGAATGTCATGCTTACCACCATTCAGAAGTTTTTTCTTCTGCACAGCAAATAACTATGCTGTTATATACTTTGTGCACCAAGCATCACTTGCATTTGTGTAGCATTTTATGCTACATCAAGAAACAGAGAATCAAAAGTGTGGAACTAGAAAGAGTTACACAAATAAGACTTAATGGATAAGTGAAAACCTATTTGATGAACTGCCCACAAATGAACTGCCCCCAAAGAAAATAAAAAAGGAGAAAAATAGTTTTAGGAAAGATTTTTCCTTATAATTACTTAAAAAATATAAGGCAAGCTTTCTTCACAGGCAGTGATCAAAAAACCCTATATTTTAAGAGTCTGCCTCTGAAAAACAAACCACTAAATTCAAATAACTGTATTCCTGTAAATGAGCAGCTTGTACAGAGCAATACTTCAAGAATTGCTCCTTAGGAACACTATTTCCTTCAGCACCTGCTGGTCCATGTACAAAGCACACAATTTGAGTTCCTTATCTGCAGGCAGCTCAGGCTAACCTTACCTGGGTTAGTGTACAGGTAACTTTCTACAGTTTTTCCAATACTCTGCAGTTTAACAGCTTGAAGGGACTCATCTCCATGCATGACAGTTGGCAAGCTGCCCAGAGCATCGTGAACCAAATTTGCCACTTCTCTTACATCAAAGAGCTTCAAAAGTTCAGAGTACACCGATGGGAATGAGCTGAGAAACACAGCCTAGAGGAACAGGGCAAAAATGGACAGTCAGATATTGCAGAACAGTTATGACATTTATAGCATTTAAATAACTATAGAAATTAAAGTAACTGTAGAAAAACACCTGGATTTATATTTCAAGGGTAGGTAGTAGCTTTAAAAATGGTTATATTTTCATAAGAAATATCCTCACGTTCATTAACAGGCTAATACTTGTGACTATTTCCCTTAAGCATTATCTAAAAGCTGTTAATTTTTCCCAGGACAAAGTGAAAGTAAAAAAAGTTCAACTTAGAACAAAAATATTTATACTTAAAATGCACTTATCTCTGCGTGACAAAATTTTTTAAAGGATAAAAAAATGTAGCTGATATGATACCAAAAATATTTGTGTGGAGTTTGCTTTGTTTTAAGATGAGTAATATAAAAGCCTCCATCTCTTCCATTTTTCAAATAATGAACATTTTTATTTTGGAGTGAGACAGCAGTGGTAGTCTTGGTTCATTTCAAGAATCCTAAAATTGGATTAGAAAATCGTTGATAAATATAAAAACAAAACACCATCAAAGTAAGGAGGAGAATGTCAGTGAAAAGAAGCTAGAACTGACATTCCCTTCTTCCTCTCCAAATCCCCCTGACTGAGAAAACCTACTTATACCTGAACCCTTCTTCACACTGGTGGCAGAACAGATGACACAGGTTAAAAATACTGAAGAATATTTCTAAATGTAGTTGTTTGTATTATTTTGCTATTGTCTTTTCACTCCAGTTGTTTGCATGACATGAGATGGAAGCACTACCTCTCTGCTCTGTTTTCTCTAATTTGACATTTTCTTGGCAGAACAGTTTTCTACCGAGCTTTAGAAATTAATAACTGTTAACAGGATCTTAAACACTTTTGGTTACGGAAATATGGGAAGAGGACAGTACATTTATGAGCTGTAGGAGTTGGTAAATCTCTGGCACTTAATGCAGAGAGCTGTCCCCTGTATGTTTTGCCTCTGCACTTTAGCACTAGACAATTTTATTAATCTTAATTGAAATAAAGATATCAGCTTATATAGTTCATCAAGACTTAAAAGTTTTCTGGCAAGCATGAAAACCATGATAGTAGTCTTTTGTATGGCTCAAATTCTTCAGTGTTAATGCAGTTAAACTAAGATGTAAAATGCCCAAACCAGAGAAATTACTTTATTTGTATCCATCAATATAATTATTATAATTCACAATGAAGTATTGTTTTTAGGATTATGTATTACAAGAATATTTAGAAGCCACTGATATGAAAATTTCACACTGCAGGATAAAAAGCTGAAAATGCCACTTTGCTCTAGCAAAAGCACATTTTGTTTTCTAGACAGGCATATATTTTTTATACTGGATGTGGAAAGTGCCAATAAGCAAGGTACACTTGAAAACTTACTTGTAGCTGGGATAAAGCACTAGTTCCTTTGCTCTCTTGAGAAAGAAAGAAGCGTACTGACATAAGAAGCTCTTGAATACAGCAGCGAAATTCCTCCTCATTTTGTCCACCAGTAGCAATAGAGAATAACCTTCGAGACTGGACTATGTATTTAAAGATATATTCCTGTGCCTATAAATGTCAAAATAAGAGATAAATCATAAAAATTAAGACATTCCTCTTTAAATAGAACACACACAGTGCTCATATAATACAAATTAAGACAGGGGTCTGAAACAGGACACCACAGTACTTCATTTTGGCAAATCTTTCTATTGAAATACTAGCAACATTTCAAAAGCACATACTCAGAGCTGCGCTTCCCTTGCCTTTCATAATCTCTCCAAATCAGGGAACACTATTTTTAAACCAGATAATATGAAAAAAAAAAAAAACCACCAAACCAACCAAACAATGAAACAACATCCCCACCAGTAAAAAAAAGATTAGATTAAGTTGCAAATTACAAATACAGTCCTTCCTTATCAGCAAGACACCACAGTTCACAGAAGCATTCTAAAATACAGAAGGGTACCACACTGATCTTTTCCTTCCAGACTGTAGCACCTGTCCCAAATGGGATTATTGTGTTGTATAACTCAGCCTGACAGCACGCTGTGCTCTGTCAATGGTACAAGCCAGAGCAAAAAGAGCAACCAAACCCACCACCTTTCAGTAGAATTCCCTGGTGTCAGGACTGAACAATTAGGTCAGCATGCCTGTCTACCGTTTAGATTCAGTCATGCGATGGATATTAACACCACCAGTGCAATCTATATTTGAATCCTTTGCCTCGTACAGTAAGCAATATAAAGCTCCAGATCCTAGTGGTGGTAAGTTTTAATGATCCATTTACTGACAAAAGAGAGAAAAAACTCACTGCACTGAAAAAGTCTGCAGCTCCCTAGAATTAGTACTACTATTCCATCATTTATGTATAATCTGCTTCATTTCCCAAGTTAAACTTGTTGGTACTGTATGAATACATCATTCAAATATATAACTGTCTTCAACAATTCTTATTACCTTTAGGACTTCCTGTATGTGCTCATGAAGCTCCACCTCAGTGACTCGATCAATATGCCACTTCAGTACTTTTATAAGATCTCTAGAATAGCACATCAGAAAGTGTTACAACACCAAGGTGGGAAAAGGGTTAATTTTGCACATAAAATGCATACCAATAGCTGCCATATGAGAAACACTGACAAAATAAAAAATATATGACCAGATTTTACTGATCACTATAGTCCCAATATTACATTTAGTTTTCAGTCTCCTGAAGGCCACTTAGTTGATCTCTAATGAACAGGCAATAATGCCAGCTGTAATATGCAGTAGAATTATTTTTAAAAGAGATACACCATTTCTTTAACCTAATGATTGATTCTGCTTAGTTTAGTAATAAATGTCACTATTCAAATCAGATAGAAAAAGTACAGACTTCACCTGTATGCAAGTGCTCCTGCAAAATGACTTTCAATGTAAGTGTCCATTACTGGCTTAAAGTGGTGAAACTTGCTGTCCTGCAGCAAATTTATTATGTGAACCTAAATGTGAGAGAAAAGGAAAAAAACTCAACCCCTTTTTTTTGTTTTATTTAGTTCTTAAGTAGTGTCAGTCATCATCACAGATTGAAACTTACCAAACAATCAAATACTTTTGATCCATATTTTTGAGAGTTTTCATCTAAAATTCCAAATAAAGTGTCTAGTGTATCTTGAAGAAACTGATGGGAGAGAATACGAGACAGTTTGTGTTTAAATAGTTATTTCTGTGACATGGAAATACATTATTTCCCTCATATTATCTAAAAGTATGGAAAGGTATATACCTTCACTATTTCTGAACCATCAATTTCTTTTAATTTTGAGAGGCAACCTGCAATTTTGTCTGGGTGGGTTCTCCATTTCAGCAGGTCAAGCATATCTCCTGCAAAAACAAAATGCAAGATTAAAGTTGGAAGCAAAGCATTTCAGATTTTAAACTTGACTACTACAGTCCACTGAGCAAAATTTGGCATTATTAAAACAAAGAAAATATCTTCAGATTTGCTGTTATATGATCTTCCCATTGACAAATTTTCATTCCATTCCATAATTGCTCCACCAATACAAACATAAGAACATGGTATTGGGTCACTAAAATCAGTCTCTTGTGGCATCTGTATCATGCAATCTTGTTCAGATATTTTTCTACTATCAACTTAAGAAAAGCAATTATTTTGCTCTCTCTCATCCCATTGAAGGATGCCTTCCAGAACTGTCCTCTGACAGCTAGAAATAGCCTCCTAATTACTATTTTGAATCTTCCTATGTCTTTTTAGAGAACAAACACAATGCCTCTAAGATACTGCTTTATTAAAAAACAACACAAACTCTTCTGGAAAATAAACTATTCTGAGCTAAAAGATAGCCAAGTGTCTTCAAACTTCCTCCAGTTTTAATTCATTCTCCTTCACCTTTCTTGACCAAAATGATAACTACATTACAGATAAGATTATATCACTGCTTTCTATAACATTAGCAAGCTAGTAAGTCTGCTCTAAACACCTGATATCTGTGTTCTAGAATTTGAGAGCCTTTTAGATATATCATATTGGTAACTCAAATATGTCTTTCTCCTATTTAATACTGTTCAGCTTCCTGGGTATAGCAGAATCCCCAGGAGTCTCCACCAGTGTATGATCCTGACTTTTCTATCATTAGATTCAATATAATTTCTACTTTTTCTTATTATTTATTTAAGTCAAAGTTACCTTGCTTTGCTGTATCATATTTTGATTTAGTCTCTCTCAACTAATGAGATCTTTCAATGACGTGTTAGCAGCAAATTGTCTCAGATTTTAGTGAAGTAACTCTCACCCCCATCCCCTTCTGCTCCTTTAATACAGAGATCAGTCCCAGAAATTTCTTCAGATCTAGTAGTATTTTCCTTCTGCTAAGGAAGGAAATTCCTTCTGCTTCACTGCAACCTGCCCATTCCCTTTTATTTGCCAGTTTTAAAATTCATATTGTAATCTGTACATTTTCTAATTTCCCATGTGGTGTGTTATTGAACTGCTACATTTCCTCTGCATAATAACTAAAACCTTTGAAAAGAAAAATTAAGAAGTTTATTCTGGCATGATATGTCTTTGATAAACTCATCTTACAGCATATTCCAGTTACCTACATGTTGATTTTTTCATCCATGATTTCTTGTTAAAACTTGCATAAAATTCATCAGGGGGTGATGGCCCAGTTAAAATATCTGCCCTTCCACCTGTCTTAAATGCAAGTTCTACATTTAATAGTGTTTGAACATATGTTACTGCTTTCAGCTTCAGAGATGTACTAAAAAAAACACTTTGCTCTAAGATTCTGAATTTCATGTTCCATACCATTCAATATCCTAAAATAGTTTTGCAGACTTGGCTTGGCTTTTCAACAATTTCTTCCCCTGAACGGACACGTCTGCAGCGGTGCGGTCAATATGTATTCAGTAAAAGTTACACATATTTTTGAGCTGTTGAATTAAATAAATCCCAAAACCCCTTTATATTCAAATTTACTACTTCCACATTTCACTAACCAGCTTTTCAGAAATTCTTAATGCCTTGTTGTTTGAAGCAGAAAACCTTAATCATCCAATCCTTCCATCAGTTTAAGCTGAACTATAATCTAGTTAATCACTGCCCAGCATTGTCTTAGAAGCACCCAGTGCTTTTGAAGAGTTCTCAGTACTTATCAAACTAAGATGTGAATAGCAAGTTTTCCTCTCGGTTCAGCATTTCTTTGGGTGCTTTCTACCACAGACTGTTTTCACACTCAAGCAATATTTGAGCAAAACCCATCTTCGTGTCACCTCTTTCGCAGTTTGCTCCAGGGAAGCTCCTCTCCCCCACAAGAAATGAAGTAATATTTTTGACTTTATAAGCATTAAATAAATCTCCCCCTATACTCAAATCTTGCCAGGGTGTTAATGGCAAACAACCTACATAAGATTCCACAAATATTTTGCTACCTTAATTACTTTTGATAGGCACAAATTGTTTTGATGCATTTATATGTTACTTTTTTATTTTGCTTCAGTGCTGTGCTAGCATGGGAAAAAAGAGATACTTGAATTGTGCTAAGAATGATGAAGGGTCCCACACATGCATCAGAGACACATCAAGGCCGAGGACAAATGATAGGTCTTATTATTCTTTCTGGAATTTCTAAGAACCAAGAATTACAAATCCAGTGAACTGCATTTGTCTTTTGGATAATTAAATGTACTTCTCCACTTTATTCTGTTTAGCCTCAGCTCAAGCTGAGGAGCAGCAAGACGGGCTGAAGCTGTCAGTTTAAAGCAGGAAAAAACACTTTACAGGTTTACTGGAGGAACTTGGTGGAAGATAGTTGACACTCAATATTAGGGATTTGTTGGGGAATTAACAAGAAAGGGAAAGCAAATGTAAGACACTCACTTCAAAGCACTTATTTCAAGGGAAGTGCTAAGGAGGAAAGACACTGCTGAGATGATAACATTAGTGAACAGCCCAAGAATAAATTACACAAATAGAAAATCTGACGTGAATCACAAGGGGAATGGATAGCAATGTGTTATCTATTAAGAGAAATGAGAATATGAAATTGTCCCCAGAAATAGGCCCACTAGGAAGACATAGTTTTGGAAAAGGGAAAAAGTCACTGCTTCTGATTAATTTGCTGAAGAAGAAAAATATTTTCAATGCAGTTTCTTAATAATAATCAAGGTCTGTATATTTAAAATAGGCTACACATGACTTACCATTCCTACCAAACAAAACACATCCCTTCTCAAAGTATGCAATTTAAATCCAAAGCACTAGGTTTCATAAAAGGTTTAGAATCACGTGTTTAAAAGTGGTTGGGGATGTTTTTTCATCTCTCTCATATAAATCTTGAGACATCAGAAATTGGCTTGTTGCAACACTACTGCACTCCAAGAAGAAAAATCCAAATTCCAGAACTGGCAGTCAGCATGCCTCTTTCCAAAAGGCTGCTTTTGTGGTTGCCAACACTCCCTCCAAACTGGGGTCACTCTGGAAAGCCTCCCAGTATTACTTTTGTTTTATTGATCACTGGTTTGGCTTTTTTAAAATGCAGCTAGATGGATTACACCTCTGCCTTGCAACTGCCACGCTGTATGGCACGTTGCTCTGCAGCTGAACAGCTGCTGACCAGGGATGTGCCGAAAAGAGAGTAGATGCCAACTTGCTAAAATATTCTGACTTGCTGGAAGGATCCTGGGTCTCTTGCAGGGAGAGATCCCTCCTGTATGTCAAAAACTAAGTAAAACTAAGTAAGACAAAACAACTAAGTTGTTTTGACAACTACTCAGTAGAAAAATATGATGTTCTCTCTTGCTCTTCTGGGTTTTTTTAGGAGAATGAAATATAACAACCCAACTAAGAATATAATATATAAAAGCTGATATAATTTTTTGCTAACATTAACTCATTAACTATTCATGACCAAATGGAAAAGCAAAGGAAAAACTAAGTGGTTGACAGATTAGATAAGGACGCCTTCCTAGCAATATGTTGATGAATGCACACACTGCCCTGGTTAGAAGGTCTCTAGAAATTGTTTGGAAATAATCCTAATTATCCATCCAAAGTATCAAGGGTAAGGAAGTTATGGATCCCAACAACTAAGAGTCAGCCTCCTTCCCCTAGTCCTCATAATCCTAATATGCATGAGAGCTGATGGCATGTGGGAACAATCAATGAGAGAATGACAGCTGAGTAAAATTTCCCATCAAGCCAGTAAAGCTGTGGCCTAATTCAGTCACACCCTTTACAAGTCTGCGTTTGGGCTCCTCCCCCACCCCATTGCCAGACAACAGCATAATTTTCAATTAATTTTCAGGCTGGACACTGTTGTTTGTAAACACAGGCAGATCTCTGAGAAGTTCAGAAAAATCTCCAGACTTAAAAACAGATTAAAAAATAAGCAGCAATTTTCAAAAATACCAATACAAATGTTTATTTAAAAAATTAAACACATAGATCTTTTATTCCTGTATTTTTTAATACATATGCTACATTCTCTCAGGGACAACTGAAGTAATGCTCACATGATCAAATATCCACATGCTTTGCCCTATGTTCATTTTCTGAGCATGCAATAGACTTTGGCAAATTTTTGTTTAAAAGAATGGGGATTTGGAAACTCACCAAGATGAACTTCCCAAAGAAGATCCTTGGAGAAAATATGAGCCTGTCTATTGAAAATATTTCCACCCTCTGAAGTACTGCTGAAATAATTGTTAACTCTTTCAGAGCTGAAAAGGGGATCAATATTATTCAGATATTCTACACCCTCTTACTCAGAATATGGTTAAAAAAAGAAAAAGGAGGAAATTTTATGCCCTTTGTCACACTCATATTTATATTAAGTACAAAATAACTCCTGCACCGTGAACAAGAAATAGTATTATAACCCCAGACAATAAGGCAACTGTTCATCAGAGAGACAAGTTTTGGGCAGCACTTTCAAGCATGTGTAGTATCAGTAGATTCATGTGATTTCCTAAATCAAGGCCTTTAACTGAAGCAAAGTCAGTCTGATTCCCTATTAGCAACCTTCGAGAAAATATTTTATTGGGTAACTTCGATTATTTTGAAGGTAATTGCTATAACAATACAAAATGGATGTGCACAAGGAAACAAAACATTGTTTGCACACAATTCTAATTTGGACACTTGCTACTAAAGGGTAAAAATTAAGATGATTATTTCAATTTTAAAAGCTCCTCTAGTTTTGTTAAACACCTATAATCAATTTGCACACAATTAGCAATTTTATCATCATACACAGAAGAAGGGTAAAGTCACAGATATTCCCACATAAGAGAGATCTAATCAAGATCTTAAAACTGTGATAAACATCCTAGGGAAAAAAAAATGTGGGTATATCAAAGAATGGTCAAAACATATTACCAAGCAAATACAGAATATTTAGAAATTTGTGGAAAACTGTTCCACAAACAGTTTTTTGTTTCAGTTACAAACTGTATTAATATGTCAAGTAAACAAGAACCTTAAGAATTTTATACAGAGCACTGGTAAAGAGTGTAAACATATGTATTTTTAACTGCTGCTCCTTATATCCAGTGTATAAGACTGTTTTAAGTAGTAAATGTTTGTTGGTTTAAAGTACGAGAAATAATACACCAAAACAAGCAATATATATCTAATTAGAAAAAAACCTGCTACAGCCTAAAGTTGACAAAAAGTATTTCATAAAAACTCTACAACAAACACATTAAGAGGTTTTCTAAAGCAGCTGGGTTTTGATAGTTGATTCCAAAAGTGCTGAATTTGATTCCAATATCATGTTAATCTAAAAAGCATTCTTGAACTACTTAAAAATAGTGTTTTACCATGATGCACTTGTTTCCATCTAGACATAAAAAAAATTATGAAAAAAACTAGTTTATAAAATAAATAGAAGCAAACTATTTTTGAGTACATCCATGATTGCTTGACACGGACAAGGCTAGCTATCACACTTATTTGAATTCATCACGTTTTAAATAATCAACATATCCTACCATTTTGTGTGAGTTTGGTGGAGCAGAGAAAGGATGTAATCCAGAAGGACTCTTTAGTGGTTTTTACTGCTTGGCTGTTGTTTCCTAGGGATATTCCCTTTGAAAAGGGGAGTTTGAGGTAGCGGCCAGAGTCCTGAAGGTTTGTGTTTTCTTCACACTGTGAAAACAAACCATTTAAAACAACTGAATGGCACAAAAAACCTGACCAAATCTCTAAATTATATGAATCATTATTATTTCTCTGCCAAAAACCAAAGAATTTTCACTGAAGAATTTTCACTATGCCTGTTGCAAACTTTGGTTTTAGATCACAGCTTCATATATTGACATTGAAATCTAACAAATTTGCACTGGTTATGTCAAATGAATAGCTACAAATTTTTGTATTAATATTGAAAATATATCTGTGAGCATATCAAATCCTCTGAATGAAGAGAAGGTCTTAAATGTGGAAACAAGAATTCCACAAAGCCAAATATCTCTAAAAATTATAATTTTGAGTAGATAAATGAGCTTGTCTGATTTTCCAGCTCAAGGAATTCAGTAACAGGGTTCACTTTGTGTGTTTTAATTGAACTTACCTTTGTGAAATCCATTATAAACACAGTGTGATATAACAGTAAGACTTAGGAAAACCAGCGCACTGAAACACATACCTAGACTCAGCTGCAGTTTGTATCAAGAAGGTTAATATTAAACAATCAGCAATGGATATTTTAATGATGACAAGATTATGACTCATTTGATAATCAATACAGACTTTCTCAACTTCACATCTCTGGACATTCAAATTATGTTCCAGAGGAACCATTACAGTTAATGACTGCTAATTCAAATTACCTTGTGTACAATGAGTTCATGGGTGCCATCTGGCAGAGTTCTCCCATTTTCCTGCATCAGAGGCACGAAAGAAAAGCCAAACAACTTCTTCTCACCCTTTTCTTTTGCTGAAATGCATGAATAGCAGCACTTACATAGTATACATTTTAGACAAAGTAAATGTAGTTAATACAACATAAGCAAGCATACTGGAAGATATTTGCAGCTAATCAGATGAAGATTATCTTGAATTTCTGTTCGGATTTGCACATTGCCTTCTGTAATGTTTTCTTTGATCTCACTTTAAAACAGAGAGGAGTATTCTGGAATGATTTAGTGTTTATTAACAACAAATAATGTAAGCTGCCAAATACGCAATCTTAGCAACATATAGAAGTTTATCCATCCCTAAGAAAGCTGTCTCTCATACATTGGAATTGAGAATGTGTATCCAGTCATCAATTTTTACCTCAAAATCATCACTAAAATTTTTCAGAATGTTTAAAAAAAATTGGAATTTTATAAGTAATAAAAAGCACTACAGAGTAAGTTCATGCAGCTGTCTTTTTCCCGAGGTGTTATAGAAACTTGTGTGCTTGCTGCAGCTGTGATGGAGAGGACTAGCAGAAGTCATGCACAGCACTTACTGGAACAGTGCCGGAATTCACAGCGGATGTGAGCTCCTCTGAATTTATCCACAGGAATGGGAAGTTTCAGCAGCTCAGCCCATCTGGGACCATTGTTATGATAAAGGACAAAAGAATGGTACTCGCTGGCTGGTGGCTCTCCAGAGCCAAATGAGATAAAGTCCTAATGAAGAAAAAATATGATTAAAGATAGATTAGTGTATTGGTAAAATGTCATCAAGGACTGGTCTTCCAAGGAAGACTATTAATATTTACATTCATATCATAAACGCCAATTGTGGTACAATGTTCAGTATCTTAAAACCCTCAAAAATAGTAGCACTTGGTTAATATTTGCCAGTTAGAAAATTAGAAATGGCAAGAGTCATTCGCATCAATCAGAATCGAAGTGTTCAATGGGGGGTACCTGGGTGAGCAGGGACGCTTAAGCAATGAATGTGTCGTGGAGTCCCATGACACCACATGCTCTAACCAGTGTTTTATCCAAGCAACAAACAAGATTGGAACTGAGACCAGAACAGACCAGGTTCAAGATCTTCAGTCCTCTGAAATGAGCCTGTAACCCTGCTGTTATCAGTGACATCTCCCACCATTAAAAAATAAATCTGGATTATGTGATCAGAAAGAAGCAAAGTATTTGTTGCCTTTGCGACACCCATGATGGTTTTTCCATGGCAAGGTAGATAAAACAATTTGTCTAATTCCTGACCTATGGACACCTATTACTTCTCTGTAGGAAAGCTGGTGACTTAAGCATCAAGGATCCCTGATTTATTAAAATCAGACACAAAACTGAAAATTATCAAAACACGCTGTTCTGTGTAACATAAGGAATTGCATTCGTACTAAGAAGAATTATTATGAAATAAAAAATTCTCCAAAACTTGAACTTGCTTCAAAATTTTCCAGCATCTTAATGGAATCATTAGTTATTTGGCTGGCAATTACAGGTATTTATCTCAACATCATAATTGATCACAGAAATAAAACAAACATTTATAAAGGTTTATAAAGGCATTTTATAAAGCTTTTAAGCACAGTGGAAATACTCTGAATACCTAAAGACTGCAGAAGATAAATATATTCTTTCCAAAGCGTTTTTTTACTCTTCAATCAATACCACAAAAATTACATCTGAAAAAGTGTGTCAAAATTAACTACAGCAAGGAAAAACATACAACAAAGATACCTTTAAAATTTGTCCACTGCTGTCCACCACATGCATTGTCACTTCCACATTTCTGGCCACACTTTTCCCTCCTTTCTCAAATTCTCCTCTTTCTACAGTAATATATAAATCATTCCTCATTTCACCTATCAAAGAAAACCAAAACAAATAAAACACAAGGTGTCCAAAAGTCAGTCCAATTTGCTTACTTCTTGCTTTTAGTACTTAACTAGATTTTCATCTTATAAGCACACCCACAATTTACCAGTATGTTTGGATTTTAAATAATTGTTTTCAGAAACAAAGAAAAGCAACATATCTTCATCCCTCTCAAAACCCAAAGATTATCTGCCATACTAAACCAATTCTAGGGGCTTTTACTCATCTGTAAGGTCTATTTGGTCTTTACAGTGGCATCTCCAGCTATACTGAAGCTGGTGTCTAGGTACTTTCTTTCATTTGTAATCATAATAGTTGTCTGTTTAACTGATTACAACCTTTTTCCATTTAACTTCAAAAGAAAGTGTATCATTTTGAAAAGGAAAAACCAAGAAGTTGGTGTTCTTTCCAATAGAAGGGCAGTCTTCCCAGATTGTGAGCTTTCAATCTCATCTTTGTAATCCAAAAGATCAACATATTTTACATTAATAGGATGTTCCAAAGCTTACTAGCAAAAAGTTAGCTTAGTTAGCTTATTTCTTGCTTATTGGAAATTAAAGTCTTCATCAGGACATTCAAACTACAAATCCAGTAGAGACACTACCTAAGTGCTACATGGTATGCACAAGTTATTAAATACTGCTAACATATTTAAATTGAAATTCTTTGCACGTTCATGCAATATCACGCTAAACATTCTGTCAGAACATAAACAGATCTTATGGATGAGATCAATGTTAATTTTATTTTAATTTCAGCTGACACAAACAGCAAAGTTTATATTTGACAAAAGGAAGAGTGGTTGCAGGTAGCATAGGACAGAGGGAAAAGCAGTACTGGTTGTGACTGGAGTGCCATGGTAGGGAAGTCCTTTTTCTGTTTGAAGATGCTAAATGTATTTCTAGAAAGTGTAAACTAATCTAGCTCTGCACAAATGTTACCAGAACTACTTTGAAACAATTGGACTTTCCTAGTGAAATGCAGTATAAGGAAGGATGAACAGCATAATAATTAGGAGTATCTTCTAAAATTCCTATTCCTGGATTTGGTAGAAAGATAAATTAAGAATATATGCTTTCATATGGAGAATGGAAGCTTAGTGAAAAGGGAATATCATCTTTTAACAAAGCAGATTTTCACTCAGCACTGTGAAAAGAAATCAAGTATGCTAATTTAGTATATTTATAGATGTGCCACTTAGAAGGCAACCAAGAAGGCAACCACAAGATAGGTATTTGTACTGTTGATAAAATGAATTAAAAGATATGTAACTTATAAATAATTAGGGCATCTTCAATTTACAGTTTCATTTTAATTTGCAAGGAGAATTTGACTTGCTTGAACTTTTCATGGCACTCTCATGTTTCACATTCCTTCCATTTATTTTATTGCATGAGACTCTTCAGTAATTTTTCAAGTACCAGAAACAATGATCTGTCTGTAGTCTTCTAGTATTTTTATAACATTATTCTATCACTGTGTTCAAAGTAGTTAAATGGTTCCTCCAAAGCCCAATCCAAACATTAAAAAAAGTAAAAAAGAAACTGCTATATTATCAAGCCTCTAGACCCTTGCCCATAAAAAAGGGGTGGAAATCTGCTATTGTATTAGCGTATCATCAATCACCTTCTGAAACAACTATGGACCAAGGCTAGAACACAGCTAGACAGAATCAACAGAAAAATACCAGATGGTATTCACTTAAGAGTTTTGTATGAAGTCAAGGATGAAAGAGCTGAATTACTAGTAAGTATATGCAACCACTGAATCAGTCTCTGGTTCCTGTTGGGAAACATGTTCAAAAAAAGCAAAAAGTCATGGCTATTCAGGTCATAGATGGCAAGACTTTTTCAAAAAACAATAACAAACAAACAAACCAAAACAACAAAACAACCAAAAAAGACCACAAAAGCAAAATCAAAGCAGAAACCAAACACAAGCGAAAACCTTTCCAAAGGATGTTGAGAATGTAAGAAATGTATTCATGAAAGCAAAGGATGGCGAAATCATGGAATAAAGATCAACTACAGGATATGAAACAGGTAATCGCAAGCACTCAGGAAATCCCTGGAGTTGTAAATAGCTGGAGGCTGGGACAGCATCAGGGGGTAATTACCATACATGCATATATGCATATATGCATACACAGTTTTTACTCTTCCTTGGGTGTAACTTACAACACTCAGCTAGATGGACCCTTGATCTGAATTTGTAAAGCTGTTCTTATGCTTATTCAAGTCACAAAATTACCCTTAAAACTGCTAGATTCTGTTTATTCCTACATTGCAGTAATATTTGACTACAAAGATTTTAGAAGCTAATACAGTACGGTTACCAAAGAGCTTACAGCATGTTGGGTCCTTGCTTAGCATATGCTTATACTAGGCTTTGTTCTAGTTAGTGCCGGCTGTTGGTCAGTTTCAAGCATTTTACATTCAAAAAAAATGACTACACTCAGCAATCAAAAAAAAAGAAGCTTTGTTATAAAGCTGATTTTAGCAAACGACTTGTAGTTGTAGCAATTTCTCTTTAAGAAGAACTTGAATCCTACATGCATTTGTGCTACATTCAGTTATTATTTTCAATTACCAGCATGGATTTATTTCAGTTTTCCATGGGGTCTTCACAGAAATATAATCATAACTGAATAACCATTTCCACCACAAATTTAATGATCTAGCCCAGATGAAACTCAGTGAAAATCGTAATTTTTCCTTTTTAAACAGAGTAAACTGTACAGGATTTAAATGCAAATGACAGTGGAATGGGATGTCCTATCACTGGAAGTGTTCAAGGTCTGACTGGAAATAGCTTTGAGCAACCTGATCTAGTGAAAGATGTTACTGTCCATGGGGGTGGCAGGGATGATGATTAAAGGTCCCTTCCAACTCAAACCAGTCTATGATTCTATGCAAAAAATTAAAGCATTTTTAAAAGAAGTAACTGAAGCTTCAGAGAAGTTAAGCAGGCTTTTAGAAATAGTGTTTCATTGCATTTTAAGGGTTTTTTTAAAAAATTCAAACCTGTTGTGTTTTACCTTTTTAATTGGCCTAAGAAATCAAAAAAGTTGTCTCTTGGAAAAACAGAACTGTGAGGATCAAAGTGTGTATCTGGGGAAGCTGTTTATTCCTACTTCTGACAATAATGCAATGTGTTGAAAAGGTATTCTGTGCTAATTACAGAAGTGATGCAATAACCCCAAGGCTTTGGCACTACTTAGTTAGCACCCTTTTATTTCACCTATCTGGCTAATCAAAAGTAGACTGACAAACTCCTACAAGAGTTTCTAATATGAAGTGAAGGCTAAAGCTATATGGGAACTGAAATTCCATAGAATTAAAAAAACAAAACAAAACAAAACAAAAAAGTAAAACTGCAGTAATGTGGATGATTACACAGTCCAAACTTTCCAACGCAGCTCAAGTTTTCAGTGCACATTCTGCAAGGATATTTTCTCCAGTATGTGAATTTAATTGTAAGTGAAAGGTGCTGAATTGAAATGTCTGGTTTGCTCAATCAGAATGTGTACAGCACAGCACTGGCAGTACCTGCCACTTCATATGGTCCTGCCCATACATTGCAGCTTTGATCTGGCAAAAAATAACTTGAAAACACTTTTCATGGGCTGGGAGAGGATAAACTCCAAACTCTTCTTGCCTCAGTTGTAGGTGTTAACCAGGTACATTACAGATCAAGGTTTCTGACCTATGAAAAAACAGAAGCTTCATGACTTTAATCCAGCTAGTAATGAATTGTTCGAGGGCTGACTGGAAGCTGGGGACAGAGACCTAATCATCATTACATGTAAAAGTCTATTATAAGGAACAGGAGGAAAAGCCAAGTAAAGTCAAAGAACAGCTACAAGACAGACTGCTGGAGGATGCACTTAGTTAATGGAGGTCAGCCTTCCCGAACCTGCCAACTATAAATCACAAATTTTAAATAACCAGTTGAGAGAAAAAAGCCAGGAGTAATTTCCAAGCTGAGATAACAATACATGCTCAGGGGTCCTGTTATGTCCACCACACAGTTTCATTATGGGATGGCTCTGCAGACTCCCTTTCCTTCATAGGTTAAAGGCTGTATCATCACTACTGAGTACTTACATACAAACACTGATCTGCTGCTGCTCACAAGTGGACCCCAGCTATGGGACCTGCATGTAAGCTGCCCCCAGCTCAGAGAGGTTTGAATGCTATCACCGAATCTCAGGTGACAGGAACAACACAGGTGATGACTAGCAAGGAGACAGTCAGATCAGTACAACTGTCAGAAGAATATTTGTATGAAGGTATCATTTGTGCTTTTATTTTTCTACAAACACTTGTACCTAACCTAAGCATCCTTCATCACAAAACTGTTTACACTGAGGACACTGTGAGTTGCAACTGCAACATAAATATTATAGCAAGACTTTTCTCATATTCCAACCACATTTAGAACTGTAGAATCTCTTGTAGCATATTAATATGGAATAAGGTTTCAAGCTGAATTTAGTTGTCAAAGATCAAAGGTAGTTGTCTTTGTTAAAAGAAAAGAGTTTAGTTTGTCAGCTTCCTAGTGAAATAAATTTCAACTCGATTATTTAGTTGTGTAAAAAAACACAGCATGACTGTATATGAACAAGCATCTCTGATAGTTATAGCTGTCCTGACAGCAGCCACTAATTTAAAAATAATTACACAGAAGTCACTAGGAGCTCTTGTTAGAAACTGCTTTTTTGAAAGCTTTGCTTGGAATTATAGGTCCTTTAGAAACATGAACTGAAAAAGAGAAAAAAATTATTTTGTTTAGAGAAAGTTCCTGTTCATTTACATCTCCGTAAAATACAAGCTAATGAGATGTTTTGCTTTATACTCTAAAATGACTTGAGCAGATCCTAAAACAATTTCAGTTGTAGGGACTGAAAATCTCTGGATGTGGCACAGACAAAATGGTATTACCCAGGAGGTAAATCTTGTGGATACAAAACATTTTAGAGAAAAGA